ACAAACTCATCTCAGCCAAATTGACACAGGAAAATGTAATAATTAGTAATGTATTAATAAATTTTATTTATAACAATTAATTATGTGAAAATAATAATCATTGTGTTATATACTGCCGCCCGTTGATAACTCACAAGATGGCTCTGAATTTGGAGAGCTGCGACAGCCTGCCTCCAGACGAGGAGCCAAAACTCAAATATGATCGGATGGGAAACGATATCCAAGATATACTCCTCAAAGACGCAGTGAGCTGTATTTGTGTGCATACGAAATTTATCTGTCTCGGTACTCAGTGGGGCGTGATACACTTGCTCGACCACGAAGGCAACATTGTGCCAATATCTCAAGATGGCAAAGACAAAGAACTGCAGGCTCACGCGATCGCAGTGAATAAGATATCGGTAGATTTGAATGGGGACTACATTGCAAGTTGTTCTGACGATGGCAAGGTCCTCGTACATGGACTATATACTAGTGAGAACACACACAGCCTTGTTCTAGGACGACTGGTCAAATCTGTAGCCTTAGATCCTTATTATTTCAAGTCTGGTTCTGGCCGAAGATTCCTCACAGGTATTCTATCATAAAACTCTTATATGTAATATATATATGTTCATTACAGACATAAACATTACATCAATGTTTATGTCTGTAATGAACATATATATATTTACCAATAGGAAGAAAACAAAATTTCTTTATCATAGATAACAAAAGATTATTGTTTGTTATTTAGTTCTTATATTTTTTATAGTTAATCAATTCTAATAATTATATTCTATTTACCTATTATTTCAATTTCAGGAGACAATAAGTTGACCCTATATGAAAAGACATTTTTGAATCGTCTCCGTAGTACCGTTTTGTTTGAATGTGAAGGAAATGTCCAAGCTATAGCATGGCATGAGAGATTTGTAGCGTGGGCCAGCGAGGTTGGTGTTAGAGTTTACGATCTTCAGGCAAGATGTTCCCTAGGGCTCATTCAGTGGGAGAAAAGCTCCGCCACATCAATAGAGGATTACCGCTGCAACCTACTATGGTCGGCAGCAAACACACTTATGATTGGTTGGGTTGACACCATCCGAATTTGTAGAATTCGGAAACGAAGTCAGATTGAACTGCAGACACGGGATGTGACGGAATATCTTGTGGATCCAGTTTATACTTTTCAAACTGACTATTTTATCAGTGGCTTGGGACCTTTCGATGATCAGCTGGTGTTACTTGGTGTACCGAAAGAATGTGATTCTGAAACTGGGAAGGCTCAACGGCCAGTACTTAGTGTTGCTGACTATAAGGATTGTGAGTTTTGTGAAGTATCAACAGACTGCTTAAACATTCGAGGATATGAAGAGTATTCTTGCAATGACTACTATCTGGACATGCTCATTGAGGAGAATAGATTCTTCATCGTTTCTCCTAAAGACATTGTAGTAGCTAGTCCATTTGATATCGATGAGAGGATCAACTGGCTCACGGACCATGGTCGTTACGAAAAAGCAATGTCCGTATTAGAAGATGTTGGTGGCAAGACTTCTAAACATTCAGTGGTGGTGGTCGGGATACAGTATTTGGACCATTTGTTAATGGAACACATGTATGAAGAGGCCGCAATCTTGTGCGCCAGGATATGTAAGAACGACAAAGTATTGTGGGAAAATCAGGTAATGAAGTTTTCAAAAGTGAACCAGCTGAGGGCGATCAGTCCTTACGTCCCTAAGAACCCAGACCAAGCACTAAGTCCACATATATATGGACTGATACTGTACGAATATCGTAATATTGATCCACAGGGGTTTCTAAAGTTAGTTCAGGAGTGGAATCCGAAGCTGTATAATATAGGTGTAATCATCAGTCAGGTGCTAGAGCACTTGTTGACTACGGAAGTAGACAAGAATGTGTATCTGGAAGCACTGGCCTTACTCTACTGTTATCAGAAGAAATATGATAAGGCACTAACAACATATCTAACATTGCAACACAAGGATGTCTTCAAACTTATCACACAGTACAAGATGTATAATGTGTTGCATGACAAAATATTGGACCTCATGACCCTTGATTCAAATAAGGCTATCATATTGCTGTTAGAAATCAAAATTCCAGTGGAAGTTGTCGAGAAACAACTGGAAAAACATGATTTTCTATTGTTTCAATATCTTGTCGCCTACAGTAAAAAAGAACCAAATGGTAAATACCATGGAAAGTTAGTAAGACTGTACGCTGAATTTGCGAGAGAGAAACTCTTACCATTTCTGAAATGCAGTGATAGTTATCCCATACAGGAAGCTCTAGATGTCTGTCAGGACAATGAGTTCTACCCAGAAATGGTATTCCTGTTAGGCCGTATCGGTAACACGAGGGAAGCACTACAGATCATAATTGAACAACTACATGATATTAGGCAAGCCATAGACTTTTGTCAGGAACACAATGACAAGGAGCTATGGACAGATCTGATAAACAAAACTGTAGATAAACCTGAATATGTGTCCTTACTCCTCAAGAGAATAGGAAACTATGTGGATCCCAGGATGCTTATCCAAGATATAAAGCCAGGTTGCGAAATAAAGGATCTGAAGGACTCTCTGGCGAAGATGATGTGTGATTACCGACTGCAGCTGTCTGTGCAGGAGGCATGCAAGGAGATCACACTCAAGAATTACTTTGATCTGCATCAGAAACTTATAATTGGCCAACAGAGGGGTATTTCTGTGACGGATGACTTTCTGTGCTGTGTGTGTCAGGGCCGAATTATAATTAAAGACTTGTCAAACGCCTCGGACTTGAAGGTGTACAACTGCAGGCACTCGTTCCACATAGAGTGTCTGCCGGATGGTGTGCAGTGTAACTACTGTACAGTGTGCAATGCAGTCAAAATGTGACCCCACTTGACGAAGCTCAATGTTTGTGTATAGTAACAATAAGTATTTCTGTACCTATAAATTGTATATGTAATTCAATGTGAATATATTAATTAACTGTTTTTTATATTATCACTATGGTGCTTTAAATCAATTAGCTTGTATTGTTTTTTCCTTGTATGAGAGTGACCATGCAAGTAGGAATCATGTATTAACCGACTCATTTATACAATACCTCCAAATCAGAATAAATAATTAACAAAAGGTTTATATTTCATTTATATTAGTTATATGTTATGGTGACACAGCACATGAAGCGTGAAGTGGCGGTAAGTGGCCTACTTTGCATTATTCTAAAATCGAGGCAACACCCATAATCTCTAAACCAATAAAATTGGAGTGTCTGTTTGTAATATTGAAATATCCATTTTTTATTACATGCATATGAATATAAATACGGTACATACACCAAATTAACATTTTTTACAATTTTTGTCTGTCTGTCTGTTTGTTCAGGCTAATCTCTGAAATAGCTGGACCGATTTTGACGGGACTTTTTTTGGCAGGTAGCTGATGTAATGAGTAACTTAGGCAAATTTTATTTTAGAAAAATTAGATTAAATTCCACGCGGACGAAGTCGCGGGAACAGCTAGTATATAACAATTATGAGACTAGAGGACTAGGGAGACTTACTAAAGGGGCCACCTTTGCTAGCATTGTTCCATGTTAAATCGACCCCTATGCGGTCAGAGAAACTATTGTAATCAATTTACTACTTAATTTGTCACCATGAGCTAATATCGCATAAACTAAACTAATGTCTTCAAATATCCACTGCTGCCCCACCAGTATATCGTTACTACAGACAAGCACCAATCCGTCATTTAATCACTTATTTAATTAAAAAACTATTGGTGTCACTAGTTATCTCTACTTGACAATAGATGGCGCAAATAATGTTAAATGATATTTTAAAGTCGTCTCAAAATTTCTTCAAAATATTAATATCTCAGGACAACTCGCACAGCGCCATCTAGTTCTAAAGCAGAGCTTGAGCTATTGCTACCAGACAACTGATGTTGTTGTGCCATACGAGGAATCAAGCCCGCGATCATCGAAATTAAATTAGAGTGGTAAACCGCTACACCACCGACGGCGTTATAAATATAGTGTCAATATTTATTATTAAAAATAATGTGAGTTATGATTATTTGCGTAATGGAGGGGCAGTTAATAACATACCATAGACATTATACAATAATTATAATATTACCATGTAATTATTAATGTAATTAATTATAAGTTTTGAGATTTATTCAACATGTGTAATAAAAAATATTATACAATAATATTAAAGCAAATAATTATAGGAAATACTGGGTAATTACTAAAATCAATGAATATTTATCCTTTAAACAAAATACATATATTACATAAATCATTATTATAATATTCTTGATGTTTTCGTTAACGATAGATATTGCGTTTCGTTCCACGCATATTTGTGCATGTAACGAAACGCAATATCTATGTATTGTTTATTCCCCGAAATTATGCTAAATTGAGAGGAAAATCCCAAAATTTGGGGAATTTATTCCCTGTAATAGCGATGAAATGAATATATTTTAAACGTTTATTGAAGAAAACCATTTAAAATTTTGTTGGATTTCTACAACATTGTAACGTGAAAACAATTGGATATGTATTTTCACAAAATTATATACTTTTATCAACATGCCACCGCGGCACCCACCGTCTTCTTTTACATTATTTTTACCACATTAACTTATTGATACTTGCATTTATTATGATTATGATAGAGATACAAATAATGAATGGAAACGAAAAACATATTACGCCGACCCCAAATAAATGGGATAAGGATGAAGCAGATGATGATGATGATGATAGAGATACAAATAATATTATTCACCGCTCTTTATTAGTTATTACGCATATGGCAAAAATAACAACATTTTATTTTAATTAAATATTTATGTAGAAAATAGTGGCTAAATTATACATGCAATTATTATAACATAAGGTCACGCCCAGATATGGGTGTAAAACATCTCTTATTTTTATCACAAAATTTCGACGGTAATGTCACATCTGGTATTTGGCAACACCAATTCCCCATGTGGTATCTGAAAAATGGACGCACACATGATGTTGGTGTCTACGAAGTTTTAAAAATGTTTTCATATAGTGTTGGTGTACGTTGAACGGTTTAAAATTGAGGAGAGAGTGATAAAGTGTTGAGTGAAAATGACAGATATGCCTCCTTACCTCGCGGCCAAAGATGAGGATGAGAATAGTGATAGTGAAACGTCTTCGGAGGTAGATGACTGGGATTTACCTCTGTGTTTCAACAAGCCTAGGCACATTGAGCAGATAAAAGGTGCGGACCGTGTGGAACACTCCTGGCGGGTCAAAGAGAAGGTGAGAGGTTGTTATCTGTGAAGAAACTTACGCGTCCTAACTGCGTATGTTACAGCGTACGTACGTACGTCCGTTCAGATGAAAACAAACGCACATGGCTCGTAAATAATGTCATTGCGATATAAACTACATCCCAAAACTGATTCTAAACAAACACAGTGCGAAAATAATATCTTATTTGAAATTCGATTTGTTTACATTTTTTTTTAACATTTTTGTATCTCGTTTTTGACATTTATACATGTTTTTTTTTGTTAGTATGAATCTAATTACAACACATAATTACTACCTGCAATGTGTTTAATTACATTTTTAGATTAGATATTTTAATTTTTCCCTTAAAACAAACATTCTATGCAAGGGACATAGAATTTATCCAGTCAAATAGATTTGCATGCTTTTATTGCATATTGTCTGTAGCAAAGGAATAGTCTCCTTGAGAACGAAAAGAACTGCTGCCATAGCCAATTCATGCCTAAATCCATAGACTATATGTTCTTGAAGATCATCTTAATGCAATATTTTTACAGCCATATTTGAAAAATTATTTAGTGTCTCTTATTGAAATAATTATGTAAAACTATTTTTTATTTAAATAATGTTAACTTTAAAAATAGGCTCCATATCCTATTTGCTAGGATTTTATTGGAATTTATAATTTAGTTGATTTGTTGTATTAGAAATCAATAGTAACATTGTAAATATGAAAATGTGTCTGTTTGTTACAACTAATGAATGAATGAATCATAATTAAATTTGACATGAAAATAGATTGTATTAATAATAGGGTATGATAGTATCTACTGAAGTAAACGTCACCAGTTGTCTGTGGAAAACAACATTCTGAGATACTTGTTGTCAACAGTTATATTAGAAGTAGTTTTCTTATCTGTTATCCATTTACGATCACCCATTTTTATTTCATACTAGCTGTATATTCGACTTTGTCCGCATGGAATTTTGCAACATTACTTTTCTAAAATGAAATGTTTTTCTAAAATATAAGTAGCCTAAGTTACTCCTTATTACTTATAGTCCCATCAAAATCGGTTGAGCCATTTCAGAGATTAGCCAGAACAAACAGACATATAAAATTGTAAAAAATGTTATTTTGGTGTATGTACTGTATTTATATTCATATGCATGTAATAAAAAACAGTTATTTCAATATTACAAACAGACACTTCAATTTTATTTATATGTATAGATTTTAGTTTCCAGACTTAGAGCTGATTGTCTGCCTATCAGGCAATTTTTGTGTTAATGTGTTCACACCAGGAAATATTAATATTTGTTGCAAAGAGATAGATAGCTGTCTAGTATCTATACATATAAATAAAATTGGAGTATCTGTTTGTAATATTGAAAGAACCGTTTTTTACTACATGCATATGAATATAAATACAGTACATACACTGAAATAACATTTTTTTACAATTTTTGACTGTTTGTCTGTTTGTTCCGGCTAATCTCTGAAATGGCTGGACCGAATTTGATTGGACTTTTTTTAGCAGGTAGCTGATGTAATAAGCAGTAACTTATGCTACTTTTATTTTAGAAAAAAAAAGTCTCAATAAATTCCACATGGATGAAGTCATGGGTAGAGCTATCCTTAATATAAATTCTGCTTATTATAAGACTGGATAACACTTTCTGACATGTCCAGGATTATTTATTAATAAACTATTATTGTTTCAGTACAAAACACACTGCGTAGCTTTAGTGCTGTGCCTCAATGTCGGAGTGGACCCTCCAGATGTGGTGAAAACTCAGCCCTGTGCCCGCCTCGAATGTTGGATAGGTATGCCACTATGTTTTTTTTTTATACTACAATGATGGAAGCATACGACCCATCTGACAGTAAATGGGTACCATAGCTTATGTACAACTTGTTTTCATATATTTTACGTAACCACTACTAGATACTCTTTGTGTAAATGCATGTGACACGAGAAGGAATGTATGTGTGTGTATTTGAAGAATGACAGATCAACAACTGAACACCACTGTTTTATCCTGCATGGCAATAGTTGTTCATGCACGGGATTTTCATTTCATGTTAGACATAGACACCTATGGAAATATACATTGTAAATAAACTAGCTTTAAAAAAGAGTAATACAATTGAGTTTCTTGCCAGTTCTTCTCAACTGAACTGGATGGTAGGGAAAAAAATTGATGTTCATAAGCGGCTAAAATGTCCTACATTAATAAATTATTTTTTAATTTGAATTTTAATTAAATACCGACTTACCGACCACGAATATTTCAAGACTAAAATTGGCCAAATCGGTTCAGCCGTTCTCATAGTTTGTGTGGGATATTAATTTTTTTTTTCTGTTTTACATGCAATTTCTTCATATTTTATCTACGTCTAAACCTTCCCTCTACTTCCACGAATATTTCAAGACTAAAATTAGCCAAATCGGTTCAGCCGTTCTCATATATATAGAAGATGTGTTATTCTGATGTATAAATGATATTATTATAAAGTTTTGTCAAAATCCGTTCAGTAGTTTTTGCGTGATAGTGTAACAAACCCAAATAATAGGATAAAGGCAATGATTAGTGTAACATCCATCCATCCATACACACAAACTTTCGCATTTATAATATTTTTAAGATTTCTCGTATAGAATATGACTAATCCTTATTTAAATAAATTTAATACTGCACATTCCAAGTTTTATGTTTAAAGAGTGACTTTTATACTGTGCATTGTCAGATGAATCAGTTACGGGAAGTCATTACAATATAAAGATTATTATCACACTTATAAACATACAGACATCAGATCTGTAGTACAGGTTTGCACTGTTATTACATGTCCTATCTGATTTCATTATCATTACATAGTATAAAACAAAATACGCTGTCGCTGTCTGTCCCTATGTATGCTTAAATCTTTAAAAGTACGCAACGAATTTTGAAGCGGTTCTTTTTAGTAGATAGAGTGATTCAAGAGGAAGGTTTATATGTATAATACATGTACACTTGTGCGAAGCGAGTAGCCAGTTATTAGTATAAAAACATAAGCAACAATAAACTTTCACCCTTCCACCATTAACCCCTATTTTTTAGTAGCGATATTAATAGCAAAACTAGCTTCGATTTTCACCCTTTCTACCCTATTTTTAATAGCGATTATTAATTTATATACCAAAACAAGGTTTGCGGTGTCTGTTTGTTAACATAAAAAGGTGTCTGAGTGAACATTATATGGTTGTAGTGCTTACTGCGTCGGTATTGGCATGAATCAGATTTGCATAACGAGTCATCGTCTGCTCTAGTATCTATTTATAGTTTGGAATTACCTAATTCTGCGCACTTAAATATGAAATTACAACAATCATCACATCACTATGAACATATCAATGAGAATAATAATAGAAATAGAAATAATAATTATTCAAATAGACTCAATACAAGCACTTTTGAATAGTCTTATGTTAGACTAGCCCAGACGGGGTCTAGGCTAGTAGACTTGGTCCGCGTGGAATTTAACTTATTTTTCTAAAATAAAAGTAGCCTAAGTTTTTTTTATACTACTATGGTGGCAAACAAGCATACGGCCCATCTGATGGTAAATGGTTACCGTAGCCTATGGACGCCTAAAACAATAGGGGTGTCACGTGCGCGTTGCGGACCCTTAAGAAATCTTAATATACCCTTGGAAAACCCCATGCTGTAGTCTCTTTTTTTTTTCGGACTACTCTAATGCTGTTGACCGCAGCTGGCCTTTACAGCTTCACCTGACGATAGGGGGCGAGTGCAGATGGCCCTCCAAACTAAAGGAAGGACTTATGGAGCGGCTGAAGGCCAACTCCCGCCTGACGGATACGACTTTAGTCTGACGGCACCGTTAAGGGATCGAACTTCGGATCAGGCCGTCGTAATATCGATCCCCGTTTGAATGGGACGGGGGATCGATCGGAGGGGCTGTAGTCTCCTGAGAAAATTCGGCAGGAAGTTCAATTCACAATCTAAGTGTATGCTGGAGGAAGCTCCTCTGAAACCTCACTGAGTGAACATTGAATGGTTGTAGTGCTTACTGCGTCGGTATTGGTATAAATCAGATTTGCATAACGAGTCATCGTCTGCTCTAATATCTATTTATAGTTTGGAATTACCTAATTCTGCGCACTTAAATATGAAATTACAACAATCGTCACATCCTATGAACACATCAATGAGAATAATAATAGAAATAGAAATAATAATTATTCAAATAAACTCAATACAAACACTTTTATAGTCTTATGCTAGACTAGCCTAGACGGAGGGTCTAGGATAGTAGACTTCGTCCGCGTGGAAGCTAAATTTTATTTTCATAATAGAAATAGAAATAATCTTTATTCAAATAAAATCAATACTAGCACTTTTGAGTAGTCTTATCTACACATAAATAAAATTAGAGTGTCTGTTTGTAATATTGAAATAACCGTTTTTTACTACATGCATATGAATATAGATACGGTACATACACCAAAATAACATTTTTTACAATTTTTGTCTCTCTGTCTGTCTGTCTGTTTGTTCCGGCTAATCTCTGAAATGGCTGGACCGATTTTGACGGGATTTTTTTGGCAGGTAGCTGATGTAATAATATAACTTAGGCTACTTTTATTAATAAAAAATGAAGTAAAATTCCATGCGGACAAAGTCGCGTGTACAACGTGTAGTTTTTAATAAATCTTTGGCCACAGTTTCTGTGGATCCCGACCTTTATTGTTCACAATGTTTGAGACCACGAGGTCAGAGGGCAGACTTTGTCTCTCGTTGAACAGATTAAAAATACGTTGATAAGAAATTGTTACGTGAACTTTCAAGAAGTATGTTTTAGCTGTCTGTAAGACATTGCGTTGAGCGATAAGGCCGCCGTTTTGTTAACATATTTTTATGTTAAATTAATTTTTGTAATTTTGTTTTTGCACAACTAGTATACGCCTCAGCTTCGCATGGATGTACATGTATTATGTATTATATATATAAACCTTCCCCTAGAATCAATCTATCTATTTAAAAAAACCGCGACAAAATCCGTTGCGTAGTTTTAAAGATTTAAGCATACATAGGGACGGACAGATCATTGTTTTTCTAAAATAAAAGTAGCCTTAATTACATCAGCTACCTGCCAGGTTGGTAATCGTAGGAATGAAGAGAATCTTTTAAATATGAAAGGAAACTTAGAAAGAGATGGATGGATTGTGTGACTGTAGCGAGAATACAACAACTATTGTAATTAAAAATCAAATAATTGTAATAAAAGTGTATATTTCCCAAAAGGAGAGGCAAGAGAAGAGTAACAACAGACAGTAAAAAGTGACATATAAAAAAATAGATATCAAAAATATAAAGTTTATACAAACAATGGTAGATGTTGCGGGTAAATGATACTATGTTACTGGTAGAAACGATGTATATTACAGATGATAATTGACTTTTTTTTTTTAATCTATATATTTATATTCGAGATAAATAAATAATCTCTGTACAATTCACACAGCGCCATCTAGACCCAAATTAAGCTACCTAAAGCTTGTGTTATGGGTACTTGACAACTGATACAAATACATAGAATTTTTTTTTTTTTTTTCGTAAATACATACATATTATACATAGAAAATACCCAGACCGATACAAACAATCATACTCATGAATACAAATGTTTGTGCCGTGCGAGGAATCGAACCCGCGACCATCGGACGTAAAGCGGTGTGCTTGACCGCTAGACCACCGAGGTCGTCAATTGACTGACAATAGGTACATAGAAATATGGATCTTATATACTAAATGACAATAGGAAAATGTAAGGTGGGGTGACACAGTTTAGACACAGCAGTGCTCAGTACACAATATTGAATTTGTCTTACTAGACATTATTAAATGCAATTATTATATTGATGTATCTAGGTAACTGTGTCCCATAGTTAGACAAGTTGCCAGCAACAGATGGTGTGAAAGACTATGTAGCAACGAAGATATTAAAAACTGAGACCAGAGATGAATAGAAGAGTAAGATATTACCGACACCAAATGTTAAGAAATAAGAATGAACAGGATTACGAAGATATAGCTATACCTTGAACTGATGATGATTTTCTTCTAGACCCAAATTCGCTATCACCAAGTAAGGCGCTGGAGAGCATCGGACACGCGCTGCAGTCCCAGTACGAGCGGTGGCAGCCCCGTGCGAGGTACAAGCAGTCGCTCGACCCCACCAGTGATGATGTGAGTCCCGTATAAATGTATTTTTTTTTCTCTTTATCTTGGCAACAAACAGTTGTTATATAAATATACAAATAAACGTATTTGTATAGTAGATTGAGTGCCGAAACTTTGAATTGGACGGGTGTTTGATCGGAGGGGCGACCGGGGGCACCAGTGTGGAGCGCCCGGGCGCCCGGTTGATTGCGCGATATGGTGTGTTTGGGGTCGTCGTCTTCGCCGGCGAGGACGGTGTCGTGTGTGTGTCTAAAAATGTGGTCGGGACGGAACGGGTGTACCCGTAGGGAGGTGAACTACCGTTATGGGGTCGTCGGGTTCAATAAAAACGTGCCTCAGGCGACGTTGTCGCGTATGTCGGTTATGTCTCTCCTTACCGTGAGACTAGATGGTGATGTGTTAATTACTTAGAGTTACTTTTTTATTTAAACGTTTATTTTTTTTATTATGTGTCATTTAAAAATACATACAGCCCTAAATTTTCACCCTTCTATTATATAGCGGTAGATTAAAAAAAAATTAATGACTATTCAAAAGTGCTTCAATGTAAGTTTATTTGAATAAATGATTTTCTATTCTATTCTATTCTATATTATAATATAATAATAAATATAATTTATTATATATTAAAAGATAGGGGGTGACCCTATCTTTTAATAGCAATGTTAGTAATAACGTTTGCCGGGTCAACTGGTTTAAACATATAATTTTCACATTACGATATAGTCAGACTACACTAGCAAAATATAATAATATATGTACTTGGCTTAGGCCCGTTCATAACAAGATTACCGGCGAAAGTCTAGAAAAAATAATGAAAAAAAAAAAAAATAATAATAATAAATAAATAATAGTAAACGTGACTTGGTGATATAAAACCGTCCTTGTGATCACTATAAAATATATGTATTTTATGATACTGTGGAAATAATAATAATAATAATCTTTATTTGTCTCAAACAAAAACGAATACAATTGTTGCCTATCTATTATGTAAATAAAATTGGAGTGTCTGTTTGTAATATTGAAATAACCGTCTTTTACTCCATGCATATGAATATAAATACAGTACATACACCAAAATTACATTTTTTACAATTTTTGTCTGTCTGTCTGTCTGTTTGTTCCGGCTAATCTCTGAAATGGCTTGGCCGATTTTGACGGGACTTTTATTGGCAGGTAGCTGATGTAATAAGGAGTAACTTGGCTACATTTATTTTAGAAAAATAAAGTTAAAGAAATAAAAAAGACGTAGTCGCGAGTACAGCTAGTGCAATAATAAAATTGAAAAGTAATGAAGAAGACAAAACGGTCAATAACTCATGTTGTATGGATTGTAATTATAACACGCATTAAGGTGTGATATCAACTGATATGTATGTTATCTGTTAAACCCTATATACCTACTTAAACAATGTTTAATGAGACACCAGTGATTGTAGATAAACATGGAACTGATAACCTATCAACCTGGTCCATCTGCCTACAATATATATTTTTTTATGGATGATAATGGAATGATGCACCCGCCTGCGCTAATGGTTTACGCTGGCGGGGCACCAGTGGAACATGATAAGATGAACACGAGGTCAGATCAGTTAGCCCATCGTGACAAATTCACAAAGAATTTATTATGATGGTTTCCAGGGGGAACCGCGTGGAGGTCAACCTGACGCGGTACATAGCTAGCAATGGGGTCAGGAGTCCACATCACTAACAATCCCCTTTTCCCTCCTATCGTAGCGATTAGAGCAGACCAGTCCTTGTAAGCAGCACTCGTTCACAAATATGACGGATGAGCCAGATAAATACTAATAAAGAATATTGTCCCTCTTGCCTACAATATTAAGAAAACAGTGTAGTAAACGCAAGGCCTTTCCTTCACCGCGTTTCTGTATACTGAAAGTTGTAATCCTTACTAACACCATCGTGTTAAATTCCTGGTGAATTTGTCGCGATGGGGTAACTGACCTGACCTCATTCTCATCTTATCATCTTCCACTGGTGCCCCCCCAGCGTAAACCGTTAGCGCAGGTGGGAGCAGCATTCCATTATCATCCTTTAAAAAAAAATCCTTACTAATTGGGGGGAAAGGGATTGTTAGGAATGTAGATTGATAACCCCATTGCTAGCAATGTACCATATCAGGTTGACCTCCACGCGGTTCCTCCTGGAAACCATCGTGATAAATTTTTAATGAATTTGTCAGGAAGAGCTAACAGACCTGACCTCATGCTCGTCTTATCATCCTCCACTGGTGCCCCGCCAGCGTAAACCGTTAGCGCAGGCGGGGGCAACATTCCACTATCATTCACAAAAAAAAATCCTTACTAATTAGGGGGTAAGGGGATTTAGTAATGTGGACTGATGATCTTATTGCTAGCAATGTACCATGTCAGGTTGACCTCCACGCGGTTCCTCCTGGAAACCATCGTGATAAATTTTTAATGAATTTGTCAGGAAGAGCTAACAGACCTGACCTCATGCTCGTCTTATCATCCTCCACTGGTGCCCCGCCAGCGTAAACCGTTAGCGCAGGCGGGGGCAACATTCCATTATCATCCATAAAAAAAATCCTTACTAATTTAGTAATGTGGACTGATGATCTTATTGCTAGCAATGTACTATGTCTGGTTGACTTTCACGCGGTCCCCCCTGGAAACCATCGTGATAAATACACCAAGAATTAACCTGACCTCATGCTCATCTTATGACCCTCCACTGGTGCCCCGCCACCGGAAACCGTTAGAGCAGGGTGCACCCCATTCCATTATCACCCATAAAAAAATATACATAGAACACCCAGACCGATCCAAAGAAAAAAATGTATAGTGCGAGGAATCGAACCCACGACCAACGAAAGTAAAGCACCTGCCAAACCGCTAGACCAACGAGGCTGTTATAATGAGTGCAAATTAGTTAATTAAGGGTGCGTCGGCTATTGGCCGGCGACCTCGCGACGATTTCCCCACCCCTCTCCCTCCCTTCCACGTCAGGGTTACGCCTCTGTACATAAAAAAATCTAAATTATTATACGCCAGTAGGTCGTTGGCCGGCCTCTACTCTATTTCAATGTCACTTAATGCACAATCGACATGCCACGTCCCTTAGTTACTATTTATATAATAACCGTCATACTCGTGAACGAGTGCTGCCTGTAGGGACTGGTCTGCTCTTATCACTACGACTGATTTAATCTTATTGTATATCTATATTTGACCATAATAAATTAGTGCTGGTTGGTAGTTTGTATTCACACGTTTCGACTTGTAAATGTAAATTTACAAGGATAATTTAAAAGAGCAACATACAGTTTCTTGCACGTTCTTCTTGTGATGAGACAGCTTTCTGAATGAGCGGTAGATTAAAAAAAAAAATATTTTTTATTCTATTCTATTCTATAATAACTAGGTGTGAACGCGACTTCGTCCGCGGAAATCGTCGATACTTCCATATAACCTTTAATCCCCCCTTTCAACCCCTTACAACCCTTTTTTTCGTATTAAAACGTAGCCTATGTCCCTTCTCAGGTTCCAGACTGTCTGTGTACCAAATTTCATTTAAAGTAGTTTTGGCGTTAAAGCGAGACAGACAGACAGAATTATTTTCGCATTTATAATATTAGTAAGGAAAGGTTAACTAGATATCAAAATGTATTATTTATATAATCCCTTTTTTTATTGGGTTGTTTGGGTTATTGTCAAGTGCGTGTGACACCTGTAACACTGCGACCTACATAGATCTATTGTGCTCGCCCTTTTTCTGAGTTTTCGCTACCTTATAAGTACTAGATAACTGACACAAATATATAGTTTTTTTCGCAAATACATACATATTATATATAGAAAACACTCAGACTGATACAAACAATCATACTTATGAATATTATGTATGTGTTTGTAGTGTCCTTTCGTTATTGTGAAAATAAAACAAATATTTTGTATTAATGTAAAGGATCTTGTATTTTCCCTCCAATGATTCAGCTCAGAATGACAAATTTAAAATTAGAGTGTTCTGTGTTCTTTTTTTTTAAAGTTATATAATACAATGCAGCAAAATGAGGTTGCATACATTTATAAGTAGTCTTAGACTTTATGAATGTTTGAGCTGTGCGAGGAATCAAAGCTGCGATCTTCGGAAGTACTAGATGACGATTAATTGTCCATTTGTCCGTATTGTTTTATATCTCAAATGAATGAAGGAATGCTAATGTTGCTCACCAGGTGAAGAAACTGTGCTGCTCGCTGCGCCGCAACGCGAAGGACGAGCGTGTGCTGTTCCACTACAACGGTCATGGCGTGCCGAAGCCCACCGTCCAGGGCGAGATATGGGTCTTCAACAGGGTGATCTACTTTTTTTTTACTTAAGGAAGGAATGGTGCACCCGTCTGTCGTGATAAATTCATCTGGAATTTATCACGATGGTTTCCAGGGGGAACCGCGTGGAGATCAACCTGACACGGTACATTGCTAGTAATGAGATCATCAGTCTACATTACTAGTCCCCTTTCCCCTCTGTACAATATGATTGTATTTAAGGAAAAATATATCTATGTATTTTATTATAGCTAGCTCAACTAGACTAGTCCCACTAGATGGCGCTGTGTGAATTGTCTTAGAATTAAAAAAATACTATTTGTGTTGGCAGGCGTACACGCAGTACATTCCCTTGTCGATGTACGATCTGCAGACGTGGATGGGGGCGCCCTCGCTGTACGTGTACGACTGCTCGAATGCAGGCGTCATCGTGGACAACTTCAAGCAGTTTGCTGAGCAACACGAACGGGAGTATGAGGTGATGAATACGTATATATATATATATATATATATATATATATATATATATATATATATATATATAAATATCCCCTTGGGCACTTTGTGGCTCAGACGTGCCGTATAGGTAGTTTTTTGTTGATCCATTTTCACTTGTTGATCCGGAGGCCTTTTGTTGATCTAATGCCAGCTGACCATATATAAATGTTGATCCGTTTTGAGCCACAACTGTCACGACGAGTAATAATAATAATTAAGCGATTTATACACGATTTTATACAAATCCACCTTTTTGGCATACGAGCACTTCTTGATCCAATTCAAACGGGCCAATCAGGGTGCAGCATTTGCCAAGGGCTTCCTCATTGGCACGTTTGGGCTACTACATTATGGCTACAGTAACTTAATAATGTCTAGCTAGTATTTCAAGAATAAAAGTCTATCTAAACTAAATATTTATAGAAATCAGTCTGGAGTAACGTGACTCCAGATCAAACCTCAATACTTATTATTTTTTGGACGGGAATCTTTTCTTTTGTAACAACGTTACTGAGCGAATAAAGAGAAGACGCAACGGCGGATCCAGGGGGGAGCGTCATGGAGGTCATGGGAGTCATGGGGGCGTCATGACTCTCCCCCCCCCCTCCCTTAGCCCAGGACTTAGGTAGACCACTAATTGAACTAAAAAATAATGAAACAGCAAATTTTTTTGCACGATCGGAGTGTTGGTGCAGTAGTATTAATTATAATTAAACATTGTTACTTAAAATATAACAGTTAAAGTACTATAACACTAAAAGCAAAATAGGTATTTTCAAAATACTTTTTCAAAATAAATTACCCTTTGAGTTTTTGTCCAAACCTCAGATATTTTATTTATTTTAGGTATATCAATCATTACATAGTATAGTATAGTATAAAACAAAGTCGCTGTCGCATCTAACAAGTACATAAATAAAGAAAGAAGACTTTTTGGCTCTGAATATATTTCAAAAATCAATTACTTGTGTTAATCAATTTATATACTCGTTCTTATTTCATAGTACTTGTTTTGATCCGAATATATACAGATACCGTAACGGTCTATTAATTATGAATTTATTATACCTAACCTAGATATTTTATTTTGACGAAACTCCGTGTAGTAGTAGTATCCGATAAGGGTATGCGAACCCTAAGTATTATTTCAAAATGACCAGTAATTTCGAAGAAATAAGCCTTTGAATTTTGAATTTTGATTTTAATAAGCCTTTGAATCAACTTACCAAACGGACGCTCAAGGTTCGATTCAATATTCCCGCCACCGATTTTTTTTTGTTATTTTTTTTTTGTCTTTATTCTAATTTTAAATTAACTATTTTAATAATTAAATGAATTTAATAGAACAAAACGTTGTTAAGTATTCAATTAATTTTAATTTACATTACCTATTGTACTTTCTAAATTGTAAAGCAGCTAACAATTATAGTAAGATCTTATAAATAACTAACACAACAAGTAAAACATTTTAAATGTATTTTCTTTATTATTACAAATATTTTTTATGCATAATATAATATAATTATAGCGATATAACAGAAAGATGTGAAAAATGGAGAAGGACAGTAAAAAAGTTACAAATTTAAATAATGTTGCCGCAATTTCTGTTTAAATGAATTTATTACATTATTATATATATTAGGCATACGACTAGCCTTATGACTATTACTTTTTCTTTAATCTATACATCTATACATGTAAATAAAATTGGAGTGTCTGTTTGCAATATTGAAATAACCGTTTTTACTACTTGCATATGAATATAAATACGGTATACACCAAAATAACATATTTTACAAGTTTTGTCTGTCTGTCTGTCTGTTTGTTCCGGCTAATCTCTGAAATAGCTGGACCGATTTTGACGGGACTTTTTTTGGCAAGTAGCTGATGTAATAAGGAGTAACATACGCTACTGTTATTTTAGAAAAATAAAATAAAATTTCACGCGGACGAAGTCGCTGTGGCCAGCTAGTCTATAGATATACCGAGATTTAATATTTAAGTTGCTATTATGTTGTTGACAAAATTTTACTGTAATGTTACTATTACGTTATCCTACACAATTTGTATTATTTTGGATGAATAAATAAATAAATAAATAATAATCTATACATCTATACATATAAATAAAATTGGAGTGTCTGTTTGTAATAGTGAAATAACCGTTTTTTACTACATGCATATGAATATATATAAGGTACATATACCAAAATAACAATTTTTATAATTTTAGTCTGTCTGTCTGTCGGTCTGTTTGTTCCGGCTAATCTCTGAAATGGCTGGACCGATTTTGACGGTATTTTTTTTTGGCAGGTAGCTGATTTATAAGGAGTAACTTAGGTTACTTTTATTTTAGAAAATAAAGTTAAATTCCACGCGGACGAAGTCGCGGGAACAGCTTGTTTTTAATAAAAACATCTTTTTTGTGGTACTTGAGAATGTTGAAGCCTGTTGTCTGTAATATTGAAATAACCGTTTTTTACTACTTGCATATGAATATAAATACGGTACATACACCAAAATAACATATTTTACAATTTTTGTCCGTCTGTCTGTTTGTTCCAGCTAATCTCTGAAATGGCTGGACCGATTTTGACGGGACTTTTTTTGGCAGGTAGCTGATGTAATAAGGAGTAACTTAGGCTACTTTTATTTTAGAAAAATAAAGTTAAAAACCACGTGGACGAAGTCGCGGGTACAGCTAGTGTATAATATATTAGAGATACCTACGTGTTTTTTTATTGATGACTAGCTGTACACGGGATTTCGTCCGTGTGGAATTTAACTTTATTTTTCTAAAATATAAGAAGTTAAATTCCACGCGGACGAAGTCGCGTGTACAGCTAGTTGTCGGTAGTCTAGCGATTTAGCTAGCACACCGCTTTGATTCCTGCTTGGTGGTCGAGGGTTCGATTCCTCGCACGCTGCAAACATTTGTATTCATGAGTATGATTGTTTGTAACGGTCTGGGTGTTTTCTATGTATAGATAATATATATGTATTTACGACAAAAAATCTTTGTATTTATATCAGTTGTCTAGTACCCATAACATAATCTTCAGCTAGCTTAACTTGGGTCTAGACGAAGCTGTGTGAATTGTCTTGAGATTACTATTATTACTATAATAAATCTTTTCAAATCAGCCGATGTTTATTTTTGCCATAATACGTGCTGTTACCATGTGATAATATTACGTACGTACTTATTAAACTATTAACTTATTATTAAATTATTAACTATTTATACTGTTTTAAATGTGATGCGTTCATTATTTATATTTCCTTTGAATTAAAGACAAATGTATATACATATATATATATACATTTATATAAACTTGCACACTTAGTTGATCCAGCCACGATCCGTAGATATTGCTGATTCCACTGTCTCTCTCTTTCTACCACTATCTTTGTATTCTAATATGCGATGTTGCCGTTCCGGCCGAGACCATGCGTTGTTGCCAAATGTATTCGTCGATAGTAGTAGATACTCGATATATATTTTTTCAACAATTTCCTGCGATAGTGAATCCGTATCGGCAAAATTTTTTAAATGCACAAAGATTTTTTGGCTCTGAATATATTTAAAAATCATTTACTTGTGTGTTGATGAATTTATATACTAGTACATGAAGTACCTAATACTTGTTTTGATTTGAATAGGTAGCGATATTATGAATTTATTATACGTAATCTAAAGATTTTGACGAAATAAAAGTAATTAGTTATCTGTTAACCTTGACTTCATGCTGGCACCAATATTATCAGATGATGAACATACTCTTCGAAAACTTACAGCAGAAATATCGTGTTTGGACTCATTAGATAGGTCTCGATGAATAGAGTTTAAAAAACTTAAAATAAATGGTAAATTAGAAATAATGTATAAATACCCCTTACGTAAAATTCAACCACTTTAAACTTAATAATAATAATAATTAGGAAAAGAGAAAAGCTATACATGCACTGAAAGTAATTGATGCCTTCCACACAATATTTTCAGTATTAAACAACTCTGTTTGTTCAGTAAAAGTGTAAATACACTGGTAACCTTCAATCATATTTTATATGCAAACATTACATATACAAACCCTAAAGTTTTATTTCAGAATAGCCAGTAGTTTTCAAGAAATAAGTCTTTGAAATTGTACGTGTAACTTATATATATACCTACTAGTTTTTTCACCATAACAAACAACACCAATATGGCCTAGTTAGTAGTTTACCTGTGTACCAATTAATAATAATAGTAATCTCAGGACAATTCACACAGCTTCATCTAGACCCAAGTTAAGCTAGCTGAAGATTATGTTATGGGTACCAGACAACTGATATAAATACAAAGATTTTTTTGGTAAATACATATATATTATCTATACATAGAAAACACCCAGACCGTTACAAACAATCCTACTCATGAATACAAATGTTTGCAGCGTGCGAGGAATCGAACCCTCGACCATCAAGCAGGAATCAAAGCGGTGTGCTAGCTAAATCGCTAGACTACCGACAACTAGCTGTACACGCGACTTCGTCCGCGTGGAATTTAACTTCTTATATTTTAGAAAAATAAAGTTAAATTAAAAAAAAACACGTAGGTATCTCTAATATTAATATATTAGAGATACCTACGTGTTTTTTTTTTGAGCTGTACACGGGATTTCGTCCGTGTGGAATTTAACTTTATTTTTCTAAAATATAAGAAGTTAAATTCCACGCGGACGAAGTCGCGTGTACAGCTAGTCATCAATAAAAAAACACGTAGGTATCTCTAATATATTATACACTAGCTGTTCCCGCGACTTCGTCCACGTGGTTTTTAACTTTATTTTTCTAAAATAAAAGTAGCCTAAGTTACTAGGTAGTAGCCTTATTACATCAGCTACCTGCCAAAAAAAGTCCCGTCAAAATCGGTCCAGCCATTTCAGAGATTAGCAGGAACAAACAGATAGACGGACAAAAATTGTAAAATATGTTATTTTGGTGTATGTACCGTATTTATATTCATATGCAAGTAGTAAAAAACGGTTATTTCAATATTACAAACAACAGGCTTCAACATTCTCAAGTACCACAAAAAAGATGTTTTTATTAAAAACAAGCTGTTCCCGCGACTTCGTCCGCGTGGAATTTAACTTTATTTTTCTAAAATAAAAGTAGCCTAAGTTACTCCTTATAAATCAGCTACCTGCCAAAAAAAGTACCGTCAAAATCGGTCCAGCCATTTCAGAGATTAGCCGGAACAAACAGACCGACAGACATGTCTGTCTGACAAAAATTATAAAAATTGTTATTTTGGTATATGTACCTTATATATATTCATACGCATGTAGTAAAAAACGGTTATTTCAGTATTACAAACAGACACTCCAATTTTATTTATATGTATAGATGTATAGATTATTATTTATTTATTTATTTATTCATCCAAAATAATACAAATTGTGTAGGATAACGTAATAGTAACATTACAGTAAAATTTTGTCAACAACATAATAGTAACTTAAACATTAAATCTCGGTATATCTATAGACTAGCTGGCCCCAGCGACTTCGTCCGCGTGAAATTTTATTTTATTTTTCTAAAATAACAGTAGCGTAAGTTAATCCTTATTACATCAGCTACTTGCAAAAAAAAGTCCCGTCAAAATCGGTCCAGCTATTTCAGAGATTAGCCGGAACAAACAGACAGACAGACAGACAAAACTTGTAAAATATGTTATTTTGGTGTATGTACCGTATTTATATTCATATGCAAGTAGTAAAAAACTGTTATTTCAATATTACAAACAGACACTCCAATTTTATTTACATGTATAGATGTATAGATTAAAAAAAAAAAGTAACAGTCATAAGGCTAGTCGTATGCCTAATATATATAATAATGTAATAAATTCATTTAAACAGAAATTGCGGCAACATTATTTAAATTTGTAACTTTTTTACTGTCCTCCTTTTTTCACATCTTTCTGTTATATCCCTATAGTTCTCTCTATATTTTCTGTTTTTCTTACTTTCAATTTGAGACTGTACTTATAATTTGATTATCGGATCATTATGTATTTATTTATACATTTATGGGTTATATATTTATGTATGTATATTGTTATTTTTTTATAGAAATGTATATTTTGCTTATCTTTATTATCTTTATAAATCTTTTTTTGACATTTCTTATTTATATTAGTGCACCGCCAATAATCTTTCGCTGCACCACTCATGGTTGCCTGGTAAATAACGCGGCAAGATATTAAGTCCGCCACATGTACAATTTTTTTTGTGCATTAAAGTTAAATAAATAAAAAAAATACAATACTGTTTAATGAAAATGCGTGTTGTCTAGTGCTTTGAGATGTATCAAAATAAGGTCAACAAAAAAGTCCGTGATGGTATATGTCTATCTCTCAAGGATAACCAACAATAACCATTTTTTATCTTTTACATTTTACGGGAATTTTTTTTATCGTATGTTTCCCTTAAAATCATGTAAACTATGCTATTATGTCATAATCTAAAGAAATAATAATATTTTATAGTGAAATATCCACTATAAAATAGTAATGTAAGTAGCAATGTAATTCGTTACGCGCGAATCAGCTGTTATAAGGTCAAAGGTCGGTGCACCCCGCGTATTTGATAAATAGTGCTTCTCTGGATGTCTTTAAGAGAAAATGGCAGTATGTACGTGTATATGTACAAGTCCTTAAGTGTTAAGTTTTTCAAATGTACAATAAAGAATAAATATTTTTAAGTACAGTACTTACGTACATTAATATAATACCTACTTTTTACTTGTATCTATTGTCATCAAAATTAAATTATAAGTTCTTAACTTGACCACGACTATGTGACCCTCTCTTGGGTGAAAAAATGAACAGCATACGACGACGACGCATACCTATAGAGTGGAGCAACTGCTTATTCAGTTTTATTCAACTATTTAGTCCCTCCACCGTTACAATGAATGGAGGCGGATATTATAATGTATGTAGCATTGCGAATATAAAATATCTAGATTAGGTATAATAAATTCATAATTGATAGACCGTTACGGTATCAGAGCCAAAAAATCTTCTTTCTTTGTTTATGTACTGTTAGATGCGACAGCGACTTTGTTTTATACTACACTATGTAATGATTGATATACCTAAAATAAATAAAATATCTGAGGTTTGGACAAAAATTCAAAAGGTACTTTATTTTGAAAATACCTATTTTGCATTTAGTATTTGAAATACAAAACACAAAACTATTTTTGTTTTTAGAGTGACATTTCTATGAATTCACTGTCGATAGCGAGCGGTGCGATGGAAAAAGATAACCGTTTATAAAAATATAATAAATAGCCCTGGACGATTAACACAGACTGATACTGAACTGATATAAATAGATATTTTTATTTTGTAAATACATATATAATATACATATAAAACACCCAGACCGATGAAAACAATCGATGACCGATGAGTACAAATGTTTGCACCGTGCGAGAAATCGAACCCGTGACCATCGGATGTAAAGCGGTGTGACTACCGAGGCAGTCGAAATATATAAATAATCTTATGAATTTAATTTATTCTAATTTGTTAGTGTGCGCGGGGTGCGGTGTACGGTGCTCCCCCCTGCCTCCACCGTTGCTGGAGCTTGCATGTATGGAGCATTGCGAATATAAAATATCTAGATTAGTAAATTCATAATTGACAGACCGTTACGGTATCTATATATATTCGGATTAAAATAAGTATCGCAGTAAGGACCAGTATATAAAGTGATCAACACAATTAATTGATTTTTGAAATATATATACAGAGCCAAAAAGTCTTTGTGTATTCAAAAAATATCTAATTTGTTTGTGTGCGCGAGGTGCGGTGTACGGTGCAGGGGGGACCCTGCCTCCACCGTTGCTGGAGCTTGCATGTATGGAGCATTGCGAATATAAAATATCTACATTAGTAAATTAATAAAGTCATAATTGATAGACCGTTACGGTATCTATATATATTCGGATGAAAGTAAGTATCGCAGTAAGGACGAGTATATAAAGTGATCAACATAATTAATTGATTTTTGGAATATATTCAGAGCCAAAAAGTCTTTGTGTATACCAAAAATTTAGCCGTTCGGAGCCATTCAGTCACGAATTATTAGTAAAAAAAGTGTCGAGTATATCGTACTATCGACGAATATATATGGCCGCATCGCAAAATAGAATGCGACGTTGCCATACCGCCTGAGATATACGCGATAGGTGTGAAGTTATTCAGTGCAAAAGGTGGAATCAGCAAGTGTTTCGCTTGTGGCGTGATCAACAAAGTGCCCAAAGAGGTGTTTATATATATATACGAGTATATATTATATATTTTTTATTGCACTTTAAACATATACAGAGTGAGCAAAGGTGGACTTATCTCTAAGAGAGATCTCTACCAGTCAACCCAACAATGTGGCATAGCTAGTAGTGAGTGGGTAACATCTGTGCAATTAACACTATTATGTTGAAATGTCCAAAAGTTGAGAAAAATAAAACATTTAAAATTCAACAAATTAAATAAAGTTCTAATTATATTATAATTATAATAAGATATGCAATAATAAATAAAATAAACATTAATAAAAGTTATATATATATACATACATACATATACAATTACTATAGATATATCTTATATATAAAATTCTCGTGTCACAGTTTTCGTTCCCATACTCCTCCGAAACGGCTTGACCGATTCTTATGAAATTTTGTGAGCGTATTGAGTAGGTCTGAGAATCGGCCAACATCTATTTTTCATCCCCCTAAATTTTAGGGGTAGTCCAACCCTAAATTTTTTATTTTATTTTAAGGCAAAACAACTTGTAATTGTAAACTTACAAGGATTATTTAAAAGAGCAACACACAAATTTCTTGCTCGTTCTTCTGATGAGACAGCTTTCTGAATAAGCGGTAGATTAAAAAAAATGTGATGACTATTCAAAAGTGCTTCAATGTAAGTTTATTTGAATAAATGATTTTCTATTCTATTCTTTCGGAAAACTTTGTAACATTTTGTTTATGGCCCCACATTAGGATACTGTAACGTGAGAGTAAAAATAAGTTGAACAGTCAAACTAACATTGTTACAACGATCACAGATATATTGCTTTTATATATAGTAATATTCATATATGTATGGATTTGTTAGTGCGCGAGTGTGTGTGTGTGTGTGTGAGAGAGAGATAGAATAGTAAATATAGAAGAATACGGAAATATTTCTCAAAACTTTCTATAGTAAATAGAAAGTATATGATATACATATCGCGCCGACCCCAAATGAAGAAGTAGATGATGATGATAATGTAGCGCGGGTAAAGCCAGGTATTGTGTTGAGAACAGAGTACGCTCCCGGGCTTCTGATCCAGCGGACAGTCGGAAGGTTGTGTATTTGTTAGTGAGTATGTGTGAGACAGAGAGAGAATATTATGAAAGCATTCCTCAACCCTTCCTATAAGTAAACGAATTGTTAATGATATGAAAACATTTCTCAACACTTCCTATGAGCAATAGAAATAGAAATAATCTTTATTCAAATAAACTCATTACAAGCACTTTTGAGTAGTCATATTTTGATTCTACCACTCATTCGGAATGCAGATTCATTACAAGAAGAATGAGCAAGAAACTTGTGTGTTGCTCTTTTGAATAGATGTTTTTTTTATATAATAATTACAGTATAACAAGTAAGAGGCATGCGATAATCAACATAGAAATCGCTACGCACTCATTATTAGTGTAATCAGATAATATTGTCAGTGCTATGAATTTTAAGTTTTTCTATAAAAACATTATTGTCGTTAATGAATTCTTCAATTTTATAATGAATTCTTCCATTCAATAGGTAGTATATAATAATAGATAAGCCAGTCGTGACACGTAGTATGTTGGTAACAGGCGCAAGCGAGCTCCCGGGCTGCTCCGGCGGCAGGCAGCCCGGGCGCTCCGGCGGCGGGGAGTGCTGCTGGGGCTCCGCCGCCGCCGGTGTCGTACCGGAACTGCATCCAGCTGGCGGCGTGCGCGGCCGGCCAGAGCCTGCCCATGAACCCGGAGCTGCCGGCGGACCTGTTCACGGCCTGCCTCACCACGCCCGTCAAGATGGCCATGAAGTGGTTCGTGTTGCGCAGCCGCACCACGCTCGGACCCCACAACCTCCTCGAGCTCATCGACAAGTGAGTATACACTATATGTTACGATTTTTTTTCGGACTACTTTAATACTGTTGTATACAAAAAAAGGCCGTTCTAGCCACATCGTAGCGAAGAGATCGTCGTGTGTCAGGCACTATAAGAACCTTCTCTTGCACCCGGTCGGTTCTTTTTTCGGACTACTCTAATGCTGTTGGCCGCAGCTGGCCTTTACAGTATCACCGGACGATAGCTTTAGACCCAACACGAACGGGAGTATGAGGTGATGAATACGTATATATATATTATATATAAAATTCTCGTGTCACAATTCCCATACTCGTCCGAAACGGCTTGACCGATTCTCTTGAAATTTTGTGAGCATATTGAGTAGGTCTGAGAATCGGCAGACATCTATTTTTCATCCCCCTCTCTCTTGGTGCTATAAGAACCAAGAGAGAGAAGACAAGAGATTGCACCCGGTTTTTTTTCGGACTACTCTAATGCTGTTGGCTGCAGCTGGCCTTTACAGCTTCACCGGACGTTAGGGGGCGAGTGCAGATGGCACTCCAAACCAAAGAAGGACTTATGGAGCGGCTGAAGGCCAACTCCCGCCTGACGGATACAACTTTAGTCTGAGGGCACCGCTAGGAGTCTCTTAGGCCGTCGTAATATCGATCCCCGTTTGAATTGGACGGGGAATCGATCGGAGGGGGTGACTGCGAGTGGTAAACGTTATCTATATATAGGTACATGTACAGCTCTACGATAATGATGGTATCACATCATCATGTGATACCCATGTTATCACTCATGAGTCGCAATACTGAGGACTAAGATGTTTTGTATACCACTCGGTAAGGTAAAATGTAGTCTGAGGGCATCGCTAGGAGTTCAAACCTCGGCTCAGACCGTAATTTCGATCCCCGTTTGATTTGGACGGAGGATCGATCGGAAAGGTACCTCTATAGGGTTAATTCTGACAATAACTATATATTTGTATCAATAATAATTGTGTTTTCATACACAATTATTATATTTCAATTCAATCATATAAGTGTAATATATAAACATTCACGTATATATGTATGTAAGTATGTATTTAATTATAGGAGCCAACAGAATATCAGCGCTGCAGACTTATCTGTAGCTTCATGCTGAGTTGGTTGCCTCTTCATCATTGCGACACATAAAGCCACCTCCATTTTTATTTTATTTTGTAATATTATATTTCTGTATTATTTAATCTGTAAACTTTATTTCTATTTATAAAATGTATCTCATGTATGCTATGTGTTTGTAATGGTTGAATAAAGAACTTATCTATCTATCTATCTATCTATCTATGTGTAATGTTTCCTCTTCAGCTTGGCAAAATCTGCAGATTTTTTTTGTGTATATGAATAAAGATTTTTTTTTATTACCAGGATACCCGGCCAGGTGACAGACCGTCGCACAATGCTAGGCGAGCTGAACTGGATCTTCACAGCGATCACGGATACGATAGCCTGGAGCTCGTTACCTGCGGACCTGTTCCAGCAGTTGTTCCGTGCCGACCTGCTGACAGCCAGCCTCTGCCGGAACTTCCTGCTCGCAGACAGGATAATGAGGTATTTTTGAAAGATATGTTCAGAAGTGTAATAGAAGATCTGTGCATAGTTCTATGCAGCTCTAATGAAACTAGTGGACTAGAATATAAGATGTATAATCATTAGACTGCTTGCAATGACAACAGATTTAATTTTTTTTAATTTACTGCATTGAAATAGAAATATAAATAATCTTTATTCAAATAAACTTAATATAAGCACTTTTGAATAGTCAAGTTTTTTATTCTACCGCTCATTCGGAATGCAGATTCATCACAAGAAGAATAAGCATGAAACTTGTGTGTTGCTCTTTTAATATAAATATTGATTTACTTATATTTAATTAACAACAAGTATTAGGCATGCGACAATCAACATAGAAACCGCTACGCACTTAATCTCTGTTCAATCAGATAACATTGTCAGCGCTATGAATTTGAAATTAGATATTTTCTACAAAAATATTATTATCATTTATAAATTCTTCAATTTTATAATAAGCTTTTTATATCATTTTATTTAGCTTATTTAATCTTATTGTGTATTTAATATTTGGTAATTTTTATTCTCATGTTTTGACTTAAAAATGGAAGGTAACATTCATTATATAAAGAAGTAACACTTAAGTTTCTTGCTCGTTCTTTTTGTGATGAGACAGCGGTAGATTAAAAGAAAGATAACTGTGATTATTCAGAAGTGCTTAAATTAAGTAGATTTGAATAAAGAATTTTCTATTCTATATAATTTAATATATATATCTATACATCTATACATATAAATTTGGAGAGTCTGTTTGTAACATTGAAATAACTATTTTTTATTACATGTATATGAGTATAAATACGGTACATACACCGAAATAACATTTTTTACAATTTTTGTCTGACTGTCTGTTTGTTCCGTATAATCTTTGAAATGGCTGGACTGATTTTGACGGGACTTTTATTGGCAGGTAGCTCATGTAAGTGTAGAGTAATTTAGCTTACTTTTATTTTAGTAAAATAAAGTTAAATTCCACACGGACGAACTTGCGGGTGCGTCTAGTATTAAATAATTCAAATTCAAAATATCTTCATGATATGTCAAGTGTACCGTCAGTTCGGAACGATTTCGAGACGAGAACCGACAAGAGAGTGCGAGTGTAGTGAGGTAAGGGTGTGTGGTGGTGGCAGGTCGTACAACTGCACGCCGGTGTCGATGCCGGCGCTGCCGTCGCTGGCGCGGCACGCGCTGTGGGCGGCGTGGGAGCAGACCCTGGACCTGGCGCTGGCGCAGCTGCCCGCGCTGCTGGCCGAGCCCGACCACCGCCCGCACCCGCTCCCGCACCACTACCACCACTCGCCCTTCTTCCGCGACCAGCTCACCGCCTTCCAAGTCTGGCTCGACCTCGGCAAATGTGAGTCCGCCCATTCCCTAGTACTCCATTACCTGCTCGTTGTGTTCTTTATAATAATAATCATGGCTACGCGACTTTGTCCGCGTGCTTATAGTGACTGACCGAATTAAGAAATATATTAAATAACTTAACACAAAGAAAAAAGTTGCATCGTCGCTCGCTTCGAAGGTTTAAGAATGACGATATTTCAATACAATACTTTCATACTTTCATCACCCCTTTCAACCTCTTACAACCCTGTTTTGCATTAAAAAGTAACCTATGTCCTTTCTTAGAGTGTATACTATCTGTATACCAAATTTCATCTAAATCGGTTCATTAGTTTTAGTACCTAAGTAAGAACGAATAGGTAAAAGTTTAAAAGGGATGATCTTTTTCTACCTCTTACAACCCTGTTTTGCATTAAAAAAAAGTAGCCTATGTCTTTCTCATGGTTTATACTATCAATGTACCAAATTTCATTTAAATCGGTTCAGTAGTGAAAGCAGGACAAAGCGTTAGATAGAGTTACTTTCACATTTATAATATTATACCTATATAAGTGTGTGTGTGTGTGTGTGTGTGCGGCGGGCAGGGTGCGTGTGGCGGCTGCCGCCGGAGCAGCTGCCGATGGTGCTGCAGGTGCTGCTGTCGACGCTGCACCGGGTGCGGGCGCTGCAGCTGCTGTGCCGGTTCCTGGCGCTGGGCGCGTGGGCGGTGCGCGCCGTGCTGCACGTCGGCATCTTCCCCTACATGCTCAAGCTGCTGCAGGCCTCCGCCCACGACCTGCGCGCCTCCATGGTCTACATCTGGGCCAAGATCATCGCCGTCGACCCGGTACTGCTCTCTACTATTTACAATAATAATAATCTCAGAACAATTCACACAGCGCCAGCACAGACCCAAGTTAAGTTAGTTAAAGCTTGTATTATAGGTACTAGATAACTGATATAAATATATATATATATATATATTATATATAGTAAACACCCAGACCGACACAATCAATCATACTCATGAATACAAATATTCCTTCTCATTTCTGCACTGCTTCTCCATTCTTTTCAGTCTGCGTAATTTTTTTAATTCGTTAAAAGATAGAATTACTATGGACTAAAATTATTTATTTATTTAACTTTAATGCACACAATACAATAGTACAGTATATTTCTCGGACTTAACATCATGTGGCATTTTCTACCAGTCAACTATAGATAGATCACTATGTCAGTCACCTTTGAGTTATATATATTTATATAATACTGAAAAATAATTAAACACACTTGATTAGTATAGTTCATGGTTATTAAAGTAGTATTTGGGAAACTACTCTCTGATACCAAAATGTTAGGGAATTTACTTAGCTGTCACGTACCTGTATGGTTCTGCGGATTTCTTGGGCTTCAGGATCTCGAAGATATCTTCGCTAGCTTTCCAGTTTCACAGTAGGTTTCACAGTTCTAATTTATTTTAATTCACAACACAGATTTTTAACAAGTAGATACTATAGTATTATATAGATAGTATTTATTTATTTAAAAGAGCAACACACAAGTTTCTTGCTTATTCTTCTTGTGATGAATCTGCATTCCGAATAAGCGGTAGAATAAAGAAACTTGACTATTCAAAAGTGCTTATATTAAGTTTATTTGAATAAAGATTATTTCTATTTCAATGTGCGGCTTTTGTATTGATTGTCGCATGCATCCTCATGTAAAGTGCGGATACTGTAACTACCATATAGTAATTTTTGTAGCTGTGACGTGGTCGAGTGGAATGAGTAGTCATGCTCCCTAAAATGTCCAGACATGTGGCGGCGTGGTGGGCCGGGTCATTGGGCTCCCTAAAATATGGTCGAGCGCAGTGATGTCTGGCTCATCCGTCATACTCGTGAACGAGTGCTGCTTGTAGGGACTGGTCTGCTCTTATCACTACGACTGATTTAATCTTATTGTATATTTATATTTGACCCAAAAAATTAGTGCTGGTTGGTAGTTTGTATTCACACGTTTCGACTGGTAAATGTTCATGTCAGACATTTGGTCAGTTCACTCACATCTGGTAAATACACCGTCTCAACCGACATCGTATTATTGTTGCTCAAAGTTTTTGCGTCATATATTATTACTAGCTGTACCCGCGACTTCGTCTGCGTGAAATTTAACTTTACTTTTCTAAAATAAAAGTAGCTGTTACTCCTTATCACATCAGCTACCTGCCGAAAAAAGTCTCGTCAAAATCGGTCCAGTCATTTCAGCCGGAACAAACTGACAGACGAAAATTGTAGAAAATCAGATACCTGCCAAAAAAAGTCCCGTCAAAATCCGTCCAGCCATTCAGCCGGAACAAACTGACAGACAAAAGTTGTAGAAAATGTTATTTCGGTCTATGTACCGTATTTATATTCATATGCATGTAGAAAAAACGGTTATTTCAATATTACAAACAGACACTCCAATCTTATTTATATATGTATAATGATACTGTTTGTTGTTATAGAGTTGTCAAGTGGACTTGGTGAACGCAAAAGGGCACAAATACTTTCTATCCGTACTACAGGACCCTACAGTCGATGTAAGTATTGTTGAATGAGATTAAAAATTTTATAAATATACTAGCTATTGCCCGCGGCTTTGCTCGCGTTAATTTATGGGTGGCTATTTAGGGATGGAATTTATCAAAATCTTTTCTTAGGGAATGTCTACGTCATAGTAGCTTTATGCATGCAGTCTCAGCCTGATCGGTTTAAAATTGTCAAATTTTCATCCCAAATTTTATCCCCTTGGGGATAGAATTAATCAAAATCCTTTCTTAGCGGATGTCTACGTCATAACATCTACCTGCATGCCAAATTTCAGCCCGATCCGTCCAGTGGTTTGGGCTGTGCGTTGATAGATCACTATGTCAGTCATCTTTGAGTTATATATATTTATATAAACATACTACCTGACCCTGCAAACGTTGTTTTGCGATATAAATTAACTTAGCTATTAAAAATAGGGGTTGGTGACAGAAGGGTGAAAATTTGTCTGTTTGTGTCTGTATTTTTAATGCCACATAATAATAAACATATAAAGAAAAATGTCGAAAAAATAACTTGTGTTGAGCCTGCGTTAGGGGTATAAAAATTAGTTATAAATCTATTCTCAGACTTACTGAATATACATGTAAAGTTTCATCAAAATCCGTCAAGCCATTTCGGAGGAGTGAACACGAAATTTGTGAAACGTGAATTTTATATACTAGTTTTGTTTATAAATATATTTCTGTGCACAGTGCGAGCATAGGACGCTGGCTGCGTACGTGCTGGCTGGCATCGTAGATAATTATTCTGCGGGTCAGGAAGCTGCGTTACAGGTACGTCAGTGATGATTGAGTGGTCCGTTATGTTGTGCATGTATTTTATATTCTCGTGTTACTGTAATTTATTTTATATTACGTTTCTATCCGTGAAAACCTATAAGTGGCCGTTCTCATTTAATTATGTTTATAACTACGTTTGTAAATAGTGTGATGACAGGAGCGGTGGTGAGAGTAAACACACACAGTAGGGTGTAACTTGTATATTAACTGTTACATCTTGAATTACTCTAGCTTACACTAATTACATAAACTATATATATGAGGTACTGCGTGACCTGGCACAATCTACTATCGAACGTGCTGAAATGCATCACTATATCACAATAGCGTCAATATATATAAATACACTATATTATTTATTTAGTTAGAAAAGTCAAGTCAATGTAGGAACACGTTTTTTTAGGTTTTGAACTATTTTAGTGTTTTATTTGGTTTTCCGAAAATAAATAAATAAATAAAATATTCTAAATTTGTATTAGAATTTATAGTTCTTTTATATTACATTCTTGTTTTTGATACTTCAATTCCTTCATTCTATTGTAATATGTCTATATTAATATATTTTCTCCGTTTACCTAGTCTTTTTTCTTATTACTACAACACGTCATACTCGTGATCAGATGTTACTAGTACGGACTGATTTGCACAAATCAATCTATGACTAATTTCTTTTATTGCTTACTTGATGTGTTTCACCCGCACTTTGAAAATGAAATTTATAGCCTGTATGTTATTCTCATGTATCTATATATCTGTAAAGTTTCATCAAAATTCTTTCAGTAGTTTTTGTGTGAAAGAGTAACAAACATACACACAAACTTTCGCGTTTATAATATTAGGAAGGTTTCTTATTGTTATTTTTGGAATTTTGACGTTTATAGGTTTGTTATTGGTGATTTATAAATTTTTGTGTTGCATTAAGTGAATTTCTAACTTTTATTTGAAATTATCTATAGCGATGTAGGCGTGGTCGTTGATAATAATTTTTAACAACAATTTTTAAATTAAATAAATTATATCTTAATTTGTACATTAAAATAAAAATAAATAAATGTAATTGTAACGACCTCGGTATTCCTATATTTGTATTAGAACACCTGGAAGTTGTGACCCTGTTCGCAACAGCGCCTGCTGTCAGGAACAGTTGTGTTTTAAAACTGTCCAGCAATCAATTTAGCTCAGCCTTACTTGGGACTAGATGGTGCTGTGTGAAAGATCCAAAGATATTAATAATTAATTGTAGATAAGTAACGACCTCGACCTCGGTGGTCTAGCACATCGCTTTACGTCCGATGTTCGCGCGTTTGATTCCTCGCACGGCACAAACATTTGTATTCATGAGTATGATTGTTTGTATCGGTCTGGGTGTTTGATATGTATAATGTGTATGTATTTACAAAAAAATATATATCTATGGGGTTGGTCTATATCGGACCGCAGTTATAGTTATGTGTGTTTCTGCCGGCCGGCCACCGTTTGTGTACATTACAATCAGTCGCCAAAATACAACCGAGAAGACACAACGTCGTTTCATTTAAATTTAAGTACAAAATTTCCACTTCTCCCAAAGCAAACAGAAAGCAGCTTTAACACTTTCAACACATGTATTTGTATCAGTTGTCTAGTACCCACAACACAAGCTTTAGCTAGCTTAACTTGGGACTAGATGGCGCTGTGTGAAGTGTCCTGAGATAAAAAAAGTATTTGTTTATATTTTAGTTTTCCAACTGTATTAGTAGCTGTTAGTTTAAGTTTATTCATTTTTATAGATGTTGATGTTAAAATGTCCGCGAGAATCGGTATAAGTGTTTTATTATATTTTGATATATAATATGTTCGCGAAAGTCGGTTTACATTTTGTTTTTTTTATTATATGTATAATAATGTAGATATATATGGAGAACAACCACTGTGGAAAGAGTTTGGTAGCTTAATTTGCTACCCTAGTAACAGTAAATTGTTGCAGATCTATGGATAAGCTTATTGATTAGTTTCTTCTTCTTTATTTTAAATTTTGATCAGTGATTTTGCCAATGTCATGATTTGAGAGACACAGTGTAATACATTTGTAGCTTAATTCGCTACCCTAATCTCAAGTACACCCTTAGCATCCGTGGATTGACTAGTTTAGATGTAATATGAATGTGCAGGGCTCGATGATCTCGATCTGCCTGGAGCAGCTGCAGCTGTGCGGCGGGGAGGGCGCGCGGGGCGAGGAGGCGCTGCAGCAGTGGCTCATGGTGGGCGTGGGCCGGCTCTGGCGCTCCTACGACGCCGCCAGGTGGGCCGGCGTCAGGGACCTCGCGCACGAGAAGCTCTACCCGCTGCTGCATCATCGCCACCCTGAGGTGAGACCTACCGCACCTATCGCACGCACCGAGTGCTGCTCTCCTTTTTTTGTCTTCGAAAAAATCCCTCATGGAGACCCGCCCGCCCCGGGGGAGGCCAGCGGGTACTGTGAGACTCCTACTCACTAAAAACAAATTCAAATTCAATAATCAATTATTCATGTAGGACATTTGTAGGGTCCTAAACTAAGGACTTTTAGATTAAAAGATTAATTTTGGACTGTAAGTTAAAAGTAATAGTTGAAATATAAAAAATACAGAGAATGATCGGATATTGTGCGCGCGTGTAGTATTCGGTGGCGAGATCAGAAGTGAGGGCCAGCCGATCCGGTGCTAATCGCACTCCCTTCGAGCCGCGCCCCGCAGCACCGCCCGCGGACTCCAGTCCGGCGAGCCGACGATGTCCGAACACATTTTATTTATTTACATTATAATGTTATTTATTTTTCCCAAACGTCCAGTTCCCGTAAGAAGTTAATGTGACAGAAATGATGCAAATTACTTTGTATAAAATGTGCCTCGGTCCAATAATACACAATACAATGTGATATACTGCAACAAATAATTAAAATACTCATATATTATATATTTGGTCCTTCGAGCCGGATCAGATGTAGGATTTCTATACAATTAATGTGTGTGTGTGCGTGTCAGGTGCGCGCGGCGTGCGCGTTCGCGCTGGGCACGTTCGTGGCGGCCGGCGGCACCGGACCCCGCACCGAGCACGCCAACGCGCTCGACCAGCAGGTCGCAGTCGCACTCGCAGCGCGCGCGCCCGCGGACGTGGCGCTGCTGGTGCGGGCCGAGATACTGGCGGGTGAGTGGCGGCGGACCGGCAGCGGGCCGCGCACCGCCCGCACACGTGGCGCTGCTGGTGCGGGCCGAGATACTGGCGGGTGAGTGGCGGCGGGCCGCGCACCGCCCGCACACGTGGCGCTGCTGGTGCGGGCCGAGATACTGGCGGGTGAGTGGCGGCGGACCGCGCACCGCCCGCACACGTGGCGCTGCTGGTGCGGGCCGAGATACTGGCGGGTGAGTGGCGGCGGACCGGCAGCGGGCCGCGCACCGCCCGCACACGTGGCGCTGCTGGTGCGGGCCGAGATACTGGCGGGTGAGTGGCGGCGGACCGGCAGCGGGCCGCGCACCGCCCGCACACGTGGCGCTGCTGGTGCGGGCCGAGATACTGGCGGGTGAGTGGCGGCGGACCGCGCACCGCCCGCACACGTGGCGCTGCTGGTGCGGGCCGAGATACTGGCGGGTGAGTGGCGGCGGCCCGCGCACCGCCCGCACACGTGGCGCTGCTGGTGCGGGCCGAGATACTGGCGGGTGAGTGGCGGCGGACCGGCAGCGGGCCGCGCACCGCCCGCACACGTGGCGCTGCTGGTGCGGGCCGAGATACTGGCGGGTGAGTGGCGGCGGGCCGCGCACCGCCCGCACACGTGGCGCTGCTGGTGCGGGCCGAGATACTGGCGGGTGAGTGGCGGCGGACCGCGCACCGCCCGCACACGTGGCGCTGCTGGTGCGGGCCGAGATACTGGCGGGTGAGTGGCGGCGGACCGGCAGCGGGCCGCGCACCGCCCGCACACGTGGCGCTGCTGGTGCGGGCCGAGATACTGGCGGGTGAGTGGCGGCGGACCGGCAGCGGGCCGCGCACCGCCCGCACACGTGGCGCTGCTGGTGCGGGCCGAGATACTGGCGGGTGAGTGGCGGCGGGCCGCGCACCGCCCGCACACGTGGCGCTGCTGGTGCGGGCCGAGATACTGGCGGGTGAGTGGCGGCGGACCGGCAGCGGGCCGCGCACCGCCCGCACACGTGGCGCTGCTGGTGCGGGCCGAGATACTGGCGGGTGAGTGGCGGCGGACCGGCAGCGGGCCGCGCACCGCCCGCACACGTGGCGCTGCTGGTGCGGGCCGAGATACTGGCGGGTGAGTGGCGGCGGACCGGCAGCGGGCCGCGCACCGCCCGCACACGTGGCGCTGCTGGTGCGGGCCGAGATACTGGCGGGTGAGTGGCGGCGGACCGCGCACCGCCCGCACACGTGGCGCTGCTGGTGCGGGCCGAGATACTGGCGGGTGAGTGGCGGCGGACCGGCAGCGGGCCGCGCACCGCCCGCACACGTGGCGCTGCTGGTGCGGGCCGAGATACTGGCGGGTGAGTGGCGGCGGGCCGCGCACCGCCCGCACACGTGGCGCTGCTGGTGCGGGCCGAGATACTGGCGGGTGAGTGGCGGCGGACCGGCAGCGGGCCGCGCACCGCCCGCACACGTGGCGCTGCTGGTGCGGGCCGAGATACTGGCGGGTGAGTGGCGGCGGACCGGCAGCGGGCCGCGCACCGCCCGCACACGTGGCGCTGCTGGTGCGGGCCGAGATACTGGCGGGTGAGTGGCGGCGGACCGGCAGCGGGCCGCGCACCGCCCGCACACGTGGCGCTGCTGGTGCGGGCCGAGATACTGGCGGGTGAGTGGCGGCGGACCGGCAGCCGGCCGCGCACCTCCCGCACACGTGGCGCTGCTGGTGCGGGCCGAGATACTGGCGGGTGAGTGGCGGCGGACCGCGCACCGCCCGCACACGTGGCGCTGCTGGTGCGGGCCGAGATACTGGCGGGTGAGTGGCGGCGGACCGGCAGCGGGCCGCGCACCGCCCGCACACGTGGCGCTGCTGGTGCGGGCCGAGATACTGGCGGGTGAGTGGCGGCGGACCGGCAGCGCGCACCGCCCGCACACGTGGCGCTGCTGGTGCGGGCCGAGATACTGGCGGGTGAGTGGCGGCGGACCGCGCACCGCCCGCACACGTGGCGCTGCTGGTGCGGGCCGAGATACTGGCGGGTGAGTGGCGGCGGACCGGCAGCGGGCCGCGCACCGCCCGCACACGTGGCGCTGCTGGTGCGGGCCGAGATACTGGCGGGTGAGTGGCGGCGGCGCACCGCCCGCACACGTGGCGCTGCTGGTGCGGGCCGAGATACTGGCGGGTGAGTGGCGGCGGACCGGCAGCGGGCCGCGCACCGCCCGCACACGTGGCGCTGCTGGTGCGGGCCGAGATACTGGCGGGTGAGTGGCGGCGGGCCGCGCACCGCCCGCACACGTGGCGCTGCTGGTGCGGGCCGAGATACTGGCGGGTGAGTGGCGGCGGACCGCGCACCGCCCGCACACGTGGCGCTGCTGGTGCGGGCCGAGATACTGGCGGGTGAGTGGCGGCGGACCGGCAGCGGGCCGCGCACCGCCCGCACACGTGGCGCTGCTGGTGCGGGCCGAGATACTGGCGGGTGAGTGGCGGCGGGCCGCGCACCGCCCGCACACGTGGCGCTGCTGGTGCGGGCCGAGATACTGGCGGGTGAGTGGCGGCGGACCGGCAGCGGGCCGCGCACCGCCCGCACACGTGGCGCTGCTGGTGCGGGCCGAGATACTGGCGGGTGAGTGGCGGCGGGCCGCGCACCGCCCGCACACGTGGCGCTGCTGGTGCGGGCCGAGATACTGGCGGGTGAGTGGCGGCGGACCGCGCACCGCCCGCACACGTGGCGCTGCTGGTGCGGGCCGAGATACTGGCGGGTGAGTGGCGGCGGACCGGCCGCGCACCGCCCGCACACGTGGCGCTGCTGGTGCGGGCCGAGATACTGGCGGGTGAGTGGCGGCGGGCCGCGCACCGCCCGCACACGTGGCGCTGCTGGTGCGGGCCGAGATACTGGCGGGTGAGTGGCGGCGGACCGGCCGGGCACCGCCCGCACACGTGGCGCTGCTGGTGCGGGCCGAGATACTGGCGGGTGAGTGGCGGCGGACCGTGCACCGCCCGCACACGTGGCGCTGCTGGTGCGGGCCGAGATACTGGCGGGTGAGTGGCGGCGGACCGCGCACCGCCCGCACACGTGGCGCTGCTGGTGCGGGCCGAGATACTGGCGGGTGAGTGGCGGCGGACCGCGCACCGCCCGCACACGTGGCGCTGCTGGTGCGGGCCGAGATACTGGCGGGTGAGTGGCGGCGGACCGCGCACCGCCCGCACACGTGGCGCTGCTGGTGCGGGCCGAGATACTGGCGGGTGAGTGGCGGCGGACCGTGCACCGCCCGCACACGTGGCGCTGCTGGTGCGGGCCGAGATACTGGCGGGTGAGTGGCGGCGGACCGCGCACCGCCCGCACACGTGGCGCTGCTGGTGCGGGCCGAGATACTGGCGGGTGAGTGGCGGCGGACCGGCAGCGGGCCGCGCACCGCCCGCACACGTGGCGCTGCTGGTGCGGGCCGAGATACTGGCGGGTGAGTGGCGGCGGACCGCGCACAGCCCGCACACGTGGCGCTGCTGGTGCGGGCCGAGATACTGGCGGGTGAGTGGCGGCGGACCGCGCACCGCCCGCACACGTGGCGCTGCTGGTGCGGGCCGAGATACTGGCGGGTGAGTGGCGGCGGACCGTGCACCGCCCGCACACGTGGCGCTGCTGGTGCGGGCCGAGATACTGGCGGGTGAGTGGCGGCGGGCCGCTCACCGCCCGCACACGTGGCGCTGCTGGTGCGGGCCGAGATACTGGCGGGTGAGTGGCGGCGGACCGTGCACCGCCCGCACACGTGGCGCTGCTGGTGCGGGCCGAGATACTGGCGGGTGAGTGGCGGCGGACCGGCAGCGCGCACCGCCCGCACACGTGGCGCTGCTGGTGCGGGCCGAGATACTGGCGGGTGAGTGGCGGCGGACCGCGCACCGCCCGCACACGTGGCGCTGCTGGTGCGGGCCGAGATACTGGCGGGTGAGTGGCGGCGGACCGGCAGCGGCCCGCGCACCGCCCGCACACGTGGCGCTGCTGGTGCGGGCCGAGATACTGGCGGGTGAGTGGCGGCGGACCGCGCACCGCCCGCACACGTGGCGCTGCTGGTGCGGGCCGAGATACTGGCGGGTGAGTGGCGGCGGACCGCGCACCGCCCGCACACGTGGCGCTGCTGGTGCGGGCCGAGATACTGGCGGGTGAGTGGCGGCGGACCGGCAGCGGGCTGGTGCCGCGCGGGTGAGTGGCGGCGGACCGCCCGCACACGTGGCGCTGCTGGTGCGGGCCGAGATACTGGCGGGTGGCGGTGGCGGCGGACCGCGCACCGCCCGCACACGTGGCGCTGCTGGTGCGGGCCGAGATACTGGCGGGTGAGTGGCGGCGGACCGCGCACCGCCCGCACACGTGGCGCTGCTGGTGCGGGCCGAGATACTGGCGGGTGAGTGGCGGCGGGCCGCGCACCGCCCGCACACGTGGCGCTGCTGGTGCGGGCCGAGATACTGGCGGGTGAGTGGCGGCGGACCGCGCACCGCCCGCACACGTGGCGCTGCTGGTGCGGGCCGAGATACTGGCGGGTGAGTGGCGGCGGACCGGCAGGGGGCCGTGGAGCTGACACGTGAGCGACGCTGTATTTCCACTTCTAGCATACAGTAAAAAGAAAAAGGGGCAGCAATAAAATTTGATTTTGATTTGTTTATTATAACTACCCTACTTAGACCTACCTTTTTTGTATTTCTTGCCTAACCAATTATTAAAGACATACATGTCTCTTTACAGCGCTACAATGGCCGGTATTGATATTCGAGCAGCACTTCATAGCTGTGTACATACAGGAAAGAACGAGGCAAAGCAACAGGTATGGGATTCCAACAAACTATTATAACTTATGATATAACATTAACTGTACTGCATTAATATATTCAGCAGAGCGACTAAAGACCATACTCCTTCCTGACGGATAGGACATTAGTCTGAGGACACCGATTCTGGTTGTAATTTCGATCCCCGTTTGACACGGACGGGGGATCGATCAGAGGGTGCTCTGTTCCTGCTGTGTTTGGTGCGCCGGTTATATCGTAGCGTTTGTCGGTTTGTTCGCAGGGAGGGCGAGCAGCGTCCGGACGTGGGGCAGGACGCGCTGGTGGCCGCCCCCCGCGCCTCCCCGCCGCCGCCCCGCGCGCCCGCCGCCGCGCTCCTCACCTCCGCGCTCGCACTCCCCTCCATGTGGGGCCGCGCTCCGCCCCCGCGCCTCGGTGAGCGAGCGAGCACTGTATACCGCACCACACCCCACGTGGGGCAGGACGCGCTGGTGGCCGCCCCCCGCGCCTCCCCGCCGCCGCCCCGCGCGCCCGCCGCCGCGCTCCTCACCTCCGCGCTCGCACTCCCCTCCATCGGTGAGCGAGCACTGTATACCGCACCACACCCCACGTGGGGCAGGACGCGCTGGTGGCCGCCCCCCGCGCCTCCCCGCCGCCGCCCCGCGCGCCCGCCGCCGCGCTCCTCACCTCCGCGCTCGCACTCCCCTCCATCGGTGAGCGAGCACTGTATACCGCACCACACCCCACGTGGGGCAGGACGCGCTGGTGGCCGCCCCCCGCGCCTCCCCGCCGCCGCCCCGCGCGCCCGCCGCCGCGCTCCTCACCTCCGCGCTCGCACTCCCCTCCATCGGTGAGCGAGCACTGTATACCGCACCACACCCCACGTGGGGCAGGACGCGCTGGTGGCCGCCCCCCGCGCCTCCCCGCCGCCGCCCCGCGCGCCCGCCGCCGCGCTCCTCACCTCCGCGCTCGCACTCCCCTCCATCGGTGAGCGAGCACTGTATACCGCACCACACCCCACGTGGGGCAGGACGCGCTGGTGGCCGCCCCCCGCGCCTCCCCGCCGCCGCCCCGCGCGCCCGCCGCCGCGCTCCTCACCTCCGCGCTCGCACTCCCCTCCATCGGTGAGCGAGCACTGTATACCGCACCACACCCCACGTGGGGCAGGACGCGCTGGTGGCCGCCCCCCGCGCCTCCCCGCCGCCGCCCCGCGCGCCCGCCGCCGCGCTCCTCACCTCCGCGCTCGCACTCCCCTCCATCGGTGAGCGAGCACTGTATACCGCACCACACCACCATAAGCGGCGGCCCCACGTGGGGCAGGACGATCACTATGGCAGTCTGCCTTGTCAGCGGCGGTTCAACTCAACAACTCCCTTCGACGGGGGGAAAAGGGATTGTTAGTAATGTGGACGGATGATCTTATTGCTAGCAATATACCATGTCAGGTTGACATCCACGCGGTTCTCCCTGGAAACCATCCTGATAAATTCTTGGTGAAAATTTCTTAATGGCTAACTGACCTGACATCGTGCTTATCTTATCATCCTCCACTGGTGTCAGCGTAAACCGTCAGCGCAGGCGGGTACACCATTCCATTATCATTCTTTAAAAAACTCTTCATCCTTCATTCAAGACTACTGGTCTTCCTTCATGAAGATGGACAGCTATGATGCTGTAGTGGTGATAATACATATGAGACCGTTCAAATATTACGTAAACACTATGGGGGGGGGGGTCTGATTTGCTTATTTTGGATGGCCTACCCCCCATGGGTAGGGGAGTCTAGATGATGATTACGTCATCGCTAGCTCTCGTTGTCTTTTGCAAATTCTAAAAAAACAATACATTAATTGCAAAATGTTTACGTAAGCATGGGTGAGGGGGTAAGAACTTTGCTTACTTTTGCTGACAAGGGGGATGGGGGTAAATAATTATAATATATCTGCTTACGTAGTACTTGAACGACCCACATTCTGCAGTGCAGTCTTACTAACACTACATCTTCCTCTATCAGGTTTCGGCTCGGTCTACATGAAGCTGTGGAACACACTATGCGCCATGTCACGCGAACCTCACCCACAGATCTCGCAGATGGCTACAGATATTATCAACTATATTTCTAATCAGGTATTATTATCTGTATTTTATTAAATTTACTTTTACATATTCACAACATGTTGAATGAAATGTTTTTGGAAATAATTTGTTTTAGTAAACATTTGGAGTACGTTTTATATTGGATAATGTAGTGTAGGATAAATGAGATGACTGCGAACAGAGATGAATGGAAGAGAAAAACATTACGCCGACCACAAATAAATGGGATAAGGAAGAAGCAGATGATGATGTGTAGTGAAGGATGCCCCGCAGCTGGATGGAGTGACGACATACGTAGGGTAATAACTGGATGAGAAGGGGTGAAGATCGTGCCCAGTGGCGTGCCTTGGGAGACGCCCATGTCCAGCAGTGGACTGCAATGGGCTGATGATGATGATGATGATGATGATGTTTTATTTGAATATTCAAATAAATTGTATAACATGAATACATTTTTTTTTTATTATGAGTAGTTTTATGAGACTGAGTTTTATATACGTATCATATTATAGTCAGTTTTGTATTATATTTAATTGTCTCTATGAGATGAGTTTTATTAGATAACCGCTTATTCTTTTGGTCCTTCGAGCCGGATGAGTCTGTTTGTTTTTATCAAATTTATTATGTTAAATATGGATCAATAGTTTGTAGATATGAGTTTGTGGTTTTATTCAATAATTGTCTATTCTTTTGGTCCTACGAGCCGGATGAATCTGTAATCTGGATATTTTTTCTTGGATTGAGATTTATTACGTTAAATATGGTTTTTGTGTTATTTGTTGATTTACACTCGGTTAGCGATCCGTCCCGGCTTCGCACGGATAAGGATATAATAAAAAATATGTTTTACAAGCCTTTGAATTTCTCGGCTTGATTAATATTATAACACACATGTATTATATATATAAACGTTCTTTTTGTACTACACTATTTATTATTGGAAACTGCATTAAAATCCGTTGCATAATTTAAAAAGTATAAAGTGAACAGACAGCGGCGACATCATTTTATACTATGTAAAGATAAATAATCTTAAGAATAATATTATTTTATATTAAACGTGAAAGTTTATAACTATGGATGTTTGTTACTCTTTCACACAAAAACTCAACGGATTTTGATGAAACTTTACAGTAATATAACTTATGCATTAGTATTAAGAAAGAAAGAAAAGAAAGAAAGAAAAACATTTATTGTCAACCATTTTTACATATACATATATACATACATACATACACACTTAGAACAATTTCAATAATAATTTATCTTATATTATTTCTAAATATGGTTGGCAACATGGCTGACACTCAGCATATGCCGTGACAGCTAACTGTCACGGCGCTGGTATTCTGTGCCTGCCATTAGTGACAACACGTACAGCTCGATGTCAGTTTTTTGACCTTTGACATCTGTCAGATGTCATTATTGTTACTGACAGCAAAATTTTTACACGTGTTCGAGACCTGCCACGTACACAATTACAATTTTAAAATTAATATTAAGGAACAGAAAAATACTACAGTTACTAAAATACTACAAGCACAACAAGAAAAAAAAAAAAAAACAACTAGGCAATATATTTTTTATGGAAAATTATTATACAAATTAGTATTACAAGTAGGCTATATATTTTTTATGTAAAATTAACGCGTATGTTATCCTAGTATTAGAATAATTATGAGCCGACGTGACGTATGGTGAGGATATCGGCGGGTAGTGAATGTCGCGGTCAGTGTGCGCAGGTGGACCGCGAGGTGGAGTGCGGCGGGGTGCGCGTGGGCGGCGCGGGGGGCTCCGGGGGCTCCGGCGGCGGCTCGTCGTCGTCGCTGCCGCCGTCGCCCAACACCAGGCCCTCGCCGCTCGCCCACCACGCCCACCACGCCCACCACGCCCACCACGCGCACCACGCGCCCGACGCACGCACGCTGCCCTTCGGTGAGTGCTGTAACAGAAACAAAACTAACATCAATATATTCATTTGGCGCATAACAAACATTCGTACTACACGTTACAAAAAATATATTTAACTAGCTTTTGCCCGCGGCTTCGCTCGTGTTAATTTATCCTCTTAGGGGTGGAATTTATCAAAATCCTTTCTTAGGGGATGCCTACATCATAGTAGCTTTATGCATGCATAGTCTCAGCCCGATCGGTTTAAAATTGACAAAGTTTCATACAAACTTTCATCCCCTATTTTATCCCCTAAGGGGTAAAATTTCTCAAAATCCTTTCTTAGCGGATGCCTACGTCATAACATCTACCTGCATGCTATATTCCAGCCCGATCCGTCCAGTGGTTTGGGCTGTGCGTTGATAGATCACTACGTCAGTCACCTTCGAGTTATATATATTTAGATTAAAAAAAAATACAACTGCGACCATATTGCAATAACAGAATAACATTTATTACATTACATCATATCAATTATTAGAATAGAATAAAGGTAAATAAAAACAATGCATTGATTTAGAGATGAAATCGTTATATATAAGAAAGAGAAATTAAAAAAAAAACAATATTATATTGTTAGGAATGACCTCTAAATTTAATTAAATAAAAGAAACTTATAACAAATCATATAATTAATTTTAACAAAATCAGTACAAGGTAGAACTAAAATTATATAAAGTAAACACGGTGTGATACGGAGATTCGTTCGAGAGCACGTCTGTCGACCAAAGCAGGCCGCACGCTTTTCGGTCTACTCTAATGCTATTGGCCGCAGCTGGCCTTTACAGCTTCACCGAACGATAGGGAGCGAGTGCAGATGGCACTCCAAACCAAAGGAAGGACTTATGGATACAAGATAAATTAAGAAAAATATATAAATAAACATACATACATACATAGGGGCGGGCAGACAGCGACTTTGTTTTATACTGTCTAATGATAATATAATCCTGGACAATTAACACAGCGCCATCTAGTCCCACGGTAAGCAGAGCTTGTGTTATGGGTACTAGACAACTGATATTAATAATTAAATCTTTTTTTTTGTAAATATATACATATTATACTTAGAAAACACTCAGATAGATACAAACAATCATACTCATGAATATAAATGTTTGCACCGTGCGAGGAATCGAACCCGCGATTATAGTTAGAAAAGCGGTATGCTAGTAAAGCTAACCGCTAGCTAAAGTCAACCGCTAGACCAGTCTAGTGGTTTACTTTACGACACTTAGAAATTTACAAAAATCAATACCAGGCAAGAATGGGGGTTCTACCCATACAGAAAAATGTGGCAAGGGGTCTACGACACAAAAAAGTTTGGGAACCTCTGCGCTAGAGCATGGAGGCTGTCATATAATGTTCGTGTTCGGCAGGGGGCCGGCGGGGGCGCGCGGGGCTGCCGCACACCATCTCCGAGGAGTCCGTGGCGGCGCGCGCCCGGGACAGGGACAACTTCAGGGACAGGGACTCCACCTCCTCCACCTCTAGTCAGTATTACATTCATATACTTTGTTATAATCGTCACTAGCTATCCGTCCCGACTTCAAATTCATATCTGTAAAATAGATAAATATATCGTCTATTTGATTTCAAATTCAAATTCAAATTCAAAAATCATTTATTCATGTAGGACATTTTAGCCGCTTATGAACGTCAAATTTTTACATTATAATTTTATTTTTTTCCCTACCGTCCAGTTCGGTATATAGATCCAATTGAGAAGAACTGGCAAGAAACTCAATTGAATTACTTTTTTTTTTTTTAAAGCCAGTTTATTTACAATGTATATTTATATAGGTGTCTATGTCTAACATTAAATGAAAATTCAGTGCATGAACAACTATTGCCATGCACACTCGTCATTCAAGTAATCGTTTAGTGAGTAATAGGCTCTGCTCAGTAAATATGATTTAACAGATGTTTTGAATTTATTTAAGGGTAATTCCAACATATCCTTTGGTATCTTATTGTAAATTTTTATACCTATTCCCATAAAAGACCTATTAACTTTTTCTAAACGATACTTGGGGACAGCAAGTTTGTCTTTAAATCTTGTATTAATATTATGAATATTGCTGTTTTTTGGATTGTTACTATAGTGTTCACTTATTTATTATTTATGTCTTCTCGTATCTCCTGGTATGTAAGTTGTTATCGACGTAATATCGGCTCGTTAGCCACAGCTCCAGGTCTTTACTCCGCGGCGCTTGCGCGGGGAATATCTCCACTCTTGCGCACGGCGGCCCGTGTACACTCGCCGCGAGATGACAGATGATAAAACGCTAGTATTTCCACATACACTACAATGTTCATAAATATAGATATTACATAGTACGACGTTAGGTTTACAAGTATTATATTAACAGTAAATGGTACTACTTAGTTGTTCACTACTCGACTATCATGACCTAAGTGTCCTCTCAAATGTATTCTCTCCCCAGTAGTAGCTATTGCCCCACCACCAATGTGACATGGCATGCCATAGACTAGCCACAGGCACAGGTATTCATTCTAGAAAGGTAGTCTGGAGAATATGTCGCTGCTATCTACACAGCATAACATAGTGGCGCCCTCTATTAACTTTCTTACGATAGCGGCAACAACCCACATTTTATTCCATTATTAAGCCATTATGTGTTATTTGTAGCAGTACAATAAGGTCGAAGCTCAGCGTGGAATATTGTTCAGAGAATAAAACACAGATAGATTCAAATTCAAAAATCATTTACAACGTTTTGAGCCGCTTATGATCGTAAATTTTTTTATGTTATAATTTTTTTCCTACCGTCCAATTCAATATATAGATGCAATTGAGAAGAACTGACGAGAAACTCAATTGAATTACTTTTTTTTTAAAAGCCAGTTTATTTACAATGTCTATGTCTAATATTAAATGAAAATCCCATGCATGAACAACTATTGCCATGCACGCTCGTCATTCAAGTAATCAGGATTACATGAAAACAGGAGCTCTTAAAAAATTTTTACCCAAAAAATCTGAAAATTACAATTTTCAACAGACAAGAGCTTATTTTTTTATATTCTGTACGACCTACCATTTTTCACTGAAATAGAGCTTCTCGAAAATCACTCATAAATTTGGAAAATTTTCTGCTCCCTTAATTTTTTGCGAGTAGTGTACAAAAATATTCACGTAAACATGTGTGAACATGTACCGTCAGGTCAACCACCGAAGAAGCCAATAGTGCAGACGTCGTTCGTGGAGTGGGCCTCGTCGCAGCTGGCGCGGCCCGAGGGGGGCGCGGGGGGGCCCGTGGGGGGGGCGCCCGTGGGGGGGCCGCCCCCCGACGACTGCGAGAGCCGCGCCCATCACGAGCGCGTGTGGCGCTACACGCGCAACAAGAACCTGCGCCGGGACGCCGATGGTAACACCACCATTTTTTTTTATTGGGTTTATCTGGGCGTATTGTCAGGTGCGTGTAGCACCTGTAGCACTGCGACCTACATAGATCTATTGTGCTCGCCCTTTTTCAGAGTTCGCTACCTAGACCCGTCAGGGACAAGAATTGAAGGACATTCTTAGGAGCGATGGTTTTTATCTCCTCGGAAAAGAGTGTAAACTTTCCAAGGGAGATATTTCGTTTATGCATGAGTGTGCCACAACCACATAGGATTTGTAGTGGCGTTTCCTCTTCAGTTTGGCAAAATCTGCTGATTTTTGTTACACCACCAAACTATAGAGGAAGCAAAAGAATAGAATAAAAAAATCATTTACTCAAATAAACTTAATATAAACACTTTTGAATAGTTATAACAATTTTTTTAATCTACCACTCATTTGGAAAGCTATCTTGATGAGACAGCTTTCCGAGAAGAACGAACAAAACATTTGCGTGATTCTCATTTAAATAATCCTTGTAAGTTTACATTTACAAATCGAAACGTGTGAATACAAACTACCAACCAGCACAAATTTATTTGAGTCAAATATAAATACACAATAAGATTAAATCAGTCGTAGTGATTAGAGCACACCCTACAAATAGGACACGTTCACGTGTATGACGTATGCCAGCTATAACTGCACTCGACAATATTTTAGAGAGCCCAATGACCCGGCCCACCACGCCGCCACATGTCTGGACATTTTAGTGAGCATGACTACTCAAAACACCAGACCACGTCATAGCTGCTCAAAATTACAAAAAGCAGTTTAAAATTACCAAACACGGCAAAACACCACCTCAGATCTTGTGCTGAAAAACAGCGTCGCAGCGCCACAACCGCTGCAGCATTATGCTGATCATGGACCTATTCAGTAGATGTTTTGACACACACATACGTAATTTTGTAATGTTGTAAATGATAAAGATACTTTTTTTTGTAATGTTACAATTTTTGAGTTTTTTTTTGTTTAGTGTATGTTTTATTTATGTTTTGAACATCTGCCGAATATATATCTTTTCATTTCAAATTAATATCATCATCTGCTTCTTCCTTATCCCATGTATTTGTGGTCGTCGTAATATGTTTTTCGCTTCCATTCATCCCTGTTCGCAGTCAGCGCGTTATTTACTTCCTTTCTTACCATATCATCTATCACACAGTCCATCCATCTCTTTTTCGGCCTTCCTCTGCCCTTATAACCATACACATTCATTTGTAACATCTTTCTTAAAATATTATCCTCGTTCCTACGCATTGCATGTCCATACCAAATGAATGATATACTCCAAATATAGTCGGTACGTAATTTTTTTTGTAGTTTTGCGCGGGACGCGTGTGGGTCGGCTGGACACGCAGGCGTTCCACTGGCGGTTCCCGCTACCACCCGCCGTCGTGGAGTTCCACCCGTACGACCAGCACGCAGCCGTCGCCTCCAAAGATAACTTCGGGTAACTATTTTTTTTATACTACGATGGTAGCCCTAGTCCGATGGTAAACAGTACTTAAACGCGTTGACTTTCATGGAATGGACAGATGTTTTTAAAAAACATCCTATTGTAGGGACTCCAATTACTATTTTGCTCAATTGTTAGTGTATAACAAATTGATATGTACATAGATGCTAGTAGATACACAAAAACAATTATACATACATATAGATAATAATAAATAAATGAATAACTACACAAATCATGTATATATACGTCTAAATCAAACATACATATACTGTACATAAAATAGTAATAAAATAAATTGTACAAGCAAACCCGCGCGCAAACATCGCTGCGACCGTGCCACGCCATCGCCAGAGCAAAAACGAGATCACGGCTAATGCACGCGCGCTTGCTTACAGATCATAATAATACGCAATTGCAAATTGTAGATCGTTAATAAACCTACGTGATAAAAAGTGAAGTATTATTTACCTGGAAGTGCTCCCAACACTAGCATACAAAGATAGCACTGTTATTACATTTTGTTACATTATTTGCTTACGTTTCGTTTTGTTGTCATATTAGAAACTTAGATCTAACAAACAGTTACTGTAGCTTAGAGATGCCTGAAACACTCAGGGTATGAGCGCGTTGCCGGCGCTTAAGAAACCTTAATTTAATACTTTATACCCTCAAGAAAACCTCAGCAGGTAGTTCATTCCACAATCTAAGTGTACGCAGTAGAAACCGAACTGTCCGAGACTACTTAGGTTCTAGCGTGCGTGAGTCACACACGCTATGAATTCCCTGTCGATGGCAATGGTATAGCGGCGCAATAGTAAATATGTTAGAATAGAATATATCTTTATTGCTAACTGTGTGGGTACATTTTTTTTGTACGAGAATTTTATATATATAAGTTATATATACCACATACCCCACCGTATGTGGTATATATATCTTATATATAAAATTCTCGTGTCACAGTTTTCGTTCCCATACTCCTCCGAAACGGCTTGACCGATTCTCATGAAATTTTATGAGCGTATTGAGTAGGTCTGAGAATCGGCCAACATCTATTATTAATGTTAGGGGTAGTCCACCCCTATTTTTTTTTTTTATTTTATTGCAAAACAACGTTTTCTGGGGCAGCTAGTATAATATATATTAAATATGTTAGAATGGAATATCTGGTTTTTGGTGGTTTGTGGAAGGCGTAGGCGTCAGTAACGCGATCTCAGGGTTCTAGCATGTGGAAGTGTGAAGACCTGAGTTTTTCGTATCATTCCGAACTGACGGTAGATTTGACATATCATAAGTGTCTGTAATAGACCCACATTAATAAAAATGTTTTGAATTGAATTGTGAGGATGAATTCCTTGTCAATGGTATGGCAACTATAACAGAATGGAACATCGTTTTCGGTGGTCAGTGGGAGGAAGTCGGTGATGAGATATTGGACGTGTACAGGATCTGGGACTGGGGCACGGCAGCTAAATTATGTGTGGGCGCGTGGCGGCAGGCCTGGGGCCGCATCACAGGCCTCGCATACCTCAACGCTCATCACCAGGCGCTGCTCGCTGTCGTCTCGCATTCGGGCAATCTCGCCATCTACAGGTGGGTGCTACTGTGACTACTATACTCTATGTTTATATTACTAAGAAATTTGTGTGTTGCTCTTTTAAATAATTCTTGTAAGTTCATATTTTACAAGTTGAAACGTGTGAATACGAACTATCAACTAGCACTAATTTATTAGGGTTGAATACAAGAGCACAATAAAATTAAATCAGTCGTAGTGATAAGAGCAATCCAGTTCCTACAAGCAGCACTCGTTCACGAGTATGACGGATGAGCCAGCCATCACTACGCTCAATGACCGAGAGACTTGGCATATCTCGTCCTCGGTACTAATCACCAGCGTAAGCCGTGAAAGAGATAATAATACTGTAGTAGTAAACTAGAGTGTGGCTGGTACAGGCCGGCGGGGAGTATCAAGGAGCCGGCGCTGGTGGCGGCGTGGCGCGCGCTCGAGGTGCGGTCCTCCGCGCAGTACCGGCCCCCGGCCGCCGTCGCCGTCGCAGGGCCCCCCGCCTGGGGCGCGGGCGGCGGCGGGGGAGGCGCGGGGGCGGGCGGCGCCGCGGGGGGGCCGGCCACCGCCTACAGCGCCCCCCCCGCCACTCTGGTGCGGTGGTGCGGCGCGCGCGGCTGGTTAGCTGTAGGTGGCGCAGCTCCAGCGTTGAGGCTGTGGGACGCGCGTGCGGAGCTGCTGGCGGCGGCGGTGCCGACCGATACAGCCTCCGCAGCGACGGCGCTGTGGCGCGGGCCGGCGCGGCTGCTGGCGGGGTTCGCGGACGGGTCGGTGCGGGCGTGGGACGAGCGCGCGCAGCCCCGGCCGCTGCTCACGCTGAGACCCTTCACGGCGCCGGCGCTGCTCGCCGCGCTCAGGACAGACCTCCACGCGCTCCTCACCGCAGGGTCAGTGCTGAAGTTCACTTTATTAATCACATCACATATTTATAGCAGAATCCTGATTATCAGGACTCGTTCGTTATCATCATTATTATTATCGATGTAAATATTTAAGGATTTGAACAGTAGCGAGAGAAAAGATGAAGAGACTGAAGCTGGGGTTTCATATCGAGACCATCTTACGCAGAAACTCTAGATGTCGCTTTTAAGTAGTTTGAAAGACAGGACGAATCGAATCCCATACAGTTGTTACAACTGAAACGCATCAGAAAGATGATACATTACGTGAATGATTAATAACAAGTTATTTCCAACCAAAATTTTAAATTACATATATGTTATGTAATTCATTATGTATTGTTTTTTATCTATCGCATTATGTAAGTGTGACCCATTACATAATAACAAATTTGTTTGGGAAACTACTCTGCTAACAAAATGTTAGGGAATTTAATATGTGTATATATATAGTGAAAAATGAGTGGAAGCGTCAGTCACGTACCTGTATGGTTCTGCGGATTTCTTGGGCTTCAGGGTCTCGAAGATATATCTTCGCTAGCTTTCCAGTTTCACAGTAGGTTTCACAGTTCTAATTTATTTTAATTCACAACACAATGCGCGCGCGCGTCAAGGCCGCTGTACGGTCAGTTCAGTACTGGGTAAGGGAGGGGAAGGGAAGCCGCGGGAACAGAAACTAACAGACTCTAATATAATAATCTGTGCTTACGATGATACAGGGTATATTTTGAACAAAATTATTAGAATTTAAATGTTGTTTCATTTGCTTTCAAAACGGTTATTCGCATTTTCAATTATACGGAATACCTTTGGTTTTATTTCATCCGGATAATTGGAGTTCTACTATAATTATGTATAGTGAACAATAATTCTAATTTAGTTGTGCTACTCATTTTGGCGGACGTGAAATCAACGAAATACTATTTACAGTGTTGAGTAGTTGTGCATTAACTTATAACGATCTTAACACCACTCTAATGCATGTTGAAGTATTGTGCAGAATATATTATTATTATTATTATTATAGCCTTTATTCAGATCCAACTTATACATTATTTTAAAACAAACAGCTTTAAAACTTAAACGAAAATAGTTATTCTATTATTTGGATCTTTTTTAATGTCTGTAGATCTGTTTGCCAATCGGCAAAGGCCTCCTCCAATCGTTTCCATTCTTCTCTTTCTTGTGCCACCCTGTTCCACATTACTCCTGCCACTGTCCTAATATCATCATCCCATCTTGTGTGGGGTCTGCCTCTTTTCCTTTTTCCTTCATTTCATTTCCTTTCGTGCAGAATATACACCTCTCAGAATTAGAACAACGTATTAAGCGGCCCATCGCTTGCAATTATACAAGGCGCAGATCCGGCCGTATATGGAATACTGTTCTCATCTCTGGGCCGGAGCACCACAATACCAGCTACTTCCATTTGACCGCATTCAGAACCGAGCAGCCAGAATCATTGGTAATCAACGTCTATGTGACAGACTCGACCCATTGGCTTTACGGCGAGATATTGCATCACGGGGAGTGTTCTGAGGAATTGTTCGGATTAATACCAGCTGCTGAGTTTCACCACCGTACCACTCGCCAGAAACTGAAATACCATCCTGATCATCTGGATGAATGGCGGTCTTCCACAGTACGATTTTCTAGAAACTTTTTGCCTCGCACAACCACATTGTGGAATCACCTTCCAGTTGTTGCGGGTGCTCATGGGCGGCGGTAATCACTTACCATCAGGTGAGCCGCATGCTCGTTTGTCCCCTGTATTTCACTGTTATTAGTCCAGAATAACTACGGAATACCAGTATATAAGTAAATTTTTTAAACTGATTGTTGTTGTGCAGGATGGACGGCGAGATCCGGGTGTACGACTCGCGCAAGGTGTCGTCGGAGAGACCGCTGCACTCGGCGCAGGCCCCGGGCCCGCTCGCGGCCGCCGACGTGCACCCGCTGTGCGACCTGCTCGCCTGGTACGTACACACCACGCACCACGCACCACGCACCACGCACCACGCACCACACACTACATCGCAGGCCCCGGGCCCGCTCGCGGCCGCCGACGTGCACCCGCTGTGCGACCTGCTCGCCTGGTTCGTACACACCACGCACCACGCACCACGCACCACGCACCACGCACCACGCACCACGCACCACGCACCACGCACCACGCACCACGCACCACGCACCACACACGACATCGCAGGCCCCGGGCCCGCTCGCGGCCGCCGACGTGCACCCGCTGTGCGACCTGCTCGCCTGGTACGTACACACCACGCACCACGCACCACGCACCACGCACCACGCACCACACACTACATCGCAGGCCCCGGGCCCGCTCGCGGCCGCCGACGTGCTCCCGCTGTGCGACCTGCTCGCCTGGTACGTACACACCACGCACCACGCACCACGCACCACGCACCACGCACCACACACTACATCGCAGGCCCCGGGCCCGCTCGCGGCCGCCGACGTGCACCCGCTGTGCGACCTGCTCGCCTGGTACGTACACACCACGCACCACGCACCACGCACCACGCACCACGCACCACGCACCACACGCACCACGCACCACACACTACATCGCAGGCCCCGGGCCCGCTCGCGGCCGCCGACGTGCACCCGCTGTGCGACCTGCTCGCCTGGTACGTACACACCACGCACCACGCACCACGCACCACGCACCACGCACCACGCACACTACATCGCAGGCCCCGGGCCCGCTCGCGGCCGCCGACGTGCACCCGCTGTGCGACCTGCTCGCCTGGTACGTACACACCACGCACCACGCACCACGCACCACGCACCACGCACCACACACTACATCGCAGGCCACGCGTACACACCACGCACCACGCACCACGCACCCGCACCGCCGCCTGGTACGTACACACCACGCACCACGCACGCACCACGCACCACCCGCACCTGCTCGCCTGGTACGTACACACCACGCACCACGCACCACGCACCACGCACCACGCACCACGCACCACGCACCACGCACCACACACTACATCGCAGGCCCCGGGCCCGCTCGCGGCCGCCGACGTGCACCCGCTGTGCGACCTGCTCGCCTGGTACGTACACACCACGCACCACGCACCACGCACCACGCACCACGCACCACGCACCACGCACCACGCACCACGCACCACGCACCACGCACCACGCACCACGCACCACGCACCACACACTACATCGCAGGCCGCCGACGTGCACCCGCTGTGCGACCTGCTCGCCTGGTACGTACACACCACGCACCACGCACCACGCACCACGCACCACGCACCACGCACCACGCACCACACACACACTACATCGCAGGCCCCGGGCCCGCTCGCGGCCGCCGACGTGCACCCGCTGTGCGACCTGCTCGCCTGGTACGTACACACCACGCACCACGCACCACGCACCACGCACCACGCACCACACACTACATCGCAGGCCCCGGGCCGGCTCGCGGCCGGCGACGTGCACCCGCTGTGCGACGTGCTCGCCTGGTACGTACACACCACGCACCACGCACCACGCACCACGCACCACGCACCACACACTACATCGCAGGCCCCGGTACGTACACACCACGACGTGCGCACCACGCACACCACGCACCACCCACGCACCACGCACCACGCACCACATCCACGCACCACACACCATCGCAGGCCCCGGCCCGCTCGCGGCCGCCGACGTGCACCCGCTGTGCGACCTGCTCGCCTGGTACGTACACACCACGCACCACGCACCACGCACCACGCACCACGCACCACGCACCACGCACCACGCACCACACACTACATCGCAGGCCCCGGGCCCGCTCGCGGCCGCCGACGTGCACACGCTGTGCGACCTGCTCGCCTGGTACGCACCACGTACACCACGCACCACGCCACACACGCACGCACCACACACCATCGGCCCCGGGCCCGCTACACCACGCACCCACGCACCACGCACCACGCACCACGCACCACACACTACATCGCAGGCCCCGGGCCCGCTCGCGGCCGCCGACGTGCACCCGCTGTGCGACCTGCTCGCCTGGTACGTACACACCACGCACCACGCACCACGCACCACGCACCACGCACCACGCACCACACACTACATCGCAGGCCCCGGGCCCGCTCGCGGCCGCCGACGTGCACCCGCTGTGCGACCTGCTCGCCTGGTACGTACACACCACGCACCACGCACCACGCACCACGCACCACGCACCACACACCCCGGGCCCGCTCGCGGCCGCCGACGTGCACCCGCTGTGCGACCTGCTCGCCTGGTACGTACACACCACGCACCACGCACCACGCACCACGCACCACGCACCACACACTACATCGCAGGCCCCGGGCCGCTCGCGGCCGCCGACGTGCACCCGCTGTGCGACCTGCTCGCCTGGTACGTACACACCACGCACCACGCACCACGCACCACGCACCACGCACCACGCACCACACACTACATCGCAGGCCCCGGGCCCGCTCGCGGCCGCCGACGTGCACCCGCTGTGCGACCTGCTCGCCTGGTACGTACACACCACGCACCACGCACCACGCACCACGCACCACGCACCACACACTACATCGCAGGCCCCGGGCCCGCTCGCGGCCGCCGACGTGCACCCGCTCGCGGCCGCCGACGTGCACCACGCACCACGCACCACGCACCACGCACCACGCACCACACACTGCAGGCCTGCTCGCCCGCCGACGTGCACGTACACACCACGCACCACGCACCACGCACCACGCACCACGCACCACACACTACATCGCAGGCCCCGGGCCCGCTCGCGGCCGCCGACGTGCACCCGCTGTGCGACCTGCTCGCCTGGTACGTACACACCACGCACCACGCACCACGCACCACGCACCACGCACCACACCACACACTACATCGCAGGCCCCGGGCCCGCTCGCGGCCGCCGACGTGCACCCGCTGTGCGACCTGCTCGCCTGGTACGTACACACCACGCACCACGCACCACGCACCACGCACCACGCACCACACACTACATCGCAGGCCCCGGGCCCGCTCGCGGCCGCCGACGTGCACCCGCTGTGCGACCTGCTCGCCTGGTACGTACACACCACGCACCACGCACCACGCACCACGCACCACGCACCACGCACCACGCACCACGCACCACACACTACATCGCAGGCCCCGGGCCCGCTCGCGGCCGCCGACGTGCACCCGCTGTGCGACCTGCTCGCCTGGTACGTACACACCACGCACCACGCACCACGCACCACGCACCACGCACCACACACTACATCGCAGGCCCCGGGCCCGCTCGCGGCCGCCGACGGGCACCCGCTGTGCGACCTGCTCGCCTGGAACGTACACACCACGCACCACGCACCACGCACCACGCACCACACACTACATCGCAGGCCTGGTACGTACACACCACGCACCACACCAACCACCACATCCTACCACCCACCACACTCTATCATCAACCACACCACACACCACCCATCACTTTTTCTTGCTTACTTTGACAAACGAGCTTACGGCCCACCTGTCTGTATGTGACATGATAGCAATTTACCATTCCAAAGAATTAATAAAATTTTGCTACTATATCTTATACTCCAACTAAAAATTGCTTACAAAGCAAGCTATTTGGCAACTGATAAGTAACGATAACAACAACTGAAAAGTAACAGAAACAAAGGGGTACCTTTGATAAAGTAACCTAGGTTTATTCAGTAATATAGATTTATCCAGGTCGATCATAATCACTCCGAAGACATCATAAAAAGCTAAAAAACTATACAAGTATATCTTCAAAAGTACATTAGTTAAAATTATAAATTACAACATTATCTAGAGAACTCAATTACCACCAAACGGTTACTTGAATGACGAGTGTATATGGCAATAGTTGTTCATGCACTGGATTTTCATTTAATGTTAGACATAGACACCTATGTAAGTACATATAATAATAAAAATAATTGTTGTGTGTTTGAATATATTACCCCCGTAAAAAGGGATATATATATATATATATATATATATATATATATATATATATATATATATATATATAATAATAATAATAATAAAGACATTTATTCAGCATTACAGTATTCTTATATGCTATCTATCTTATATACGATACAACTTAAAAGCTAAAACATACTAGTAACGCTGAATGTGAAAAAAATCAGTTGAGTTTCTTGCCAGTTCTTCTCAAATGAATCTGTATACTGAACTGGACGGTAGGGAAAAAAATTAATACAAAAAACTTTATGTTCATAACATCGCCCATTGGATCCCGATCTATCAGAAATGCAAACTGATCGGCCGTACCATACATGATAAAAGTCTTTTTTAATTGAATTGAATTTATTTTACCATTGCACTAACATTCTATTAAAAATTCCTTCCCACATGCCTTCTTTACTTTATCTTTTGTATATCTGTTAAATATAATACTGTAAATATCGTAATATATATACTTATGATTGCAGTGGATCCGTGAACCAATGCATCAGCATCTACGACCTGAAAGGCAACCCACTGAACACCATCAAGTCCCACGAAGGCTTCATGGCAGCACGCATCGGGCCCGTCTCATGTCTCACGTTCCATCCGCTAAGGTAAACTATATAACATTTTTTTTTAAACAAAAATATATATGTAAATTTTAGGACAAGGATAGAATAGAATAGAAAATCATTTATTCAAATAAACTTAATTAAAGTACTTTTGAATAGTCATAACAATTTGTTTTTTATCTACCGCTCATTCGGAAAGCTGTCTCATCACAAGAAGAACAAGCAAGAAACTTGTGTGTTGCTCTTTTAAATAATCCTTGTAAGTTTACATTTACAAGTCGAAACGTGTGAATACAAACTACCAACCAGCACTAATTTATTAGGCTATATCAATATGACTCTGTAACTATGAATGTTTACATAAAACCTTCTTGAATCACTCTATCTATTTAAAAAACAGCTTCAAAATCCGTTGCGCAGTTTTAAAGATTTAAGCATACATAGGGACGGACAGACAGCGACAGCGACTTTGTTTTATACTATGTAACGATGATACAATAAAAGTCAATTTGTATGTATGTAACATGGTGGTATTTGACAAACATTAGTGGTTTTATTGACTCTTTCAAGCACACAAAACTACTGAACGGATTTTGATAAAACTTTACAGTAATATTTTTATTTATAGGGTATATTTTTTTTATTGAAACTTAACGCGAGTGAAATATTGATTTTATAGCAGCATACATTATTCATTATCAAGCATTATTCGTGCTAAACAGCTATGAGCCAACTGCGGGTCAAAGATTTTTTTTCGGACTACTCTAATACTGTTGGCCGCAGCTGGCCTTTACAGCTTCACCGGACGATAGGCGAGTGCAGATGGCACTCCAAACCAAAGGAAGGACTTATGGAGCGGCTGAAGGCCAACTCTCGCCTGACGGATACGACTTTAGTCTGAGGGCACCACTAGGGGCCCCCCACTAGGGTTCGAACCTCGGCTCAGGCCGTCGTAACATCGATCCCCGTTGAGCAACGCGACCGCCTCGCTTATATTTATCTTTTTGCGAGCAGGACCGCACTCGTATTGCCGTCTCACTCGACCCCGACGTGATATTGTTGTTTTAACAGGTTGTATACAAATATAAATGTTTATATATGTATGTATGTACGTGTGTCGCGTGCAGGTGCGCGTTGGGTATGGGCTCCAAGGACTCGACGGTGACGGTGTACGTGTCGGAGTCGCGCCGGTGACCCTCGCTCTACAGCCTCGCGCTGCCGCTGCCCTTCCAGTGAGGACCACCGCCACCACCGTCGCCACCGCCGCCACACTCCGCACCAGGTCACTACATGATGGATTTATTTTTTATAACACCGAGGACAAACGAGCATGCGGCTCACCACGTAAGTGATTACCGCCGCCCATGACCACACGTAACACCAGGGGAATTGCAAGTACGTTGTCGGCCTTTTAAAAAGGAAAAAGCTCTTTTCTTGAAGGTTTCAATATCGTATCGGTTCGGAAATACCATTGCTGAAAGGTGATTCAACCGTGGTGGTGGACCGCCATTCATCCAGATGATCAGGATGGTATTAAGGGTTGTGCAAAGTAAATCGAATCGAAAATCATTGGTTTAATCGGTCAATCGCGGGTAACTTGCGAATGAGCAATAAGGGGGGGCGCGCGGTTTTTTTTTTTTACGATGATAATGGAATGGTGCTCCCGCCTGCGCTAATGGTTTACGCTGGCGGGGCACCAGTGGAGGATGATAAGATGAGCATGAAGTCAGGTCAGTTAGCCCATCGTGACAAATGCACCAAGAATTTATCACGATGGTTTCCAGGGGGAACGTGGAGGTCAACCTGACATGGTACATTGCTAGCAATAAGATCATCAGTCCACATTACTAACAGTCTCCTTTCACCCCGGGGGCGCGCGGTTGGATGGGTGACCGTTGGGTCATTCCAATTCGACAATCCGATTCGACGTCAGCCTATTATTTTACACTTTTATATATCCGGGTCAATGTGATCCCTCCAATATGGTTAAGTGCAACTATGACGGATGATGTACATACATATTATACGTAGGATTATGTACTGATACATTTATTTTTATATACTGATAACTGATACAAATACATAGATATTTTTTTCGCAAAGTCAATACCATACACCCAAAACACAAGCTTTAGCTAGCTTAACTTAGGTCTAGATGGCGCTGTGTGAATTGTCCTGAGATTATTATTATTATTGAATATTATATTTGACAGGTGCGGAGCCAAGCTGGACGCTGTGCATTTATCAGTGCTTTGTGGAACTTAAAATACACGTAGTTTAGCAGAAATGGCTTTATCCACGGGATAAAATGGATAAGTCAGTAGAAGAAATTAGTAAAAATAAAACCAAATTTTTAGTTATAACCCGTTGATATCGTCACAGGGTTTTGTCACTTACACACAAATAAAGAAAATGGCTCGAAAGAAGAATAGAATAGAATAGAATAGAAAATCATTTATTCAAATAAACTTAATTTAAGCACTTTTGAATAGTCAAAAATTATTTTTATCTACCACTCGTTCGGAAAGCTGTCTCATCACAAAAGGAATGAGCAAGAAACTTGTGTGTTGCTCATTTAAACAATCCTTGTAAGTTTACATTTACAAGTCGAAACGTGTGAATACAAACTACCAACCAGCACTAATTTATTTGTCAAATATAAATATACAATAAGATTAAATCAGTCTTAGTTATAAGAGCAGACCAGACCAGATGATGAAATGATTAAAATATTTGATGTTACGCATTATATTTGTACTAGAACACCTGGAAGTTGTGGGTCACACATACAGTTGTTCGCAACAGCGCCTGCTGTCAGGCACAGTTGTGTTTTAAAACTGTGCAACAATCCATTTAGCTCAGCCTTACTTGGGACTAGATGGCGCTGTGTGAAAGATCCACAGATATTAATAATTAATTGTAGATAAGTGACGACCGACGAATTTAACAACTTAATTATTTATATTATTAACCGGGTCTTAACACACAATAATTTTATGGCAAACTAGCTGTACCCGCGAATTCGTCCGCGTGGAATTTAACTTTATTTTTCTAAAATAAAAGTAGCCTAAGTTACTCCTTATTACATCAGCTACCTGCCAATAAAAGTCCCGGCACAATCGGTCCAGCCATTTCAGAGATAATCCGGAACAAACAGACAGAAAGACAAAAATTGTAAAAAAAATTATTTCGGTGTATGTACCGTATTTATATTCATATGCATGTAGTAAGAAACGGTTATATCAATATTACAAACAGACACTCCAATTTTATTTATATGTATAGATAAAGGTATTCACCCGTCGACGTTTCTATTAGATTGCACTAATTGTGGTCACGAGCTGACATAAAATTATTCGTATTAAGACCCGGTTAATAATATAAATAATGTATATTAAACAAAGTTTAAAAGTAACTTTAACAAGTTCATTTCTGCTAAACTGCGTACAATAGTGCTGTGAACATGGCGAGCAGTGGCAGCGACGCCCGCCTCCACAGATACTAGTCGATTTATTATCTGTAGATTTATCATTTGTAGATCCCTAGGTTCACGCTATATTATATTGTTAAAAATGCATTCATACAATTATATGTTTATATTTAACACGTTAAACGCCATTGTAAAAATAACAAAAATACATTTTTTTTATATTTAAAAAATCCCATTATGACATCGGTAAACATTATCACGTAATTTTTTTTTATGAATGATAACGGAATGGTGCACCCGCCTGCGCTAACGGTTTACGCTGGCGGGGCACCAGTGGAGGATGATAAGATGAGCATGAGGTCAGATCAGTTAGCTCATCGTGACAAATTCACTAGAAATTTATCACGGTTATTTCCAGGGGGAACCGCGTGGAGGTCGACCTGATATGGTGCATTGCTAGTAATGGGGTCATGAGTCCACATTACTAACAATCCCCCATTAACACGTATTTATTTTTTAATTTGGGATTGAAATTTTCCAGGAAAATAAAGAATACATTTCGGTGAGCAGAGACCACCGCGGCGCTGTGGTACAAAAAACCCATTTAGTATTGACCGAGTACTGTTGTTGAGCGCCGCTCCGGTCAATATACTACTATATACTACAAATGTATGAAAACATCACGCGCCGGCGCTCAACACAGCTCTAAAGTGAGCTCACGGGTGACCTACGTGGCGTTTAACGTGTTAAGAATTAAACAATTGTCTTATAAATTGTTCTGATAATAAACTAGAATGTTACTCATTCAAGCAGATATATTTAGAAATATTTTATATAGTTTAATGTTTCTAAATATATAAAATATATTTAGAAACATTAAACGATAATAATAAATTATTCAAACAGCTAATTGAATATTAAAATTCATAAAAACGTGGGAACATAAATCTACTATTTGAAAGTTTGTATGTCCATACATATCGTCGGTTAATTAGAAAAATAGCAGTATTCAAAATGTACATATTTTACAAGTTTTTAAATTTATTTAAAATGTTTTTGCTTATGTTTTAAATTTACACAGAAGTGTTATATATCATTTTAAAAGTATTTAGATAATAATTAAGACGGCGTGGTTAATTTAATTGACTTATATAAAAGGAGGCAATTGTAGCTTCTAATTTTGAAAAATGTTATTTTACTATTTAATCACGATATGTTTAGTAGTTTCATATGCAAGCTACGATTTACTGTTTAGTTCTCAAAGAATTTAAGTAATTATTTATTAATATTGTTTTTTTTCTGTAAATTCACAGACAAAATAAACGTTCAAAGTGTAATAATCAACATTATAACTGCAGTTAAATAAATCAACATATAATTTTGAAAAACAAACTATATGTAAATGCGTATCGCGTCTGTCCGTGGAGGCGGGCACTAGATAATACGAACATTTGGTGCTACATTGTACATTTAATATTTATTATAACTATCTCACGCGCAGCGCGTCTGCGTGATCACACTAGGATTTATCGATATTCATCGATATTTTATATCGATACAAAGTATTCGATAATATCGACAAAAAAGATCATTCGAAACGACAAATGGTATCAGATGCTATACCTTATGGCCTAAAAAGAAAGTCATTCTAAGTTCAAAATGACAATTCAAAATTTCAAAATATCTTTATTCATATAGGTCTATTACAGACTCTTATGATATGTCAAATCTACCGTCAGTTCGGAATGATTTCCAGATGCGAACAGCTGACAAGAAATTCAGCTCGCATTCTTTTCGAGTAAGAAGACAAGAAATTATATAGGCCAAGAGAAAAACATCGAAGTTTTTTGTTCGATACTTATAGATCGATGTTTTTGTAATATCGACTAATCCTAGACCACACCTACTTACTAACTAACGTGTAATTGGGCAGCTACATGTATCTTAGTATAACATACGTCATATATAACGACTCTGTCGAATCCGAGCAAGCCAAATACAAGTACTATTCACAAAAATCGCTTTAAGTAATGTAATTATAACTTGTACATAGTTGTATAGTCGATCGAGGTATTGCAGATGTAACTGCAGATCTTGGTACACACCATCCGGTCGTAATATAGCGCCGGACGTGTGAATGATACCTTAAATTCCTACATACACAACCGCCGACTGTCAGGCGGAAGTTAGAAGGCGCTCAGACCTCGCGGGTTCTAGGATCGCTATAGTTACGAAATACGGCGCAACAAACGAGTGTGCATGTTCAAAAAATGCCTTACTGCGTCGCATTTTGTACTTAAGTTAATATTAATATAGTTCATTATTCTTTAACGTTAAAAAAATACGCGAAGATTTACCAGATTCCATTGTGTAAACCAGTTAGCGATTCTCGTTTGAAGTAAACAGTTTTGACACTGTGTGCAAACCAATGGGACAGTTGCAGGACATGCATTGGTCTTACATGAGAAGAGTTAACGTTTAAGATAATCGTTCATTCAAATTTCATTCAAATTCATACATCTCTAGTCTTTATTTTATTTCAAATTTAACTTTATAACAATCTCAATTTATATTTCAAACAAACGTTTGTTTGTATCAAATAAAATAGAAATTAATAATAGAACAAGTTAATATTCATATTATTACTAATCTTAAAGTAACTACGTATATAAAATGTTAAAGAGACAGGAAAACAGGTTTCACTTATTATTGATCACCACCGTAAGCTGACCAGCATATGATATACTATTGAAGTCTCCAAAACGTATTCACAGTCGAACAGAACGACTTAGTAACTTAAAAGTAAGCTCCATAAAGAAATCGCATTGGAACGAACGTACAAAGCACCTACTATTGCAACGATTGTGTTCAAGAGGTGCTATATCGCGATATAAACAAATTAACCTCCTCGGTAGTCGGGTAAATGTTAAATATAACTCCTGTTCTGGTGCACTGCACTGCACTGCACGTTGTGACGTAACTATGAATTAGTATAGTGAGATATAGCGACACGTCTGTCTGTATGTAGGCAGACGTGATCAGAGCGAGGCCCGCGCCGCACTTCGCGTAGATCAGGGGTGGCCAACTTGATTAGACCCAACATCTGTTTACTATTGAAACCCTATGCGATCTACCAATTACATACTTATTGAAGTCTTAAATGAAACAGCACAGTTCAGTACACAATCATGTAGTATTTTTGTATTTTATTAAGAGAGAAAACATATGTGAAAATTATTCTTAATAACTAGGTACTTATTTATATTAGTGTGAATTTCGGATGAGCATCTACCACTAGTTTATCTTAATCAGGTCTGTAGTTGGAAATTGGCAACCTTTTTTTCGGTTACATTGCGCAGTCTGGTCTACGTATTTATATTTTTTGCCTTGCCACGATCTAATGGACTAACAGTCGCGATCCACCTGTTTTTTTAAGGACGATAATGAAATGGTGCACCCGCCTGCGCTAACGGTTTACGCTGGCGGGGCACCAGTGGAGGATGATAAGATGAGCATGAGGTCAGGTCAGTTAGCCCATCGTGACAAATTCACCAAGTATTTACCACGATGGTTTCCAGGGGGAACCGCGTGGAGGTCAACCTGACATGGTACATTGCTAGCAATGGAATTATTAGTCCACATTACTAACAATTCCCTTCCTCCCGCGATCCACCTGTTGGCCACCCCCTGGCGTAGAGTACATCAAGTAGGCTCGTAGTAACTCGTCTGATGTACCCCTGGTTAGTTTTATTTTTGTATGTACATAGTACTAAAAGTTTATTTTTTCATATGAATTATTTTGTGATTACTGATTCACTGAAAGTTCCTAAGACTTAATAATTAGATGCCATTTATTATTTTTAAATAAGATTATGTTCAATTCAATTAAGATTGTTTTGTGTTCGTTTGTTATAAACAATTGCTCTGTTGAGGTACACTTGCAGGTTTCGATGTTATAATATATCGCATTTTTTTTATATATTTTTTCTTTAAACAATAAATTGAACTTAACCCTCCTTAGTTGATTCAGAGATATTTAAAGATATACATAAATTCCTAAAATATATTAATTTTATACATTTATTTTTTGTTGTAACATTTGTAAATGTAACAAAATATAATTGCATATTTGCTTTTAGTGATAAACCCTGTTTTTTACAAACTGTACAAAACTTAGATTTTTATTGAATCTTCTATAAAAGCACATCCAGCTGTAAGTGTATCTCGTGATATTGATTAATTTTAGCATAGACGTAATTTATATTGCATTTGCATGTATGTATAACTGAGGTATATAATGTTACATTTAGAATAACGATGGGCCCACAGCAGTGGTAAAGTGGATAATTTTTATGGTTCAGTGAAATAATGAGCATTTAATTGTATGTTTAATATTAATTAGTGATGTAAAATATCATTGTCATAATATTGGTTTGAACAAACGATCAAATATGGTTAATTGTGTTACGAAATTAGTGGCCATACAATGTCATGTCATATATATTATTACCTAGTGATGAATACATAGGGCAATAACTCCATTGATCAAATGTTGATTGTGTAATTTAATTATGAACAAAACGGAGAGGTCTCCAGTGTCGTGTAACTGTACAGTTGCATTTTGTCAATGAAATAATTATCGCTTTTACATATTGTATAATTTAATGTACATTTTACATAATAAAATAAATTGTTGTTGTTAAAATAATTCTGTTTTATTTTTTTATGACAACCTCGGTGGTGTAGTGGTATATATAACATTTACCCAATTGTACATATTACAAATTGAAAAAATAAAACTACACTGCCTGACATATATTTTATTAAACATTTACACTTCAATTAAAGGTAGATAGATCACTCCGTTAAGTCCTGTTCAAAATTTAACAATTCAATACACTATCAATGTGAGACAATATTCTTAGTGACCATTCTGCTTACAATAACGTCCAATAAATCTAAATCACCCTTCACATTGTTCAGTTTGTATACAGCCTTAATATCTTTCTCATTGGAGTATTGAGACAAGTTGCTAATTGGACATAGCTCCCCCTCTATCTGTTGTATAATTTCCTTAGAATCATCTCCATCAGGTGTAATTAAAAAGCAAACAAGTAGATTGCTGTCCTTCTCTATGCCAAATTTGCTAAGGCTCTGAGTTATATTCTTTGTCAGGGATAAATTGTACAGTATTTCAGCAAACACTGTCCGTGTCACCATTGTATTGTGCTTCTGTGCCACCGCAGCCCGGTTCGCAGCTACCGAGACCTGCAGCGGGTGCAGTATCAAGCTAGGTTTTATGATTGCACAGTTCCAAACACCTTTCACTATATTGTTCCTTATAACTTCCACATTACGAACATTTTTGAAGAGATACATTTGCAACGTAGTTCTTGTCTCTGGGTCCAGCTCACAGGTGTACACTTCTGAAACCATTATGCTGCTCATAGACTACTTTTGTATACTCTGAAACTAAAGTACTTTTGTAATAAACATTAAAATTATAGCGTGAATTTCATGAGTTTATGCTGATGGACGATAATATCTACAGATATTACTCGTATTTATAAACTTCTTTCAAACTAGATGGCTTTTAGGATTTATTTCATTTATTACACTATACAATGTTTTATATAAATTATTTTATTTATCAATATTATGACATCGGTAAACAAAATGTAAATGAAATAACCTAAAATTAATGACTAAATTGACAAGCATCTATGCGCATAATGACATCTGACATAATTGACATTGACATTAGTTATTCTTATTGACATAACATTAGAAATATTTTTTTCGCTTTGTTTCGTAATTATTACTATTAATTTATTTTCATTTGTTTATTACTTTAATTTGAATGATTGTGGTTATCATAAATAACTGATAAACGCACAAACGACTGAACAGTGTAATATATATGTCTGTTTGCGACCTTCAGAAAAATAAATCTATAATAATCTAAATTCAAATATACATTATAGTTAACTATAGGCATGTTTGAATATATAAATTTTGATAAGAATATAATTGTATAACACAAGCTGTATTGTAATTACGGAACTCTCTAGAGTTCTGGCTGCATATCTAAAATAGAAAAATTGTCAATAGCTACATCATGTTTGTGTCAAAACTAAATAATATAAAATACTTATTAAATAGTACGAGAAAGTTCGCTCGTTCTTTATCAACACAGATTCAACAATCTGAGAGCTCTGGTCCAGTGGTCTTTCAGAGGCTAGGTGGAACCGACCGTGGCATCGCTCTATACGGCCTGAACAGTCCTGAAAATAGGAATGCTATCGGATTTCAGCTGTTGCAGGCAATGAAAGAGGTGAATCAATTATTGCGAGAAGACACCAAAATCTCTGTGGTTATTCTCTACAGCTTGGTACCGGGGATATTCTGTGCTGGTGAGTGTCTATTTGCTAAATTTAATATTTATTTATTTATGTACACACTATCATCACAGGCATAAACAACACAACAGGCAGGCCCAATACAACAGTGCATACAATATTACAACCTCGGATTGGTACCATCATTACATAGTATAAAACAAAGTCGCTGTCACTGTCTGTCCGTCTCTATGTATGCTTAAATCATTAAAACTACATAACGATTTTGAAGCAGTTATTTTTACTAGATAGAGTGATTCAAGAGGAAGGTTTATATATATAATACATGTACACCCGTGTGAAGCCGGGGCGAGTAGCTAGTAGCATATAAAATACAATGCGATCCTTGTGAATTCACACAGATTGCATATAAATAAATCTGTTCCCTATGCCACTTGATTGAGAGTGGTCCATACATGCATCAGTGGTGCTTTCTTTAAACAAATTAATTATTGTTACCAGAAGTATTACCCAATATTAAAATTATATTTTGTGTAATTTAAATTATATTACTATATACATGTACTACTCAAACTTCAGATAAATTTATTATTTAAAATAAATACCTTATTCAGGTATTTAAAATTAGTTTAGAAACTCTTTTGTAACAATAAAATGGAGTGCTCATATTGTTGTCTGTGTCACTACTCTTTATTTTGTTAAGACACATGAACAGCCAGTGAAATACTGTACTAATATTATAAAAAGAAAGTAAGTCATGAAATTCTTGGCAACTTTTTTAGTAAGTTGCATATGGTGTACTGCCATTTATTTAGGCAGCGCTGCAGGATATAGCTATAACCAGTGATTAGTATAAAACAAGATGTACAAGCTCATTGTTGATATATATAATATCCCTCTAGTGGGAGAAAGGGGATTGTTAGTGATGTGGACAAATGACCCCATTGCTAATGTACCATGTTAGGTTGACCTCCATGCAGTTCCGTGGAAATCATCATGCTAAAATCTTGGTGAATTTGTCACAATGAGCTAACTGACCTGGCTTCATGTCCATCTTATCATCCTCTGGTGCCCCGCCAGGGTGAACCGTTACCGCAGGCGGGTGCAGCATTCTATTATCACCCATTAAAAAAAATCCTATATAATCCTCTCTAGTGGGAAAGAGCATTTATAGCAATGTGGACTAAAAACCCCATTTCTAGCTATAAAAAAACATCTATTAAAAAGAGCAACACACAAGTTTCTTGCTCATTCTTCTTGTGATGAATCTGCATTCCAAATGAGTGGTAGAATCAAAATATGACTATTCAAAAGTGCTTGTAATGAGTTTATTTGAATAAAGATTATTTCTATTACTATTTCTAGCAATTTACCAAGTCAGGTTGATTTATACATGATGAATTTGTCAGGATGGGCTAACTGACCTGGCTTCATGTCCATCTTATCATCCTCTGGTGCCCCGCCAGGTTCACCGTTAGCACAGGCGTGCACTATTATCACCCATTAAAGAAAATATCCCTCTAGTGGGGAAAGAGCATTTATAGCAATGTGGACTGATGACCCCATTTCTAGCAATTTACCATGTCAGGCTGATTCCTCCTTCCACTTTCCCATAATGGTGTAACTGACTTGATCTCATGTTCTTCCTATCATTCTCCACTGGTGTTCCACCAGCGTATACTGTTAGTGCAAACAGTTCCACCATTATACATTAAAGTATAAAAAAATACTTATGTTGACAATGCTTTTTACTAGGTCAATAATTAACTGCATATCTATTTAATTATTGTTTGCACCATTGATGTCATGATCATTCACATAATCTAAATATATATAACTTAAAGGTGACTGACATAGTGATCTATCAACGCACAGCCCAAACCACTTGAGAGAACGAGCTGAAATTTGGCATGCAGGTAGATGTTATGACGTAGGCATCCGCTAAGAAAGGATTTTGATTAATTCTACCCCCAAGGGGATAAAATAGGGGATGAAAGTTTGTATGAAACTTTGTCAATTTTAAACCGATCCGGCTGAGATTTGCATAAAGCTACTATGACGTAGGCATCTTCATAGAATTTTGATAAATTCCACCCCCAAGGGGATAAATTAACGCTAGCGGAGCCGCGGGCAAAAGCTAGTAAAACCATAAAAGTATAAAAAAAACATGTTGACAATGCTTTTTACCAGGCAAATAATTGAGTGCACATTTATTCAATTGTTTTAGGGGCACATTTAAAGGAGCGTTTCCAAATGTCTGATGAGGAGGCATCCACCTTTGTCCGTGGACTCAGAAGTACCTTCATTGAAATAGAGGACCTTCCCATGCCCACAATAGCTGCCATCGAAGGTGTTGCCGTGGGCGGCGGGTTAGAGCTGGCATTAGCGTGTGACATACGGATAGCTGCAGAAACTGCCAGAATGGGGTTAGTTGAAACCGGACGAGGTTTGATTCCCGGCGCTGGAGGTACACAGAGGCTGCCACGTGTTATACACCCCAATGTTGCTAAAGAGCTTATATTTACTTCTCGAATTGTAAACGGTACAGAAGCTAAGGAATTAGGTGAGTAACTTTATTTTGAATCAAGGATGAACAACCTGCTGATACTATAAAAAGATATTAATTTATACATATAAATAAAATTGGAGTGTCTGTTTGTAATATTGAAATAACCGTTTTTTACTACATGCATATGAATATAAATACGGTACATACACCAAAATAATATTTTTTACAATTTTTTTCTGTCTGTCTGTCTGTCTGTTTGTTCCGGCTAATCTCTGAAATGGCTGGACCGATTATGCCGGGACTTTTTTTGGCAGGTAGCTGATGTAATATGGAGTAACTTAGGCTACTTTTATTTTAGAAGAATAAAGTTATATTCCACGCGGACGAAGTCGCGAGAACAGCTAGTTTATAATAATGAAGAACCTCTAGCAGGTTCCTCATTATTATAAACGAGCTATAACTATTAAAAAATATTTTGTGTAAAACTGTAATATTCTCAATATCTGTGATAAAATGGATGAATCAATTAGAATGCAGTTTTGTTATTTATTACATTGTAATAATACCTACATTACTGTATTCAAAAATTTATAATAATGAAAAGCCTGCCAGTATTATAAAGCTACATTATGTTATATATGTGGTAGAATGGATGAGTCAAAGATGATGCAATTATTTTGTTATTTATTACACTGTGTAAGAGTAATTTATCTTTAAATTACTCTAAAACAGAGGTTCCCAAACTTTTTTGTGTCGTAGACCCTTGCCATATTTTTCGGTTTTGGGTACACCCCCCATTCTTACCTGGTATTGTTTTTTTTTGTAAATTTCTAACTGCAGTAAAGTTTAGAGTTAAAAACATAAAGTAAAAACAAGTTGACCGCTGTCGTAGACCTCTGAGGGTCGATATAGACCACTTTGGGAATCACTGGTCTAAAATGACTGAATATGACAAATATACAATGTATTAAAAAAATGCATTCACATTTTGTGTTTATTTACAAATAAATTGTAAAAAACTTAATCCAATAATGTATATGTATGTATGTTTGTATATTATATATTTGTTAGTGAACCTTTTAATAAATAATATGTACTGTATGCGAGGCACCAAGGCCGTAAGACAAGTTGACCTCCATGCACGCAGTTACTCCTGAAAAACATCATCGTAAATTCCTGACCTCATGTTATCATCCTCCACTAGTACCTCGCCAACGTAAACCGTTAGGGGGAAAGGGGATTGTTAGTAATGTGGACTCATGCACTATTAGCAATGTACCAAGTCACTAACCCCATTATTAGCAATGTACCAAGTCAGGTTGGCCTCCACGAGGTTCCTCCTGGAAACCATCGTGATAAATTCCCGGTGAATTTGTCGCGATGGGCTAACTGAGCTGACCTCATGCTCACCTTGTCATCCCCCACTGGTGCCCCGCCAGTGTAAACCGTTAGCGCAGGTGGGTGCACCATTTCATTATCATCCATAAAAAAAAACATAAACCGTTAACACTTGGGTACATCATTTGTGGGGGTTTAAGCCCACAGTTCCGATAATGCTATTGATTGATTGATGAGGGGTTTTTGCTCAATAAAACCACCTTAGTTGAATGCTACACGAACTCTGATTTTTATTACTAAAATAAACATAATGAGGTGATATTGCATGTGTCCAATTGTGTATTGCACAGTTAGCAGGCATCTGCCCTTACATCATTCCATTAAAAAAAATATACAAAGTACATATATACTTAAAATGCTGTAAAATAATACATAACAATATATTATTTTATATCACAGTGAAGTAGAAAGAAAGAAAAATATTTATTCAGTGCAATGTAAAAAATACAATACAATAAAAGTAAGAATTTATTTTATAATTTCAGGTATAGCAAATCATGTAGTGCCACAAAATAGTAATAATAACGCTGCATATGAGAGAGCTCTAAACTTGGCTAGGGAGATAATACCAAACGCGCCAATAGCCATAAGGTGTGCAAAGCAAGCCATCAACGAAGGAGTCCAGTTGAGTATCAAGGATGGGTACGAGGTGGAACAGAAGTTTTATGAAATCAATATTCCCACCAAAGATAGACAGGAGGGAATGATATCTTTTATAGAGAAACGGAAACCTCAATATGAAGGGCACTGAAGTTAAATGTTAGTTATATATGTTAACTTTTGTTGAGTTTCTATATTGTAGCAATCGTCATCATCATCATCAGCCCGCTGCTGGACATAGGCCTCTCCCTAGGCCTATCATACGCCCTTCTTGTCCAACAGTAACCATACCTATGTAGTCGCTTCACCCAACTGTGGTGTCTCCTACACTATGTTTGTTAAGTCGCAGTCTCCGATTGTAGCAATGTCTGACTTTAACTTTCATTATTTGACTCTGTAAATCATTGTAATTATTAGAACTCATGCAAATATTATTCTAACATTCATCATTTGACTCTGTAAATCATTGTAATTGTTAGAACTCATGCAAATATTATTGTAACATTCATCATTTGACTCTGTAAATCATTGTAATTATTAGAACTCATGCAAATATTATTGTAACATTCATCATTTGACTCTGTAAATCATTGTAATTATTAGAACTCATGCAAATATTATTGTAACATTCATCATTTGACTCTGTAAATCATTGTAATTGTTAAAACTTATACAAATGTTATTCTACTTGATAGTAGTGTTTATTGAGTTCTAAGAATTAGCCGTTAATTTTAGTATTTAATATACCGTTGCATTGGACTATATAAGTCACTAGCTGACCCGCGCAACTAGTCTGCATCATACTTACGTCAAGTAACATTATATCTCCCTCAATTTACATATCTTTATAAATTATAGTATATGTGTTATTCTGATGTATGAGCTATATTACTATAAAGTTTCATCAAAACTATTTAGTAGTTTTGCATGATAGAGTAACAAACATCCGTCTATACTTACAAACTTTAACATTAGTAAGATAACTCTTGACTGACATAATGTATTATTCAGAGTTGCTACATGTTCAATACAAAGCAGTAGGCGCCAATTGAATGACAGCTTATCTGGTCATTTCATTTATCATCACAAATTATGTCTGATGAAATACAGGTGATGATGTTAGACGTTAATTTTGGGGCTAGTGATTAAGTTTTGTTTTGATTTAAATATATATATAGTGTTGGACACTGCATTCATCCTAGTTTAAATAATTATTTAATAATTCAATTATTAAAACTCATTTAAAAAGAGTAAGAGCTGGGCTTTTTTTTAATTGTCCTTAGCTTCAAATTGACTATAGATTTGACTCACCAAAGTGTGACCAATAGACATGGATCAATAAAGATATGTAATTTAATTTATATACTTTTAATAACAAATGCTAGTTACACCATAGATATTAAATCTATGGTGAAACTGGCCAAAGTTGTCCAATGGACTTAGTCTTGTTTCAATATATATTTGGTAGTTTGATTTACAGTAGATTGTAGACATGGGACCAATAAGCCTGTTTATTATACATAATTATACTGCCATTTTGCATTGTTAATAGTTGTAATCATATTTGTTATTATAGTACAATTACTATAAATAAATAAATATATATTTTTGTACTCATCTATACTTATATTTTATAAATCGTTATCAAATATATTATTGTATATTACGTTTGTTTTATTATTATTTTTTTTTTTTTTTGGTAAGTAGGTATCTGCAATCAGTACAGGTACTATAAGCAGGTGAGTTGTTGGTAGTGGGCGTGGGAGGATCTCTATCCTTTGACAAGGTCCCCATGTTTCAGCTAGCTAGAAATCTTTCATCCAGCTCAAGGATATTTGATCTTTTCAATCTTTTTGCTGGGTTGTTAGCTAGAAGTTTCTGAGCTAATTCGTTTGGGTGAATAGCAAGGCGGGCCTTATATTTGATACTTGATTTCCCAATTTCTTCCCTGACTGTGGCGATGCTGGCAAAGTGGTGAACCTCAGAGTTGGTGATGAACCATGGAGCTTTTAAGATGCACTTTAGGATGCAGTTTTGACATCTTTGGAGAATTTCGATATTCGAGTGACAGGCGCTTCCCCATAACTGAATGCCGTATGTCCAGATTGGTTTGAGTGCAACCTTGTATATAAGAAGTTTGTTCTCCATGGCCAGAGATGATCTCCTGCCAAGTAGGAACTCCAGATTTCTGAATTTTATATTTGTTTCATCTCGTTTTGCCTTTATGTGTTTCTTCCAGGTGAGTCGACGATCTAGGTGAAGTCCAAGATACTTGACAGAGTCAACGTGTTGGAGGGGTTCGTGGCCTAGGGTGACAGCTGGACAGTTGCCTTGCCGCAGAGAGAAAGTTATCTGTAGTGACTTTGAGACACTAGGCTTGATTCTCCATGCTTTAAGCCAACTGTCAATCTTGTCTAGGTGATTTTGTAGGATAGCGGAGGCGGCTTCTGGTTTGGTGTGACTGGCCAATATAGCGGTGTCGTCCGCGTAAGTGGCTGTGGTAACTTGACAATTTGTTGGCAGATCGGCGGTAAACAGTGTGTAAAGGTAAGGACCCAGTACTGATCCTTGGGGAACTCCTGCTGTTATGTCATAAAATGTAGATCTAGCCTCTTCTTCTTTGACTTGGAAAATCCTGTCAGTAAGGTAGGATTGGAGTATTCCGAAGAATGCATGTGGAAGTAGGGTTTTTATTTTGCAGAGAAGTCCCTTATGCCACACTCTGTCAAACGCTTGCTGAATATCAAGGAACGCAGATGCACAATATTCTTTATGCTTCAGTGATGAGCGGATTTTATCGCAGACTCTATGTACCTGTTCTATGGTGGAGTGGCGCTGCCTGAAGCCAAACTGATGGTCTGGAATGGTCTTAAGGTCATCTAAGACAGGGATTAGTCTGCTCAGAAAAACCCTCTCCCAAACCTTCGACAGAACCGGAAGAAGACTTATTGGACGATATGATGGCGCAATATTAGCTGGTTTCCCTTGCTTGTGGATCATAACTATTTGAGAGACTTTCCAGTGATTAGGAAAGTAGGATATTCTGAGAGTGGCATTTATTAGAATCGTTAGAAAAACAATCGCTTTTCTAGGGAGTTCTTTAAGAATTCGTGAAGTAATGAGGTCGTAGCCAGGGGCAGATTTATCTTTGAGTTTTGATATTACTCGTCGAATTTCTCTGGGTGTAGCAAGTTTCAGAGAGGAGTCTTGCTGAAGAGGTTGGCTCATTATTTGATCTATTACCGATTCATCAGATCCAGGAACTGCATCGTTAGGTGTAAATACTGTGTTTAGATGGACAGCGAACGTTTCTGCTTTCTCTTGGTTGGATCTAGCCCACTTGTTATCCAAGGATTTAATGGGATGTTTTATTATTATGATGCAACATTAAGTAATTGATTAAATTGTAATCACTTTTCAAGTATTCCCTGAACTAAATGTGTACTCAACTTGATATCTCTGTTATCTATGGCCAAGTATACAATGCAATAATATAAGCAGATGTTGAAACTAACTAACTATGGTTTATAACCAACTCGGAAATACATAACTTTTAGAATTTACCCACAGTATGAGAGGGGCTTGCTAGCATATGCTCAAATTACATGGCTTGGCTGAGTGTCCACCCCAATGAACTAGCTCAGAGGTTACTAACTGACAACCTCCAAAAACACCTGAAAAGAACATATTTACTTGATTTAAATAAGCAACACTCCAGTTGTTCTTCCTGAATGTATGCCAGAGGGTATCGTTAAATAAGAAGTCTTCGATGGACTGCAGACTCTCATTGCCATTTGCCAACCAATCCGATTATAGTAGACATACTGATTGTGGACCTGTAATGCATAGGAATGAGGATAATATTTTAAGGAGGTGTTACATATGAATGTGGATGGTTATAAGGGCAGAGGAAGGCCAAAAAAGAGATGTGAGACTGTGTGAAAGATGACATGGTAAGAAAGGAAGTAAATAATGCGATAAGGAAGAAGCAGATCTGGACTGATTGTGCATAAAGCAAATAAAAAGAAATTTTGAAACTAACAAGATATTAAATAAATTGTAGAATTCACATTTTGAATTTATTGCACAAAATATAATACATTATTAAGTATATTAATAATTATAATTATTAAATTCATTGATGATACAAAATTTGTTTCAACTGTTCTCTAGTGTCATCAGGGGATGTAACAGTATGTCCTATTGTTCTAGAGTCTTCGTAAATCTCATAATCATTGCCCCCAGGCATAGTCTTGTCACCAAAGAAGTGGATTTCATCAAAGTTTGCATCTGCAACATGCCGTAAACAATATGTTTTGTCCCAGCCGGCTGGATACACATCCACACTGATCTGACCTCCAAGTGCAAAGCTCAGTTCATACCCTTTAAATTCGTTATTGAGGGCCTCTACAAATTTCTCCCTCAGCTTATGCTCCTTGTCAAACTGTGAAAACTGGTCTCGTTCCGTCTGACTGCATGAGCGGCCGACTGGACATAGGTTTATCATACTGGACCGAAACTCTACAAAGTTGCCTCTCTTGGCCGGGAGCACTAATTTTGACATGTAACCCAATGCAAAGTTTATCACTTTCTGCAGCTTCTCCTCGCCAATATACGAGAGAATACTCTCCACGCTCTTCAACTCGCCCTGTCGGTATTGCACTACGCCATTTTCGCAAAATATAAAATCAAATTGATTAGTTACCTCCTCACCTCCCATTTGCTCCACGATTTTCGTGTAATCCGACCCGCTCACGAGTCCCACCGCCACTCGAGACTTGACATCGTTCAGTATAAAAGATTTGAGTGATTCCTGGATCACCTGACGCGGCTTTGTTAATGTGCCGTCTACGTCGAACAAATACAGCACATTCCTGCGGCCCGACATCTTTCTATTTGAATTTTGGTGGCAAATAATTGGTCAATAACAGGAAAACCGGCACCACCGCAAGGTATTTATGTGTCAACACTGCACTCACCGACACGTCACTTTCTTCGAACTCTGGCTGGAGATCAGAAGCTAATATGGCACGGAGACGGTTGAATAGTGTTTTCACACTGCTGTTGTGTACTATAATGACTGAAAATGTGTTAACCGACAAAGCAAGAAACGTACTTCTACTGCTAGGTAACGTGTATTATTATCATTGTGCATTTTACAGTTGTCAGCGATACTAAAGTTTGTTCGATCACGTTATCAGCTGTCAAAAGTTATACAACTTAATAAATTGTCAATAATAGAATACATTATTATGATCACTACTGCTCTTAATAGTATAAATTAAATAGTAACAAAAATAAATACCTTTTTTTAGAAGTTAAATATTGAGTTGACTAGAATAAAATAAATGTATATAGTAAACAATTGATTATATGTTATCTCGCTCTTTCTATAGGGTAAGTAATTCACTTTTATACTGTCTTTCTCACGTCTTTGTTGTCAGTTTATTTCGTGTTCCGTTTCATGCAAATTTTTAACGCAAATTTTTTATTTAATAATATTTTTTTGTTACACAATAGTTTTAATACAAAAAAAAAAAAAATTTAAGTATTAGTTATATATTAAAACCCGAAAGAGAGTTATCGTCTATGAGAAAGATATCGGAATAGGATTGCCACTTCGAAACTCGAATCTCCTTACAAAAATGGTATCATCGCGTATATACTGATACCACTTTTGGTATCAATATAAAGAACAAATGAAGATTTGTTCTTTATGTAAAGATTAAAGGATGATCGTTTGGACGTGAATTAAAGGTCGAAAGTCGAGACAAATTTGTGTCAAATTTCTTCTCTGTTATATGCCTACTTCATATATTTCTATTTTTTTAATTAATTATCATTGTATAACAATATATTGTAAGTTTTTTGGTTCGACGTCGATTACAGTACCTTGACAGAAATATAATGTATGTATTCTGGCAGATTTATTTTGTTGGTGATTGAATTTTTTTTTTCTATTGCAGCGGACGATGGTGGTTTTGAAATCGGAGCTTACCGAAACAAAATATGCCAGACACCGAACATTGACGCCTTGGCGCGCCGCAGTGTCATCTTCAACAACGCTTTCACCTCCGTTAGCAGTTGTTCTCCTAGGTACATTATATTGCATAAAACATCCTGTTTATTACAGAAAAACAATATCAACTAAATTAGTTGAGTTGATATACAAAGAAAAACTTAAACAATTAATAAGCATTTTTTTATTTAAAATGAAAGAGATTGTAAATTATAATAATGTTATTGTTGAAAAAAAAATCATATAGCTGTCAATATTATCAGATTAGAGATTTCAGAAAGAATGAGCGCATAGCGGTTTCCATATTGATTATCGCATGCCTCCTACTTGTTAATGTGTATTTATACACGTGTAAGTTTCTGCGCCTAAGCTCATCCGTCTTGTGATGATTCTACGTTCCGAATAAGTGGTAGAATAAAAAAAATAATTTGAATAAAGATTGTACTATTTCTATTTTTATTGTTATTCAAACAGCCGCGCAGCGTTGCTGACAGGTACCCCGAGCCACCAAAATGGAATGTATGGACTCCATCAGGGCGTGCACCACTTCAACTCGTTTGACAACCTCACCAGCCTGCCCAACGTGCTGCGGGAGCACGGTGTCAAAACTGGTACGAACAAACATCAATTTTATATAGATAAATCATTTCTTTTCCGTAGTTAATCCAACAATCATAGGCACTTCAAGCATATAACAACATATATGGCTGCCCAGTTGTCGAAATTGGACTTCAATTGTATTGATTTAAATTATAAATTTGAACATTTCTATAGTGTCTTATACGGACAATATTAACTATTGTTAATTTCATTATAGACTTTAACAATAAAGAAAAGAGTATATATCAATACATATGTAAAGGTCAGCTGCGAGTATATAAAAATCAAAATTCAAAAATCATTTATTCATGTAGGACATTTTAGCCGCTTATGAACGTCAAGTTTTTACATTATAATTTCTTTTGCCTTTTGCCTTACCGTCCAGTTTGGTATATAGATCAAATTCAGAAGAACTGACAAGAAATTCAATTGAATTACTTTTTTTTTTAATTCCGTTTATATGTTAAAGTCTGTGTGTGTAAAGTTTTTTTATTGATTTTATCTATTTTTATGCGTAATTGTAAATAAAATATTTGCATCCTACCTTAGAATTACTCTAATGCTGTTTCTAAACGATATGGGGGACGTGTACAGAAGGCACTAAAAACCCGCGGAAGGTCATTGCGTAGCTAAAAGCCTCCTTCCTATAAATAATTATCTCTCCCGGCTCTACTTAGTTTTATAGGAATTCCTCTGATCAGCAGATACTCTGATCTGCTGGTGTGTAGAAGATACAATATAATTGTGGTGATATAGTAAGAGTACATAAGGCACTACAAACCCGCAGACGGTCATTGCCTGCTGCCTCTATACGAGGTACTATAATCACCTGTACCTAACCCGGTAGGTACGGGGGGAAAGTTATTGTTAGTAATGTGGATTTATGACCCCATTGCTAGCAATGTACCATGTCAGATTGACCTCCACGCGGTTCCTCCTGGAAACCATCCAGATAAATTCCTAGTGAATTTGTCACGATGGGCTAACTGGCCTGACCTCATATTCAACCTATCATCCTCCACTGGTGCCCCGCCAGCGTAAACTTTTAGCGCAGGCGGGTGCATCATTCCAGTATCATCCACAAAAACCCGGTAAGTACAGATGACTATATGCTACATTATAGATATATAGATAGAGGATGCAGGATATACAGATACTACAGGTAGAAGATACGATATAATTGTGGTGTTGCAGGTATAATTGGTAAGAAGCACGTGGGTCCATCGAGCGTGTACCGCTTCGACTACGAGCAGACGGAGGAGAACAACCACATCAACCAGGTGGGCCGGAACATCACGCATATGAAGCTGCTCGCCAGAGAGTTCCTAGCACAGGCCAACCACGAGAAAAAGTAAGATATTAAATAAAAAATCATCAACCAATCTGAAAACATTCCTTTGTTTTCGAATTTTAAATTAAAAAAAAATGAAAATGCATTTTTTTTTTATTTAGCGGCTTATGAACGACAAGTTTTTTGTATTTATAATTATTATTAGGACTAGTAATATCTAATTATGTAGATTTCTTGTAAAGTACCGAAAAATGGGAAAGTAATTTACTTTATTATTATGATTATTATTCAATAATATATATATATATTTTTATATAATGATTTCATGTTTAATTTATTGCATGATCGCGGATTACATTTCGTACGGTGCAAACATTTGTATTCATGAGTATGATATGACATGTTAATACAAACAGTATCAGTCTGGATGTTTTCTCTATATAATGTAGAAGACATGTATTTACGAGAAATCTACACTTTCCACTGGTTATGTTGTCTTATTAATAATATAATTTATCAAAATCCTTTCTTAGTGCCTACGTCATAGTAGCTTTATGCATGCAAAGTCTCAGCCCGATCGGTTTGAAATTGACAAAGTTTCATACAAACATTTGTATCCTCTATTTTATCCCCTTGTTTGTATCATTAATCAAAATCCTTTGTAGCGGATGCCTACGTACATATACCTGCAATGTCAAACAGCCCAATCCATCCATTGGTTTCAGCTGAATGTATTTTCTCTGTATAATATACACTATGTCCGACAAAATATATCTATTATAGATATCAGCTGTCTAGTACCCATAATTCCTAGTGCCCTCTGCTTAGCTTGGGATTGGAAATTGTGTGTGAATTGTACTGAGTTTATATAATATAATTTGTTCATCAGACCATTCTTCCTGTACGTGGCCTTCCACGACCCGCACCGGTGTGGTAACACTCAGCCGCAGTATGGACCGTTCTGCGAGCGGTTCGGGTCCGGCGAGGAAGGAATGGGAGTCATACCCGACTGGAAACCGTGGTACTACCAGTGGGATGAAGTGCAGTTGCCCTACCATATACAAGTATCTGTCGTTCCATTATATATTCTATCTATATGTTTTCTTTATATTGTAGCTCTATAGAATTTGTGTTCATTGTAGTATCTAGGTAGTGAGTATACAGGTGTATTTATTTATTCATCCAAAACAAAACAAATTGTGTAGGATAACATAATTTATAAATTTTTGTCAACAACATAATAGCAACTTAAATATTAAATCTCGGTAAGTCAGCTAGCATAGTGCAGTAGCTCCTCATAAGTCTATGGTCATCGTTATAAGAGTCATCTATGTAATAGTAACACATATTCAATAAAAATGTGCTCAATCTCGTCTTGAACAATGTGAATTAATTGTAGTTTAGTAAGTTTAATGCGAAGCTATATGGCTTATTAGTAACGCGTACATTCGACACTGAGTCTGGATGTCGAGTGATTTTACATTTAACTTGAATCTATGTTAGTGGAGACGTAAACTAATGGAAGGAAGTCAAGATTGACAGAAATATTGCAAGTGTAAAATATGAAAGTTTTCTGTACTAACTAATTAAAAGATTTACACCAAAACAAGGCATATACCTACTTAGCTCATTCATATAAAACATTCAAGATAGTGTAAAATTTATCTAAGCAATATGCATATATATTGAACACATATTAGAAACAGTACTCTCTTTTTTAGCAGTCGAGTAAAAAATTGTATTTTTTCAGGACACAGAAGCAGCGAGGAGAGACGTGGCTGCACAATACACGACCATGTCACGACTCGACCAAGGTATGTACAGCAGGTATTTTTGAATGCTAAATAGAAATGCCATTCCGAAAATATATGGCGCCGAGAAGAGAGAAGATTCTGGAGCAAGAAATAGCTATTGCTTTTTAAAAAGTGGAGTACTCATACCCGTGGGCGGGTGCTGCTTGTGGGGACTGGTCTGTTCGGGTTGCGAACACTGATTAGACTATTTGCTTTTGCAAATATTTTGATGGTCACTCTATTCTACCAAGTTAGAATTTAAAAATTAATCTGTATTATTGTTAACATGTACAATATTAATTTGAAAAGAATACGAGCTGAGTTTCTTGTCAGTTCTTCTCATGTCGAAATCATTCCCAACTGACGGTAGATTTGACATATCATAAGAGTCTGTAATACACCTACATGAATAAAGATATTTTGAATTTGAATTTGTAGTAGATTTTTATGAATATTTTATATCAGTTGTCCAGTACCAGTATCACAATACCTCCTTAGCTTGGGACTAGATGGCGATGTGTGAATTGTCCCAGGATATTATTATTATCATAATAATGACCTGTACCATATGCGCTATAGCATGGTGCGAGTGACAGTTTAATGTTTCGTTTCACTCTTAAAAGTTACCGCGATTTACAAATTATGACTTAGTATTTCAGCTGTACCACATTAGTAATATTAAATAATTAATAACTCTATTAACTTAAATGTAGCAATTGTTAGATGGAAAATTAGTAACTATCACCCGCACCACGCTACAGCGCACAATGGTATAACATATTATTAGGCAATAGAAATTCAATTTCTTAATATTTTATTATGAAACTTAAATTAAAATTATTTATTTGTGAATTACAAGTAACAAAGTTTTACAATAAATAATATGTTTCACTGTTTACTGCAATTACGCGTACAATATATACTTATTGTTGTACTACAGGTGTAGCGCTGATAATCAAAGAGCTGGAGGCGGCTGGTCACCTCCAAGACACACTGATTATCTACACGTCTGATAACGGTATACCATTTCCGTCGGGACGCACCAACTTGTACGACCCTGGGCTACGGGAGCCGCTGCTCATCTCGTCTCCGGAGACCAGCGCGCGCAGGAACCAGGCCTCAGCCGCCATGGTCAGCCTGCTAGATATCATGCCTACAGTGCTGGACTGGTTCCACATACAACAGCCTGAAGATGACTCCAATGATATATTATGGGACTCTGATAAACCTAAGAGTCTATTGCCAATTTTGGAAAAAGGTATCAGTTGCTTTTCATTATATAGATATTTTATATACTTTTATACAAATGAATACGCACGCTGCAAACATTTGCATTCATGAGTATGTTGGTTTGTATAGTTTTGAGTGTTTTCTATGTATTATGTAAGTATTCAATCAGTTCTCTGGTACCCATAACACATATTCTGATTAACTTGGGGTTAGATGACCACGTGTTTTTTACTAGATGACGCTGTGTCAATCGTTCAGGGTTATTATTATTAGTTGTTTAGTACCCACAAACTATAGCGATACTACGGATTTAGTAAACAGAGCTTACCCTATAAGCTCTGTTTAGTCTGAGGTTAGATGCCACCATGTTTCTTTTTTACCTAGCTTATTATTGTTATACCTTCATGAAAGTTCTAATTACTCTGTCAAGAGTGTACTATTAAAGAAAAAGATTATTAATAAACACACATAAAGAGTACAATGTATTTGTTTTTAAATAAAAAAAATATTGTCTCCGTTACACAGAACCGGTACCGTCCCAGAGAGATGCTGTGTTCGCATCTCAGACGCATCACGAGGTAACAATGTACTACCCGATGCGGGCCATCAGGACGCGCCAGTACAAGCTCATACACAACATCAACTTCGGAATGCCGTTCCCCATAGATCAGGATCTCTATGTATCCCCCACTTTCCAGGTAAGTGCTATAAAGTCCAATATGTCGTATACAGGAGACAGTTTTTAAGTTTTATGTAGGTCAGTGCTCGTTCCCAACCATAACACAAACTCCGCTTAGCTTGAGACTAGATGGCGCTGTTAGAATTGTCCAAGGATATTATTTATGTATCATTTAATAAAAAACTTCTTATAAAAAAGCTCTATATGAAAACGTTACAAATAAAAATACCAGATTGAATTTTATGCTTCAACATGTCTTTACTGATAATTATATTATTTTACCCTAAAACTAGGGTAATTATCCTAATCTGGCAGGCATAAAAAACTAATGTCAATTTATATTTCCCATTTTTTTTATGGATCTTAATGGAATGGTACTCCCGCCTGCGCTAACGGTTTACACTGGCGGGGCACCAGTGAAAGGTGATAAGATGAGTATGAGATCAGGTCAGTTAACTATATGGTTTCCAGGTCTGCGTGGAGGTTAATCTGACATAGTACGGTACATTGTTAACAATGTACCTTCCCCCCGTTAATGGTCGTGTGTTTTTTTTATGGATGATAATGGAATGGTGCACCCGCCTGCGCTAACGGTTTACGCTGGCGGGACACCAGTGGAGGATGATGAGATGAGCATGAGGTCAGGTCAGTTAGCCCATCTGCTTGTAGGGACTGGTCTGCTCTTATCACTACTACTGATTTAATCTTATTGTGTTTTTATATTTGAGCCTAAATAAATTAGTGATGGTTGGTAGTTTGTATTGACACGTTTCGACTTGTAAAATGTGAACTTACAAGGATTGATTAAAAGAGCAACACACAAGTTTCTTGTTTATTCTTCTTGTGATTAGACAGCTTTCCGAATAAGCGGTAGATTTAAAAAAATTTTGACTATTCAAAAGTGCTTAAATTAAGTTTATTTGAATAAATGATTTTCTATTCTATTCTATTCTATTCATAGTGACAAATTCGCCAAGAATTTATCACGATGGTTTCCAGGGGGAACCGCGTGGAGGTCAACCTGACATGGTACATTGCTAGCAATAAGTGCATCAGTCCACGTTACTAACAATCCCCTTTCCCCCCAACGGTCGTGTGTTGCCAATATATATATTACAGACATGTTAATGCAATTCGTAGGATTTGTTGAACCGCACCCGCAGCAAGCAGCCCCTGCCGTGGTACAAGACGCTGAAGCTATACTACCAGCGGCCGCAGTGGGAGCTGTACGACGTGCGGGCCGACCCCACCGAGACCAACAACCTCTATGGTATGTCACATGTCAACCAGCCACTATACAAGGTGTTTGGAAGCACACAGTTTTGACACTAGTGTGTTAGTGCTATTTGGTAGTTTGTATTCACACATTTAAATTAAAAAATGTTAGTTAATTTGGTTAGATTTTTCTATTTTGTTATGTATTGGTTGAAGGGCAAGATTTGTCATGAATTATTTATTTATTTATCTGTATTTATATCTCAATATTTATAAATTAATGTCATTATTGCATTTAAAAAAAAATTGTGTTAGCGCGTTATAACTGTCAATTCAATTGATTGTAAAAAATAAATTTTTATTTGACATTTTGTTTCCGCGCGCGGTCTTTCCGGTTCTCCTTGCCTACATTTGCATGCAAATGTTATGTGAAAGAGCGAGCGTACATGTAAAGGCAAAATTAATATTATTATCGAATCAAATCAAATAAAAAATAATTTATTCCTGTACCTAGGACTATTTAGTCGCTTATGAACGTAATTTTTTTGTATTTATATTTTATTCCCTATCGTCTAGATCAGTATACAGATTAAATTTAGAAGAACTGGTAAGAAACTTGAATTTTTTTTTAAGCCAGTTTTAATGTTAGCTTACGTAATATCCTAAACTAGTTTTACCTAAGTGCCGTTTGATGAAAGTTGTAATTCGTTTTATGGAAATTGCGTAAGGTTTTACAACAAACTGCCAGTCTGTACTCAACTTGCCAGAAAAAAATTTAAATGTGTTATTAAATATTTTCTTTGTAAAAAAGCTTGAAGAATTTATAAATGATAATAATGTTTTTGTAGAAAATATCGAATTTAAAATTCATAGCGCTATGTTATCTGATTGAACAGAGATTAAGTGCCTAGCGGTTTCTATGTAGATTGTCGCATGCCTAATCCTTGTTAATGTAAATATAATTAAAACAATATTTATTTAAAAGAGCAATACACAAGTTTCTTGCTCATTCTTCTTGTGATGAGTCTGCAATGCGATTGAGCGGTAGAATAAAAAATTTGACTATTCAAAAGTGGTTATATTAAGTTCATTTGAATAAAGATTATTTCTATTTCAACGCTCCTTGCAGGTAAGCCGTCGCTGGCAGTCACGTGGCAGGAGCTGCGCTCGCGTCTGGAGGACTGGCAGCGCAGCACCCGCGACCCGTGGCGATGCGCGCCCGCCGCCCTGCTGCAGGACCACCACTGCCGGGAGTTAGACAACGGATTAGCAGCCCTAGAGCGCTACCGTCCGCTATAGGTCCCTCGCACTGTATACATTTATTATAGTGCTGTTTCAGAGGAGCTTCCTGCCGTATAGGTTTAATTCTGGAATGAACTACCTTACGAAATAATCTCGAGACACTCAAGATAAGTTTTTTAAGAAAAGTATATTAAGGTTAAGGTCTGCAACACGCTGATATCCCTCGTTCCAGGCGTCCATAGGTTACGATAATTGTTATAATCAGACGGGCCGTATGCTTGTTTACCACTATTTTTTATAAATTGTTTTTTAAATATATAACTAAATTTTAAGTAGATAGATAAATATTTTATTTTGCTTCCTCACCAAACCAAATAAATACGAAAATACAGCAATTTAAACATATTTAGATCCGCACCACATCAATGGAAAAAACAGCAAACATAACAGAAACAGAAAACAGATAGAAATAATTACCAAATAAACTAAAAACGAATCAAAAGCACTGTATAACGCATCTATATAATGAAATTACGATGTGTTCTTCAATATTCGTTATCTCTATTCATAGGCCTCGCGTCTCCTCTCGCCCGATCGTAACAACTATCCCCTTAATAGTGTTAAAAAATATATCGTGCACGAAAGGCCTAAAGGTGCTGCTATGTTAAAAAATAATTTTGAGTTTGAGTTACAATCAAGGGCGGATCCAGCTTTGGCGCCAGGAGGGGGTCATATAGTCGTAGTCATGGCGCCAGGAGGGGGTCACATAGTCGTAGTCATTGGCGCCAGAAGAGGGTCACATAGTCGTGGTCATAGCGCCAGGAGGGGATCACATAGTGGTAGTCATGGCGCCAGGAGGGGGTCACATAGTGGTAGTCATGTGCGCCAGGAAGGGGTCACATAATCATAGTCATGGCGCCAGTAAGGGGCCACATAGTCGTGGTCAAGTCAAGAACTTATAATTCATTTTTGATTACAATAGAAACAAGTAAAAAGTAGGTATTTTAATAATGTACGTAAGTACTGTACTTAAAAATATTTATTCTTTATTGTACACTTGAAAAACTTAACACTTAATAACTTGTACATATACACGTACATATTGCCATCTTCTCTTGAAGACATCCAGAGAAGCACCTTAGTGGTACCTAAGTCCTGGAACCAGCGTCGAGCGGGGGGGTCGTGACCCCCATGATCCCTCCCCTGGATCCGTAGTTGGTTACAATAGTCGCGTACTGATAATTTTCGCCAAGAACAACTCATTCATATAACACCTTTCGCTCTCACATGCACGTCATATTTTATCACTATCCCTATATAAAAATCAGTATTTTTTGTTCTTTTTAGTAATGTTGGTCAGTTTAATAAGTAACGTCCCTTGCATCCTGTATCAGTCTGCTAGAATATTGTATTCCATTTTATTAAATTGCTGTTTTGAACTACTTCTATCTAAATATATATAACTCAAACGTGACCGACTGACATAGTGATCTATCAACGCACAGTCCAAACAACAAACCACTGGACGGATCGGGCTGAAATTTGGCATGCAGGTAGATGTTATGACGTAGGCATCCGCTAAGAAAGGATTTTGATTAATTCTACCGCCAAGGGGATAAAATAGGGGATGAAAGTTTGTATGTAACTTTGTCAATTTTAAAGCGATCGGGCTGAGACTTTGCATGTATAAAGCTACTATGACGTAGGCATTCCCTAAGAAAGGATTTTGACAAATTCCACCCCTAAGGGGATAAATTAAAGCGAGCGAAGCCGCGGGCAAAAGCTAGTTGTAAATAAGTTCGTATATGAATTAAAAGGATAACAATAAAACTACCTCTAAATATAGCACCGAAATATATGATAAAAGTACAGATTACCTTCAGTAATGTCTTGTGATAATAGACAATATATATCAAATATTACTACACACATGAATCTCTTTGGTAGGGCCTTTGGCCTCATCTTCTACAAATATGAAGACTCGACTTATACAAATATGAAGAAGTTTAAACGTAGACTAGGCTGTACGGTCTAAGGATCTTTGCCTGTTCCATCATTGAAAAAGAGATGGACGAATATGTGAAAAAAACCCCTCCGCTGGATCCTCCGTCTAATTCAAACCGGGACCGATGTTACGACGGCCTGAGCCGAGGTTCGAACCCCCTAGCGGTGCCCTCAGACTAAATTCGTATCGTCGTCAGGCGGGAGTTGGCCTTCAGCCGCTCCATAAGTCCGCGGGTTTGGAGTGCCATCTGCTCTCGCCCCTATCGTCCGGTGAAGCTGTAAAGGCCAGCTGCGGCCAACGGCATTAGGGTAGTCAAAAAAAAATGGGAAAATAAAAGTCTCTTTGGTTTACAGTATCTAGTAATTATACAGTAGATATATACTTATGTATCTATAGAGACACATCAATGAATACTCTACTTGTTGAACATGAAAATCAAAGTTAACATATAACTTCTATAATAATTAGATAAAAAATAACAATAAATCTTATAAAATCACTTGTGATATCATTATATTCTATGTTTGCCACATTACATGTGAGATTCAGTCTCTAAAACTAACTATAAAATTAACAATCGATTTGAAATGTGTAATTTATACAAATAACTTCAAACACAAGCTTAAAAATTATTGATTCAAGATATGCTTTTACTCGACTAATGAGATTTTTAATGAATGAAAGTGATAAATATTGTAGTTAAATATGAAAATTATTTTTATTTTTATGAATCTTTGAAAATTTTAATTAGTTTATACTTTTATAACTCAATTATTGTTAAATTCGAGACAATGTTTATTGTTAAGTATGAATAAATGATTATTGCATTTGTCAGGGTTAATTTAAACTATTATATAGCTTATGACATATCTATTGACAGCCTCGGTGGTCTAGTGGTTTAGCACACCGCTTTACTATCCGATGGTCCTGGATTCGATTCCTCGCACGGTACAAACATTTGTATTCATGAATATGATTGTTTCTATCGGTCTGGGTGTTGTCTATGTATAATATGTATTTATTTACATAAAAATATCCATCAGTTGTCTAGTACCCATAACACAAGCTCTGCTTAGCTTGGGACTAGATGGCGCTGTGTGAATTGTCTTGACATATTATTATTATTATATATATAGTCGGTTGGAAGTGCGCTCACTGTCGGCGCACACTGTCGTTCTCATTCTCTTTGCCTACATTTACATGATTATTATTTCCTGCATGAATGCCGATTTGCGCGTGAAACAGCATTACCATAGTAAGTACTGGACCTAATGAAGCTTGTAAGTAATAAGAAAGTATTACATATACAGTAATGGGGTGACTTTCAGTCAGTTTCTACAACACAACATTTACAACAATAGATTGTTGTTACACTGATACATGCGTTGGTTCTAATAATCTTCGTACATTTCATCCAGCCGCTCTATCTTCAACGCCAGGTTCTGATCAATAGTCTTCACTTTTTGCATCAGCTTCTCAGTGTCCATAGCCTGGGGAGTTGATAAATAAATCATGAAGACAGAGGTAGATTGGGGGAAAAGGGGATTGTTGCTATTGTGGACTGATGACCCTTTTGCTAGCAGTGTACCATGTCAGGTTGACTTCCATACGGTCCCTGGAAACTATCTTGACAAATTTTTTGGTGAATTTGTCATGATGGGTTCACTGACCATTCATCACCCGCGTAAACCGTTAGCGCAGCTGGGTTTTCATCACACCATTCCATTTTCATCAATAAAAGACAGTCATAGGCTTCAAATTGATAGTTTTGTGATAACTAAAAATGTATTAAAAAATATAATAGATTTAATAAATTAGAAAATCCCTTTGTCAACAAGAAACTGAGTAGAAAGTCTTCAAAATATGATTTTAATTAAAGCCAAGCTCAGTTTGACCTTATCTCTGGTATAAATATTTGTATTCATGAGTATGATTATTTTTGGTGGTCTGGGTGTTTTCTATGTATACATTTAATAAAAAAAAATTAGCATATATACCATCTGATAGTCATGGTTACTGAAATATACAAAACACTACATAGTTGATTCCATAATCTGAGTTTTCTTGTCAGTTTGTTTCATCACATGTTACCCTATCATCAAACTCTGCTTAACCTGGGCACCATGTGCATCTTTTTGTCACAGTGTCTGGAACACTGTGTATACAAAAGTATACACAATACAATATTGTTCTACTTAGTAAACGCGCTGTGTATCCTTTAAAAACATTCTCTATATATTATGAGTTTTCGCATTTTTCAATGAAAATGGTCTGGGAATCAGTAATTTTACAAAAAAATTTATATTTTTTTTTTAAAACGGTGACAGAGTCTGGTGCTGAAGGTGTTAAATTTGTGTGTTTTTCTCTTAATTTGGCTCGGACGACACATTTATGATTGCTATGTATAATCTTTGATTACTACTAGCTACTGAAGATAAAATAACTGAAATGTTACTTACCATAGTCATTATGTGATCAAGTCTCTTGCTTTTTAAGTAAATGCCTTTAACAAACATCAGGATGTAAACATATAGTGCTAGCAACACCAACACAGCGCCCACTTTCATTTTAAATGACCAGTATGAAAACATTTTGGTCTGTAAATATAAAATACTATAGTTAAAAATAAAGTCTCAAGTCTAATGGTCTATGACTTATTAACATGTTAATCGTAACTTTATTAGATAATTTAGTTAAAAATGTATCACGGAAAGTTTATGATCACAGAAAAAATTTTTTGCCATAATTCCCCGAAATACACTATTTTTTATGTGACACATATATTGGTGTGCACGACACCTCTTTGTTTATTATTTATGTATTTTGTCTATTATTTTATATAGAAAAATATATATGACATTGTCAATTGTTGTTCTGCTAATTATTATACTTTTGTACATAATATTATATTATTGCTTCCTAAAACATATTTACCAGCCCCATATATATACAGTCCTTCGTTCACAATATACTGTGCTTGATTAAACGAACTTAATGAAATAAATATGTTTTAGGAAGCAATAATATAATATAATATTATGTACAAAAGTATAATAATTAGCAGAATTAGAATGACAATGTCCTATATATTTTTCTATATAAAATAATAGACAAAATACATAAATAATAAACAAAGAGGTGGTCCTGCACATATGGTACATTAAAACTTTTCTCAACAAGCCGTGTCAGTCTTATATAACTGATGCATCCAAACAAGATACAACAAGTATTAACCTGTTGTTTTGATCACAGCACCTTCTACCAATGCATACGTCTGACATGGCTCATGTAGAACTTCTTAGCATGAGACACAAATGACTGACATGGTGATTAACATGTTAAGTACTGGCTGACCCATGCCACTTCGTCTTCGTCACTTACTTGATATTTATCGTTATATTTCGCCAATTTACATAATATCTTTTCAATTTATAGCCTATATGTTATTCTGGTATAAGCTATATTACTGTGAAGTTTCAACAAAATCCCTTGAATAGTTTTTGCATGAAAGAGTAACAAACATCCATCCATACTCACAAACATTTACATTTGTAATATTAGTAACATTCTACATAAGTAGTCGAGCTAACATTACAATTATAAATGCAAAAGCATATCTGTTTATTCTGTTTCACTAAGCGGCTGAACAAACCATAATAAAATTAGATAAGTAGATATATAGATACATAATGGGATGTCTATTTTATCTAATAGAAGTAGACAAAGTCACAAGTAACTACTACTTTCCTATAAGCTGAAGTTGAACTAGCAAGTGTTTATTTCATAATATTGATTACTTACTGGTTTCAGTGCAAGCACTGGCACCTCTGTTGCAATCTGAGACATTCAGACGAGATTAAAGTCTGTTGGTTTTTTCAATAATTTTTTCACTGAATGGAGCTCTGTAAAGCCCTTTAGAGTTACGTATTTAATTAAAATTATGTTAACAAACTCCTTCTTGTATATATTTAGTCATTTACAAACAAGTAATTATCCACGAAAGAAAATAGTGGACAGGTAGCACTGTCTCTTTGACTTCGTAGTACCAGTAGTCGCAATGAGTAAGCTTTGCTTTGTAGAGTTTATATTTTAGACTTAAATATCTGATATTTTTGATTTTTATTTTCGATAAAATGCAAATAAATATAGTACAGTATGTATCCCACAGATCAGGCAGACTTAGTGATTACAGAAAAATAAAAGCACTAAACATAGTATAAATTAACACAATGTTTATCTCTTTCATTCATAATTCTTTCTGAATTAAAATAGAAAGAAATGAAATATGATTTTATTCACATTTTAAATTCTGATTTTGTTATTGTTCTGCGACTTTGACAGAAAGAACACATATTTCAAGTATCCAATGAGATGTGAGACGTCACTTATCTTATGTCAGTCATAAAATGTCATTCAATCAAAACAAAATATTGAGGTTACTTTTTCGATTAAATAATATTTTATTTTGAATCTAGATTACATGAGTTATTCTCAAATTTAGATTAAATATAAGTATTTATAGGATTAGCTAATATTTTAGGATTAACGATACAATGGCAACTAATTACGCTAAATATGCTCAATTAATAAATGCCTCCACAAATTATGCACGGCGCATGAAGAGACTTTCAAACAGAATCTTCGGCGAAGTGGCGATACCCACCAACTCGAAATCAATGAAGGTGGTGAAGATGTTCAGCGAGAGGCCACTGCATACCAACGAGGAAATCATTCATTACTATCCGAAGCACGTAGAGACCCACACTCTCATGTTAAAACTGCGAGACTACGGTTTGTTCCGCGACGAGCACCAGGACTTCAAAGATGAAATGAAGAGGCTCCGGGAGTTGCGAGGAAAAGTTAAAGTGTGGAAACGCAAGTTGGAAGAGAAGAAGGACTAAATAGATGTTAATATAGTTTTGTTTTATTGTTATAGATGCTGTAAATAAATTATTACCAATTAATATTTACTGTTATCAGTTCTGATTACCTGACAATCATTTATCCATCTAAATATATATAACTCAAAGGTGACTGACTGACATAGTGATCTATCAACGCACAGCACAAATCACTGTACGGATCGGGCTGAAACTTGGGCGGGCATGCAGGTAGATGTTATGATTTAGGCATCCACTAAGAAAGGATTTTGATTAATTCTACCCCCAAGAGGTAAAATAGGGGTTGAAAGTTTATATAAAACTTTGTCAATTTTAAACCGATTGGGCTGAGACATTGCATGCATAAATCTACTATGATGGGGGGAGGGGATTGTTAGTAATGTGAGCTAGTGATCCCATTGCTAGCAATGTACCATGTCAGGTCGACCTCCACGCGGTTCCCTCTGGAAACCATCGTGATAAATTCCCGGTGAATTTGTCACGGGCTAACTGACCTGACTTCATGTTCATCCTATCATCCTCCACTGGTGCCCTACCAGCGTAAACCGTTAGCGCAAGCGGGTGCACCATTCCATTATCATCCACTAAAAAAAAAATCTACTATAACATAGGCATCTAAGAAAGGATTTTGATAATATTAAAATATAAATACCCACTGGGTTAATGTATTCTCAAACCTCAACTGTAGTTGAGTTTGAGAACCAAAATGGCAACTTTGAACACATATCACTGAATGTTATTGGGTATAAAAGCAAATGAAAACATACGAAAAAATAGCCATTATTTATTTGATTAAAAAATCTTTCGTCAGGAAATAAATTGCTACATAAAATATTTCAACAAGAAATGCCTCAATTGCTTAACAATAATATTGTGGTGTGGAGCCGGAGATCGCGCCAACCGCTCACAAAACTGCCGTAAAATGCCTACGCAACACTATCAACTAAAGTATTATTATTGAGTACAAGATCTCAATTACAATTCTCCAATACCTCCCTTAGGCCTTGCAGCATTCAACACTGGACACACGACATACAAATATACTTAACAAACAATACATTATTACGGCAAAAGCATAAACAATCGCGCCTCCCGTCTTGAGTACTCTAGGCCATAGACAACATCGAGATAAATATAAACAATTATAATTAAATTAATTACACATTAATATTTTTTACATTATTCATTGCATTCAATTATTACTAGTATTTTGTGAGCTGTGGGCAATCGCAGCTGCTTTGTTGGCGGCAAAGGTACACAGCTATGGTACAAAATAACTATCAGTTATGGATTGCGATGCAGGTGAAGCCGGTAAGTCGTCGCTGCACTACAACACCCGTACTTTCTCTCAAAATGGGGAGATACGGCGACTGTTGGTGTACTGAGACGACCGACCTCATGTATTGTAACATTGTGCAACAATATCCAGCGGTAGAAGCTGCGTATTACACACAGACGCGGAAAAATCACTGCCGTCTCTACGCTCATCCCTACACACTGTAAGCGTAGCATAGTATTCGTGTAGAAATCTTGACAGAGCTAAATATATTTTGTATTAATTACTATTTCATATTATTCGTTAGGCTACTATCACATGTGACACAGTAATTGTTAAAAAATACGCATAATAGTGTTTACTTTTTAATAAAAGTATAAACTGTAGGGCGGCGAGACTGATATTCAGGGTAGGGTCCAATAGTGAGCGGTGTATGCAACTTAGCTACCACTGAACCACGTCTCGAAAATAATTGTTACACTCAATTAATTAATATCTTTATGCGAATATCTAAATATACGTTTGCAGTGCAGATTCCTCTGAATATGACCGCAACGGCAGTAGTTGAGGTGCGACGAATTCTACAGGAGCGAGCCGAACCGGGGGGCGGCACTAGTGACACTTCTGACTACGGATTAAAGCTTGCATTTCTTATAACAAAATAATGTTCATCGTGCCGCGCTCGGGCTCGGCCCGCGTCCATTACCTTTATTATTTTTGATCAGAGTTGCCAGCTCCAACTTTTATACAGAGAATGTAATAAATAACGGGAGACGTATGAAAATGTAATAAGAAATATATTTTTTCATATAATACTGCACTGATCTCCCATTCTCCTGTCACCTTCATAGCCAACAATATTTTTTACTATGGGGTGAAGAAAACCTTTGTTATCGTACTACATACATTCTGAGATCGAAGCTAAATCCCGGGCAGGTGTGGCAACACTGCAGCCCACTGTCGTCGCGGCACACCAGTACCGTTAGACTACAAACACCACATACAGACTAGTGGCGAGCGGTAGATTTCAAAACGAATACAACGTTACGTGGAACGCGGAGGTTCGCGGTCGCACTGAGGTACGAGAATATAATAAATAGCAATACTTAATTAGACATGCATGTTCGACTAGCCGAGTGGGTGCTAGCTGCCGGGCCGCGGCCGCTCCGCCGGCTGAGATCCTTATGTACAATGGCTCAGGAACACTCCTCACAATACATTATATAGGGGGGAAGGGGATTGTTATATATATATATATATATCATGGTACCTATAGACAAATTCCTAGTGAATTTGTCATGATGGGCCAACTGACCTGTCTTCATGCTCATCTTATCATCCTCCACTGGTGCCCCGCCAGCGTAAACCGTTAGCGCAGGCGGGGGCACCATTCCATTATCAAACCAAAAAAAAAAAATACATTATATATATATATGTATATATATGTCGGAGCTACGGCCGCGACCGCACATAAACCTATATACACACGGCCCGCTGCCTCTTCAACGGAGATCCAAGTCGAAAATTCAACTATTCAGTTCTAACCCGATACACCACATAGACTTTTAGAACAATATTAGGATGTTCAATATATTTCAGATTCGTCGCATTCGTGTAATATTAAAAAATAACATATCGTATAGATTTATTTGTAGATTGTTTGGTATTTTTGCTAGCGGTTTATTTACAATTGAGGTCGGTGTTGCCAGTTTCTTACTGTAAGGTAAGTGCATGGCAACTTCACTTGGATTGTGAATAAAAACGAGGTCTTGATTAAGTTGTATGGTAAGTATATTGATTGTTCTTAGTGTTATTCTTCAATATTACACGACTGACGTAAACTGTATCAGTTTCAACATTACTTCATGACATCAACTTTCTGTTTAATCTAAATTAATATTGATTCTTCATATAACATCCACATTCCTAAAGAGCTTTTCAAGTACTCCTTTTAGGTATTTCTATAGAAATTCAATAAAAAGCCGCGGATGAGAATTTTTACATTTAAGTCGCTATTAAAATTAAAACATTCGATAATGTTCCTCTAAACGTAGTTAGATCATGTCGCGACCGACCATAGTCAAGTAGACGTGCGAGCATCGGGGATCGAGTGAGGAGGGTCCGGGGGGCAGGGGGACAGGGGGGGGGCGGCGGCGGCTGGGTGAGCCCCAGGCGTGGGAGTCGCGGGGCGCGGCTAGGTGTAGTCGTTGAAGTCGTCGATGGCGATGCGGTGCGCGAGGTCGGGCGCGCCGTATGGCTGCACGCGCGCGGCGGCGAGGCGGTCCTGCAGCAGGCGACGCCGCAGCCTCTTGATGAGCCGCAGCCGCTCCAGCGAGTTGGAAGCATACGGCGCGCCGCCGTCCCGCAGCGACCGGGAGATCTGCGCCGCCAGCTGTCACCACCACCGTCGTCGTCAGTACCCTCCACTTACGTCGATGCCCTAACACTATGTAACTCGAGCTCGGTGGTCTAGCGGTCTAGCCCGCCGCTTTACGTCCGATGATCGCGGGTTCGATTCCTCGCACGGTGCAAACATTTGTATTCATGAGTATGATTGTTTGTATCGGTCTGGGTCTATGTATAATGTGTACGTATATACGAAAAAAAAATTATCTATATCTAGTACCCATAACGCAAACATTAACTAGCTTAACTTGGGTCTAGAGGGCGCTGTGTGAATTGTCCTGAGATTATAATAACTATCCACCAGTATGTTGTTGTATAGTATGTTGGGTGAAAGTTAGTTTAATTGACAATTAAAACTAATGATTCAGCTTGTTTACCATTTCAATTCTATAATAGTAGCAACTTTAGTCGATGTTATAGTGATAACGATGATGATAATTATGATGATGGTGATGATGAGGTGTTGATTAAGATCATCAACATCAAAATCATCGATACTGTCACAATTATCATCATAATCATCAACATTATTTTCATAAATACAGAGATATATTATATCGCGAGTGACAACTAGTCTATATACATATATAAATATAGTAAAATGGAATGTCTGATTGTAATATTGAAATAACCGTTTTTTACTATATGTATATGAATATAAATATGGTATATATACCAAAATATCATTTTTTACAATTTTTGTTTGTCTGTCTGTCGGTCTGTTTGTTCCGGCTAATCTCTGAAATGGCTGGACCTATTTTGACGGGATTTTTATTGGCAATAAGGAGTAAGTAGCCTACTTAAATAAAGTTAAATGCCACGCGGACGAAGTTGCGGGAACAGCTATTTATAAATATAAAAAGTGTTAATGTGTTGAGATATGTATGTGGTGGTGACATGGTGATGGTACTGACCGCACAGTGCAGCGCCATCTGTCGGGCGAGGAGCGCCACGTTCTGGTCGGAGACGCACTGCGTGTCCAGGTGCGGCAGGAACTTGGTGCGGATGGTCTCGTCCTTGGTCTTCACGAACACGCGGTTCATGCCGTGCTCGTACGGCTCCACCACCACGATGCAGAAGTTGAACTGGCCCTGCAAATATATTGTATGACTATCTAAGTACACAACGACCACAGATTGCTAATAAAAATAAGAGATGTGTGATGATGTAGATGCTGACGACTTTGATAATAACGACAATAATTTGTCGATGATGATGATGATGATGAATTATGATGATTTCGATGATGTCGATGTTAATTTTGTAAAAATAGCAAATGATGATTATGATGATCATCGTCATCATCGACGCCTGAAAACGTAATCATCAAAAATACCATCATTACCATCGACAACAACAGTCATTATCATCATCACCACTATCCACATTTTAATCATTATCACCATCATTTACACATCATCGACATGATCAAAATTATCATCATCATCAACTTTATTGACGTCGTTGAAGCTTGGAGACAGAAATACCCATCACAGTTCTAAATAGTTTAAAATTGAGTTTTTACTGACCGTTGTCTAGTCCTCCAAACAAACAAGAACTTTAATTACTTGGATGTCTGTTTGAAGGTATGGTGATGGCAGTAGCGGCAGGTAGACGGTTAGTTTAGTTAAAAAGGTAAAGCTGGCGTCCAAGAAGCTCGGTGTGCTCAGTAGAGCGAGGCGGTATTTCACTGCGGACCAGAGACTTCTCTTATGTAAGTCACAGGTTCGGCCGCACATGGAGTATTGCTCTCATCTTTGGGCGAGAGCACCTGGATACCAGCTCGGTCCTTTTGACTCGGTTCAGAGACGTGCTATGAGAATTGTCGATGATCCCAATCTCTCTGGCGGTATCGAGCCACTCAGCTTGAGGCGAGACTTCGCCTCGCTTTGTGTGTTCTACTGATTATACAACGGACTGTGTTCTGAGGAATTGTTCGACATGATGCCGACAGCCACCTTTTACCACCGCACCGCTCGCCATCGACAGGGAATTCATCCCCACACACTGGAACCTAAGTGGTCCAGAACAGTGCGGTTTCAGAGGAGTTTCCTCCCGCGTACACTTAGATTGTGGAATGAACTTCCTGCCGAGGTTTTCCCACGAGACTAAAGCATGGGGTTTTTCAAGAAGGGTATATTAAGGTTTCTTAAGGGTCGGCAACGCGCAAGTGATATCCCTGGTGTTTCAGGCGTTAATAGGCTACGGTAACCATTTACCATCAGATGGGCCGTATGCTTGATTGCCACCATCGTGGTATAAAAGAAAAATAGTTACCTTGATGGTGTGTATGTTAAAGTCCGCGCCCGAGTCATTGTACACGATGGACACGTAGTCGTTCCCGATGTATTTCCGCTTCTCGTTGCACGTGGGGTCCTTCGCGGACGACGGCATCGCGGTCGCCACGTGGAACAACACCTGCACACACACACACACACACACATACACCGTTGTTCAAATTTTTACTAATCTATGGTTATGCAATATTAATTTTGTTTCTTAATTCTTGACGGTCTAGGTGGAGATGTAGTGCAAGTTTTTTTGAAAATAACTCCAGGTGTATTTCCTTTTATTTCTCTCTCCTTTTAATGCATTCTGACTGTGACGGTGGAATACCGGAAATTAATTAACACAATATAAACTTACTGCTAATTGCCAACACGTTTATATTTTAAAACTATTTATACTGCTTAAAATTATACGACGATAAAAATATTCTTATTTTAGTAATTATGGAAGGCAAGGCTTCTGTATAAACGTCAGCATCTTGGACCTTACCTAAAAATAAATTTAATAATTGCAATGCTCTCATAGTGGGAGAATTGCTAGCGTGGCTTGTGTGTACCGACGCGGTTGCAAACAGTCGGACACGACGACTGGTGACACTTCTCACGTAATTCGGAGGGATATTGAATCCTATCCGTTCTACAACTGCGGGATTATCTATTTGGTTGCGCAGCAGCAAACAGTATGAGTGAAGCTTGAGTTTTTTTTTAATGGATAATAATAGAATGGTGCACCCGCCTGCGCTAACGGTTTACGCTGGCGGGGCACCAGTGGAAGTTGATAGGATGAACATGAGGGCAGGTCAGTTAGCCCATTGTGACAAATTCACTAAGAATTTATCACGATGGTTTCCAGGGGGCACCTGGAGGTCATCTGACATGGTACATTGCTAGTAATAGGTTCATTAGTTCACATACCTAACAATATCTTTCATCCTGGAAGCTTGAGTTTGATTCATGTATGTTCAGAACCATTATACAATTTTGTTTGCAGTTAGGATTCCTACCCAGTACAAGATTTCTTTCATCTACTTCTGCGCTGCCTTTACATCTACTCCTTCACGCGCTCGCACAATCTTATTTATAGATATACTAGCTGTCCCGGTAAACGTTGTTTTACCATATAAATTAATAACGCTATAAAAAAAATAGGGGTTGGTGATTCATGTATGATTCAGTAATAAACCATTCATTATACAAAATTTTATCTCTAAATCGTGATTCGTCTATGGTCTAAAGTTAGACCTGCGATGCCCCTAGTTTAACAGTGATCTAAATGCAAAAATACAAACTCCATTTTAAAAATTCTATTGTAAGTTGTAGTTTTTGGAAAAATAGTTTAACTAATTTAAAAATATATTAACTAAAAATATTTAAAGCAAATTTTACGACAATAAAAATATCTCGCCGTTCCTTTTCTCCGTATAGGACTCCTACTTGTAATTTAAAACTGATTTTCAGCCTAATAGTACATTAATAAATATTATATATTAATGAAATAGTTATAATGAAGACATAGATAAATAGAAATAACTTTATTTTTAGTTTATACATTTTTCTTTGAACTAATATTATTTTTGATCTTTTCAGTTTTCTGTCATATGGCATACTTTCTAGAGAGTCATTACGTCAATGCTTTATACAATCAAATATCCTCACCGCGTACATTTATGAAAATATTATGTATACTAGTTTCAAGAAACTTAAAGACGGTAATTGCGTAAGATTCTACACGCTAAATCTTACAGAGAGGCATCTTATTTATAGATATACTAGCTGTCCCGGTAAACATTGTTTTACCATATAAATTAATAACGCTATAAAAAAATAGGGGTTGGTGATAGAAGGGTGAAAATTTAGGGTTTTATGTATTTTTAATGACACATAATAAAATAATATAAATAAAAAAAATCCCAAAAAATAAAACAGTAATGTTAGGAATAAACAACCCTTATCACTAAGGGTTAGGTTTATTTCAAGTATTAACTTTAGGAATGGTTTAAACCACGACCATTTAGACCACGTTTCGTCCGATGAAAAATAGATAGTATCCGATTTTTAGACCTACTGAATATGCATATAAAATTTCATAAAAATCGGTCAAGCCGTTTCAGAGGGGTATGGTAACTAACATTGTGACACGAGAATATTATATATAAGATATTACAGTCGTGCTTGCTTTCGGGCTGTTTTTGTAACAAATAATCATTTCTACAAAATGGGGAAATGGGGGACTGGGGGACAAAATCTCTGGAGCAAGGTGCTAAAGACAGATTTGTTGATATTTTATAACTCTTTAACGTGTCTGCGGATATTAAAATGAACATCATAAACTGCTTCTTCCTTATCCCATGTATTTGGGGTCGGCGTAATATATTTTTCTCTTCCATACATCCCTGTTCGCAGTCATCGCGTTATTTACTTCCTTTCTTACCATATCATCTTTCACACAGTCCATCCATCTCTTTTTCGGCCTTCCTCTGCCCTTATAACCATCCACATTCATATGTAACACCTTTCTTAAAATATTATCCTCGTTCCTACGCATTACATGTCCATACCATGATAGACGATTACTCTTCAACCTCTCTGACACCGGCGCCACTTTCATACTTCCTCTAATGTATTCATTCTTTATCTTATCCATTCTTGTCACACCACACATCCACCTCGACATTCGTATTTCAGTTGCACGCAGTCGTCTTTCATCCGTCATGGAATTAAAGTTTTAATAGAAAACTGAAAGCTTAAAATATATGCAAACACAGTATCAGCGGTTCCTTCGTTAAATCGGGCTCGCTTCTGATCATACGTGAAAGAAATTATGGTGTAAAGGCAGCCAATGAATCACAAACACCGCAAATGTGTAATAGTGGTATAGTGGTGAAGGTGTGGTGAAGGTGACGTTGGTAACCTGCATGATGTCGTCGTGCCACACGTAGGTGTAGTGTCCGTCCTTGCCGCCCTTCTCCAGGTTGAGGAACAGGTGCGGGTTGTCCGCGCCCGCCGCCAGGGACACCAGCGTGCCCAGCTGCGGCAGGAACTCCGCGTACCTGCCCACCACACATTATGTACTACACTCTTGAATCTCCACTTATACTTATAATACCGTATATAAGTATATAGCAGTGTTGCCAGTAACTGATAACTTTTTTTTTATTAATTAATAATTTGATTGTTTTCAATCAGGATTAACTGATAGTATTGTGTGGGATGGTGATATGATGGTGATGTGAGATGATGATAACTTTGATGATATCATCAACACAACAACAACAACAACAACATTACAATCAATGTGCCTAATATTTGCACATTGATTGTAAAAATAAAACTATGATCAATAATTTAAAATTAGTGTTCTAGTTGTTAAGAAACATTTATGTCTTATGTGCGACTGTGTTGAAAGTAGTAAATTATATTTTTGCTGTATATCCACTGAATATCTCCATGACAAAATCATCACGTACACTTAGATTGTGGAATGAACTTCCTGCCGAGGTTTTCTCACGAGACTACAGCATGAGGTTTTCAAGAAGGGTATATTAAGGTTTCTTAAGGGTCGGCAACGTGCACGTGACACCCCTGGTGCTTCAGGCGTCCATAGGCTACGGTAACCATTTACCATCAGTTGGGCCGTATGCTTGCTTGCCAATACAGTAGTATAAAAATCATCATCAACATCTTAATAATCATCAAAATCAATACAGTAACAATAGAGATACAGTGAACTCAGAGATTACTACAAGACAATAATTGCAACTGCTATTTTTTTAAATTGAATTGAAAACTAGAACCGGAGGTCACAATTAGTAAAACTGTAAGGGTCTCACCTAACGCTGCCGTATTCATTCTTTAATATTAAAACTTCGTTGTCTTGTTGTCCGGGCCCCACGTACAGCACTCCCACCTACGGCACGGAAGAGAAACCAAGCTATAGAAAATATTACACAATAATGCTGATTTACATTTACAAGTTGTTGCTAAATTTATTACTCTGAACTGCGTCTAAAAGTTGACAGTCTCAGTGTAACTGCGATCCGATGTGCACGTATTATAATTATTTTATTTAATATCGTAATTGCTCAGTATGGGACACAGTCACTTAGATACATAAAATAATAATTGCATTTAATAATGTCTAGTAAGACAAATTCAATATTGTCTACTAGGCACTGCTGTATCTAAACTGTGTCACCCCACCTTACATTTTCCTATTGTTATTTAGTATATAAGATCATTATTTTTATGTACATATTGTCAGTTTATCATCATATGTAATATACATCGTCTCGATCAGCAACATCGTATTATTTACCCGCAACACTTAGCGCGGCATAAGCCGTGCTAGTCGAAGTTTCAGCCATGTGTGACAAACTTGTGGCCAACGAACTCCTTGCGTTCCTGCAGCAGAAGCCGGACGTAATGGACGAAGTAAGTGCAGTCCAGATCTGTGTGTCCAACTTCAGCCGGGCCGACATCGCTAGAGCGAAGGCTCTGCTCTTCGAGTCCCTAAATAAGACTGATCAGATGGTGTCTCGTAGACGTGACGGGACACAAAAAAGCGTACAGGACATTACAACGCTGCTGAAGGAGACCGATCCAGACGACGTGCCAACTTTTGTGGCGAAGGATTTAAACAAACCTCCTCCAGTCACATTTGATCACGTCGATGTTACCAGCCTACTCAAGGATATCGTGTCCTTAAAAAAGAGTTTGGCAGATGTGACGCTACGTTTCAATGCGTCAGAGCACATAATCAGTGAGTTGCGCAAGGAAGTGGACAGTTTGCGCGACTCGCGAAAAGAAACTAGGTCACTCGACGCTACGAACATCAACACGCGCCGTGGGGCATGCCGCGATGCGATCACGGCGGAGTCAGCGGTTTCGGCGTCGACACTGACGTCACCAGACGTGGTGTCACCGCCGGCCGCCGCCCCCCCGCGCCCCCCGCGCCCCCCGCGCCCCCCGCCCGCAGCTCGCGAGCGCCGATACCGCTGCATGTGGAAGCAGCGCTAACTAAATCCTCGGTGCAACCACAGCGTCGAGATTTTGCCGCCGTCGTCGCTAGCAAACCGACTGCTTCAGTGCAGCGGCGTGTGCCAACAACGGCACTGAACGTTGACCCTACGTGTGCTGCCACTGGCAACCGCGACGATGATGGCTTCGTCGTGGTACAAAAGAAGAGGCGCACAAACAGGGTCAATAGGAATCATTGTGGCACTGCACTCACTGGGTCCGACTTTCTGCTGCGTGCTGCTACACCGACCACGACAATGTACCTGTCCCGTCTACATTACGTCCACTAAGGAGCAGGACATTGTCGATTATATTCGTACCAAGAGTAACCTGATATTGAGGGTGACGCAGCTGAAGTCGAGTCACAACGCGAGTTTCAGAGCGTTTGTGGCCCTGGTCCCCACCGTCTTGCTGCCCACCTTTATGAAAGAGGACTACTGGCGGGTGTGGTATATCGGCGCTACCGTGGCAGATTGCCGTCTTCAGTGCCGTGATCACACAGACAATATCGTTGTATTAGTTTTTAAATATTATATTATATGTATGTTGGTCTATAAGGTATTTATAATATGGGCCTAGTTGCCTAAAATAAACGAATAAATAAATAAATAAATATTTAGTAGGGTTTTTGTCGTTTTTTTTTAGAAATAACTAAATGTTATCTAATTAGATAAATAAAATATAGGATTATTTAAAAGAGCAACACACAAGTTTCTTGCTCGTTCTTCTTGTGATAAGACAGCTTTCCGAACGAGTGGTAGATAAAAAACAAATTGTTATGACTATTCCAAAGTGCTTAAATTAAGTTTATTTGAATAAATGATTTTCTATTCTATTCTATTCTATTCTAAAAAAGATATAAAGTAGAGAATATTAATTCCATGAAACAAATATAAAATACGTATGAAATTATATATTAACAAAACAAAGAGAGTAATTACACCTATAACACTAGCTCTGCTTAGGATGGCACTAGATGGCGCTATGTTCATTTTCCTGGATTATGATTATATAGACTATAAGTGCCGCTAGATAGCGTTGTACGGAGTCCTGCCGACGAAGAGAAAGTTGTCACAGCGCTCATGCTGCATGCTCGCTCCAGATCTCCAACACCTCGAGTACCTTGTGAGTGTCGAGGGGCGGCACCAGGTCGAGGTTCTTGATGGTCCGCTCGTGCTGCACGCCCACCGCCCGCAGTGGTCGCTCCGCCAGTGGATGTAGGCTGCTCGGGGCTTCGCCTGCGGACACGCAGCCCCCGGGGGCGCCAACGATAATGTAAGACGCTCAGTAAAATTGACTATTTACTAGAGAAATATTGGTTCTAGTAATTAACATTTTTATACATAAAAATTACGTGTTGCAAATTTGATTTGCACATTGTGTGCAATTTGATTCAACTTGAAAGATAGGATAGCTTACATCTCAATTTATAGTCCCAATATTATTTTATTCAAGAACCTTAGCCACAGCAACTCGTGTCCGGCTCTGCTGTGTATGATATATTTGAAGTACATTATAGGTCCTAACATATGAAATTGGCGCTTTGTAAGAGGGTAACGTAAAGTCGATTTTTTTTAAATACAATATATTTATTTAATCAAAGTTTGTACCATTGCTAGTTATGCATTTTTGCCATCTCCATAGGTCCATCCACATTCTTTTTTCAAAATACCATATATTTATTTAAGCATTTGTGTTACCGTTGCTAATTAATAATAGATTGAATATCATATATTCAATCTATTATTAATACCACTCCGTCTGTATAGCAACACGCATAATATTGTAATTAATAATATCGGTGTATATAATATTAGAATTAAAAATAACAAATAATAATTAATTTAACAACTTATTTAGTTCAGTAATTTGCAAGCGAATGAATTTGACATTTTGTCAATCTATTTTTTATTAAATGTATCTGTGTTATATGGCTAGTTTATGCAAGGAGGTTGGTAGCCTACACATTAAAATCTTTGAAGGCGCTTTGAACAAACATGTGCCAACTGTTAAATTTTAAATTGGTAAAGACAAGGAATTACAATTTTAAATTTATAAAGCTATTTACTCATAGCTGTAAATTTGAAATTTGTAACATTTAGAATGTTACAACAATTTGTAACATTCTAAATTTGAAACATTGTAAATTTGAACTTGGAATTCCTAACCAAAGAGGACATATTTGAGATCAAGTGGCCAGTATGACAAAACGCCAATTTTACTTGTAAGGACATAATAGTAATTTCTGGTTACAGTGTGGGGATGACTGGTGTACCTGGCACTGGCGGCGTGATGGGGTGCGTGCTCATGTTGTGGTACAGCTGCAGGAACACGAACGCCGGGGACACGCCGCCCCCGCCCCCCGCCGCGCCCCCCGCGCCTCCCCCCGCACCGCCGCCCCCCGCACCGCCGCCCCCCGCACCCGCCGCCGTCGCCGCCGCGCCCCGCACGCCGCCCTCCCTGCACGCACACACCACACATTACTACATGTACGGACGAGCCCCCCTCCGATCGATCCCCGTCCAATTGAAACGGAGACCGATGTTACGACGGCCTGAGCCGAGGTTCGAACGTTCGTATCCGTTAGGCGCGATTGGCCTTCGGCCGCTCCATAAGTCCTTCCTTTGGTCTGGAGTACCATCTGCATTCGTCTCCTATAGTCCGGTGATGCTGAAAGGTCAGCTGCGGTTAACAGCATTAGAGTAGTCAGAAAAAAAAATGTAGGGACAAAAAACAGGAAATAAATTTACCCACACATGGAAACGGTAAATTTATGAAGAATCCTGATAACATTACATACTCGAAATTTGTTCTGTAGAAAAAGAGAAAGTTCCGCAATGCATCACCTAAACTTTCAAGATAATCAGTAGAGCTATTCTGTAAGCATCACTTACGAATTCGAAACGAAGCCGAATCCGCGATGAGATTGTACGTTGGTATTCTGTAAAACTCGATAGCGACTGCAGCGCCACACACACACTCGATAGCGGGATGGAGGTAAAACAGGTACTAGTGATTTTTATGGAAATATAGGCAAACTCGATAGCTCTGTAGGCACTTTATATTTGGCAAGCGGATACAATGCCTTGAGTAAAGCTATGAGGGAAATGAGTTGATTAAACTCTTACAGAATACCAATACATTTCTTCGACTAGCATATGTTTTGGTCGGCCCAGATATATTCATACGAATTTTTTAACTAAAACCAGATTTTTTTTGTAGAACAAGCCATTTAAGTGTATAGTTCAAATAAAAGAAATACTATATTTATTTAAACGAATAAAAGCTGAAAGAGAATAACGGGTTAGTGTTACCGGCGCCTGGTGGGGCTCATCACGGAGATGGTGTGCGAGCGCTTGGAGCGCGACAGCGGCGGCAGGTCGTCCCGGTCCGCGGGCCCCCCGGGCCCCGCGGGCCCCGCGGCCGCCCCGGGCCCCGCGACCCCCGCCGCCGCCGCGCCGGGCCCCGGGGCCCCGGTCCCGGCCCGCGGCGCCGCCGGCGGCTTGCTGCTCGCCGACACGGTGCTGTCGCTCGCCGTCTGACGTTTAAATACGCTCACATTACTTCTAAAACACTAATATGAAAATGATCAATTGCATAAAGAAATTGTAAAAAATTAGATGAGCACGAGCTGAAATAATTTAAACCATGATGGGTGTTCGAGCGCTATCGAACATGAGCCATTGACAGCCGCTAGGGCGGGACACTTTTCATTTTGCCTTGCCCCTTACGACGACGTCACCGCACGCGTATCTTATAGAGCAAGAGCCCACGACGGCCAGACTTTCACGTGACGTATGTCTGGCAGTCGTGGGCTCTTGGGCTATTATTAAGTAATTTAGTTTCAGTTTCAAATGTAAATTGAAAAGAGCTTTACTGGAAAAACAAATTTTAAGTAATTGAGAAACTGAATATTACCATAACATACGTGTATCATAGTCTCATGGGTGCCATGGGCCTGTACTCGTATATACTACTACATACTGTGATTGTGAGCGGCGACACGGATTGGTTTTTCTATTTATCTTGTAATTTTTTTTTATTTTTTTTTCCTTTTAATACTGTTATTGTAACTGATTTCGGATTTTGTGAGCATTGAATATTGTAATTCATTCTATATATATTTATATTTGTGTATCCTAGATCTTATTAAATATATTTTTTTTGTGTTTAAATTATATGTATCTGTATGTAGTAAAAAAACCCGCATCTTAGTTTTTTTTTATGAGTAATGGGGGTTGACTGTAAACCAGCGCTGTATAGGTGCACCTCACTAAGGTTGTGCTTATATCAGCAACAGCTGAGGCAGCTCCTATTGCCAACTTCCATGTTATTACTTATCTCTTGTTTTGTGTCTTATTGTAAATTGTATTATTTATGTTATGTTGGCAATAAATCTATTATTCATCTATCTATCTATCACATAGATAATGTTCCTTGTAATATTATAACTCCTCGTATTAAATATAATAATTTACAGTCCACTACTCATTTTATTTACGAGTCATCAACAGTGGGAAATTCACTAGTTATTAAACAGGATATGTAGAATGTGAAGTTCGTCCTGATAGGTACGTACCTTCTGCAGCTGGTGGTGGCCGCCTTCTGACCCTGAACCTGCCACATATAATAAACATATTACATTACATTAACAGCCTCGGTGGTCTAGTGGTTTAGCACACCGCTTTACTATCCGATGGTTGCGGGTTCGATTCCTCGCACGGTACAAACATCTGTATTCATGAATATGATTTTTTGTGTCGGTCTGGGTGTTATCTATGTATAATATGTATTTATTTACAAAAAAAAAATGTATCCGTGTATTTATATCAGTTGTCTAGTAACACAAGCTCTGCTTAGCTTGGAACTAGATGACGTTGTGTGAATTGTCGAAAAAAAAAATATTTCATACGTTTTATTTTATTTATGGTAGCAAACAAGCATACGGCCTAACTCAAGATGCTAAACGATTACCGTAAACTATTTATACCTAAAACACTAAGGTATCAGTGCGTTGCTGACCTTTAAGAAACCTTAATATACCCTTCTTGAAAAACCCCATGCTGTAATCCCTCTAGAAAACCTCGGTAGGTAGTTCATGAAGGCAGGAAGATTTTCAAAAACTGCACTGTCTGACCACTTAGGAGTTACCGTGAGGGAATAAATTCCTTGAACTTCCCCAATATTAGGACTATAGTAATCATCATTACATAGTATAAAACATAGTCGCTGTCGCCGTCTGTCCGTTCCTATGTATGCTTAAATCTTTAAAACTACGCAACGGATTTTGAAGCGGTTTTTTTAAATAGATAGAGTGATTCAAGAGGAAGGTTTATATATATAATAATACACTAGCTGATCTACACCCGTGCGAAGCCGGGGCAAGTAACTAGTAGGGTCATAAAAGTTATAAAAGCAAAATAACAGTAGTCGTACCCGGGTCGGAGTTGTAGGTCATAAGGTGCGGATGGTGGGGCGGCTGCTGCTGCTGTGGTGGTGGTGGTGGCTGGTGTTGGGGCTGCGCGTGGGGCGCGAGGGGGGAGGTGCCCGACATCTCCTCGGGGATGGCCTCGCAGGAGACCCGCATGTCGCTTTTCTTCGCCGCCTTTTTCGACGCGTGCATGGACATCGACGTGCTCCTGTCGTCCAAACCATTAAGGTTGGGGGGAAAGAAGATTATTAGTTATGTGGACTCATGACCCCATTACTAATAAAGTACCATAGCAGGTTGACCTCCACGTGATTCCCCCTGGAAACTATCGTGATAAATTCTTGGTGAAATTGTCACGATGGGCTAACTGATCTAACCTCATGTTCATCTTATCATCCTCCACCGGTGCCCAGCGTAAACCGTTAGCGCAGGTGGGTGTACCATTCCATTATCATCCATAAAAAAAAATAACTCTCACTCACTCCAAAGGTTTGTACAGTAGGTGGCGTAGGGGTGTACGTACGCGGTCGCCGTCGGAGCTGGGGTGGAAATGCACATGCGAATCCCCTAGCTCCGGCATAAGCGCTCGTAGGTACACCGTGTGGTGTGTGACTACAAGTCTCACACCGCCCGCCCGCCCTCCGGCGGGGTGACGGTCTTTTGAAGATTTTCCGCACGTAAAAAAAAATGGTACGTACGCGGGCTCGCAGCTGGGCAGCAGGATCATGTCGTCGGGGTCCAGCGGCGGCTCCCCGGGGGGGGCGGAGTCCCGCGCGCCCAGCTTCCACGACGACGACATCTCCGGGGAGGAGTTGGAGCGCCGCACGGGGTGACGGCACTTGCCCTACACGCACACATATCTATAACTTACTCGTTCAACCCATCATTAATAATAATAATAATCTCAGGACAATTCACACAGCGCCATCTAGGCCCAAATGAAGCTAGCTAAAGCTTGTGTTATGGGTACTAGATAACTGATACGAATACATAGATTTTTTTTTGTAAATATATACATATTATACATAGAAAATACCCAGACCGATACAAACAATCATACTCATATATACAAATGTTTGTGCCGTGCGAGGAATCGAACCCGCGACCATCGGTGTGAAGCGGTGTGCTAGACCGCTAGACCACCGAGGTCGTCAAAATCATCATTATCAAAATTAAACATCGCGTCATAGCTACTAACTCTATTCTTCTTTTTATCTTAAAGACTAATTTGACATTACACAGAATAGCTTTTTGCGATCCTTAAATAATGTCATAGCACTATCTAAATAATAAAGGAAATAAATATTGATTGATGCCGATTTTATAGGAATGCGATCAGTATCGCCAGTACAGCACTACCCCGCTACAGCTAATTACAGCTAATTATCCAGAGCTACTGTTATTATAAACTGCAGAACAGCTGATATCTTTAATTATTTTACAATGTTATTATCATACCATTGAATGCAATAGTAAACAATAAAAAGCAATATAACGAAAACGTATTAGAACCCAACTTTAGCAATTTTTTAACAACAGAAATATAAAAAAATCAAAATGATGTAGATGAAATGAAAGATATTATCTTAATGATATTATAAACGTCAAAGTTTGTGACTATGGACGTTTGTTACTCTTTCACGTAAAAACTACTGAACGGATTTTGAAGAAACTTTACAGTAATATACATCATATACATATACATCAGAATAACAGGTAGGCTATATTTTTATTGAAATTTAACGCGAGTGAAACAGCGGGCACAGCTAGTATAGTACGAGTGTGTGACTGACCTCCGGTACAATGAGCAGCATGTCGTCGTCGTCGGTGGTGCTGGAGGAGCTCTGCCGCTGCGGCGACCCGGGGATGTTGATCGGCTGCGTGCCCAGCCTGCGCACAACCACAAGTTATACCATACACGCACGCATGCAAGCACGCAAGCACGCACGTACGCACGGCACGCAAGCACGCACGTACGCACGCACGCACGCACGCACGCACGCACGCACGCACGTACGCACGCACGCACGCACGCACGCACGCACGCACGTACGCACGCACGCACGCACGCACGCACGCACGACGCACGCACGCACACACGTACGCACGCACGTACGCACGTACGCACGCACGTACGCACGCACACACACGAAAACCCCGCATGCACTTGTTTTGTTGGCCACGAACACATTTCAGTAACCATTCGGGTCCTTTCAGAATGTTTCACAACATAACAGTGCATATTTTTACAATAATATATAATTATTGTAAAAATAGATGCTTTAGAAAAAGCGACTTAACGCGCTGATCATTAAAAGCAATTTCAAACAGTCGACGCATTAATATTTTTAAATAATTCTGTTAATAATTAATAAGTTATATTTAGGCATACGGCATGGCATTCATTATAGATTAATAAAAGTAAATAATATCACATTTATTTTATTGAATTAGGTGTCAGTTTGTGGAAGTCCATTTCATCACTTAATGGGTATAAGTAGTTTTAAAGTTTCATTTTTAGTGCACATTAGTAATAGGAGAATGTATGGAGTGAGAAAACTTAAGAATGGAGAAGAGGGGGGGGCATGATGTAGTGCAATGGGAGGTTGCATGGGGGGCGGGGTGCAGTACCTGTGGTGGTGGGGGTGCGGGATGCAGTGCGAGGCGGACGGCAGCCGCCGCCCCGCCACCACCGAGTCCGAACTGTGCATCGTTGTTATTTTTAATATTTGTTTTTATCTAACAAATATTTATTATGGCAATACGTCAATAGTAAGCCCGTGCTCATAATATTGAAGGTTTTGAAATTATCCAATTATTTAATGATTTTTTTAGAAAGTTTGAAAAAAATCGGTTAGGTTGTTCTTAAGTTATGTGACTGAGGAAAATATGCATTTATTGTCATATATATTAAACGAGCACTGTATATATATAAATATACAATATCTCTCTATAACCCGTGTATTAAATTCAAATAATTATAAAAAGTTTTTTTTAAAAGCTCATTTGAAAAGAATAAGAGCTAGTTAACAATTTTTCTTAGCTCGAAAACACTCCGAACTGACGGTAGAATACATACGAGTATATGACATATCATAAGAGTCTGTAATAATATGAATAAAGATGTTTTGTCTTTAGCAAACTAGTAGCATATTAGGAAAACTATAGTCAGGAGTGGCTGGATATTTTCGTAGCATATTTTACTTGAGTGTAGTACGTTAGCCAGTAAGCCAGTATTCCCAAAGTAGGTAGCAATAAGTGTTGATGCAGATATCGGTCAAGTACAGTAAGGGCTACGGTGCTCGTCTTGAGGGAGGCAGCGCCCCAATCAAAGACTCCCGACACTTGCGCGTTTGCCCTTACGCTTCCACAATTGAGTAGGGTGAGATAGGTCGCCCTAACAATGAGATAGGGCCTGCCCTACCATCTATAGGGCGGGTTAACGTCGTCGTAGTCGCTGTGTGAACTGTTGAAATGATGAAACTGATGAAATGTTAGCGCGACTTTGGGACTCCAGCAATGGCGTTCGTAGGTGTATCGTTTGCCTTTTTCTAAATCGAATGCTACACCCTCTCGTATTTGCTCCGCCAGAAGTAAGATTTGCACACGATAAAAAAAATACAGTAATCAGACACTTATGGTGGCGTGTAAGGTGGTGTATATACCTGGACTTGTGGAGGTCTGGCGCGGCGGCGCGGGGCCCGGCCAGGGGTGCTAGGGGCGGCAGGGGGGCGAGGGGGGCGAGGGGCGCGGGGCCCGCAGCCCCCGGGGGGCCCGACGTGCGCGAGGGGGCGCCCGCAGACCCGCTGCGCGACCGCGGCTCGCTGTCCGACTGCGGACACATATTACAAACACTCTTTACTTAACATTACTGAGATTGTTCTTGTATTTTTAACTATCCACTTGTAGATAAAATATACTACGTTACGTCTAAAAATTACTAAATAAACGAAATATAATATTAATAAGTAATAAGAAATTTTGTCAATCATAATTTTAATGCATTACCACATTAGGAACGCAGATTCAGTTGATAATGTTGATTCAAGTTGTAGACACAAATATAACTACTCATAAACTGACAATACATGGTCTATGTGTGTGTGTGTGTGTACGTACGACATCGAGCCGCGAGTCCCCCAGGCCGGAGGAGGCGGAGGAGGTGGGCGCAGAGGGGGGTGATACCAGCGCAGCCAGCTCCTGCAGCGGGGACTCCGACACTTGCTCCCAGCTCATCTGCAATATCACTCACTCGCTCACAACTCACATCCATACTAGACTTTCCATACACCCCTAATGTTTCAGTCGTCCATAGGCTACCGTAACTATTTACCAACAGATGGGCCGTATGCTTGTTTGCCACCATATAGTAGTATAAAAAAAAACACCATAAATGTATTCAAAACCGATAAAATTTCGAATAAATTGGAAGGAAAATGTGAAGGATGGAGACCAAGATGACGAGCAAAAGAAAATGGCACCGGTATGGTCGTAAAAATTTCTGATTTATGTCATATGTAAAACAATATAGTGTTTATAAAAAATATAGATTATAAAAATGGTTTATAAAACAGTTTCCAACAGATACACAAAAAATAACTGCCGACATTTTCGAACCGATTTAAGATGTAACCACGTGACCGGCCGGTCCCGTGAGGGGGCCCGGTCGGTCACGTGAGGGGGCCCGGCCGGTCCCGTGAGGGGGCCCGGCCGGTCCCGTGAGGGGGCCCGGCCGCGGGGCGGTGTGAGGGCGGTGTGGGCGGTCACCTGGTTCTGCACGCGCATGACCCAGGAGACGTCTCCGGTGGGCGTGCGCACGTGCACCTCGGCCCAGCCGCCCGCCCAGCACGCGCAGCACCCGCCGCCGCCGCGCGACCAGTCCGTGTCCGTGTCCTGAAAATTACAAGTCAACTTCACGACTAGTATCCAGAACGTCCACACCAGAACACATGACGAACTTCTTTTTTTCCTATGCGTTGTAAGACCTGAAGACTAAAGTATCCCGGGACAAGGGAGTAAGGAGATCTGCGTACCGTGCAATTAAATTGCCATATGTATTAAAAAGGTAAGCGGGTAAGCGCGCATGAGATATCAGATGACGTAAGACAGAGCGCAATCCCATTTATTAATAAAAAAAAGAACATAATATATGAAGCACACGACGTGTATTTGAACATTTACCGATAAAATAACATTTGTTTTAATTACTATTATAATAGACAAAACAGAGGTACACCAGTTTGCACAAAATCTTCGAGTCTTTTTTCTTTTTTTTCGGACTACTCTAATGTTGGCCGCAGCTAGCCCTTACAGCTTAACCGAACGATAGGGGGTGAGTGCAGATGACACTCCAAACCAAAGGAAGGACTTATGGAGCGGCTGAAGGCCAACTCCCGCCAGACAGTCTGAGGGCACCGCTAGGGATTCGAACCTCGGCTCAGGCTGTCGTAATATCGATCCACCTTTGAATTGGACGGGGAATCGATAGGAGAGGAAAACCGTCGAGTCGCAGACTTCTAATATAAATACATAAGATACATTTTTTGTAAATACATACGTAATATACGTACATAAAGAGCACCCAAAACAACACTAACAATCATACTCATAAATACAAATGTTTGCATGTCCGAGGAATCAAACCCGACCTATTAGGCACATTGATTTTAGAAGAAGAAGTCTAATCCATCACGTTTAAAATAAGTAATCATGTTGCTAAGTAACAGCTGATATGTAACGTGCAACTGTGATGGAGATATTCAGAGATATTCTCGATCTGATGGGAATAAATTATATTTCCTGCTGTACATAATCCACTGAATATCTCCATCACGACCATCCAATGTACGATATGCTAAACCCATAAACCACCGTAGCCGTCAAAGATTTATCTCAGAATAAGCATAACTAAAATAATATGTGCATAGGTTATTTAAACATTAGGTACTCTCAATATGGCTCGATGTGCTCTAATATGGTTGAGTGCAATGATGGCTGACTCATCCGTCATACTCGTGAACGGGTGCTGCTGGTGGGGACTGGTCTGTTCAGGTTGCGAACACTGATTAGATTTTTTGTTTTTTCTTTAATAGCATATGCTGGTGGTTACTCTACTCTCCTAAATTTGAATTTAAATGAATCTGTATTAATGTAAATACGTACATTAAAAAAAATACGAGCTGAGTTTCTTGTCAGTTCTTCCCATATCGAAATCATTCCGAACTGACGGTAGATTTGACATATCATAAGAGTCTGTAATAGACCTACATGAATGAAGATATTTTGAATTTGAATTTGAATATCTAAAGGCGGGCCCTCTAGGTCCCTCATGTACCTAATATACATTATCATAACTCACAATTTCCTTGGATATCCTCTCGAACCGCTGCGAGAAGTGGTTGAGGACATCTATAACTGGATCCGTCAGCTTATTGTTCTCAGCCGAGTTTTGTCTGCAACATCAAAATAAACGTTTCATTACATCACTGTTTTAGAAAAAAATACTCATTACATTTAAATACATTGAATTGCAAATAATAATTATAACATTGAGAACCAACTTAATACAACACAGCACTAAAAATAATAGTATATTACGATATAAGTGCGTTATAATGGTTATAACACACAAGGTTCTATTACAACCCGTGCCGACAGAGAGGGCGTAATAGAGCCGAGTGTGTTATACGTAGATATATCAAAGTTTTCAACACACTAGATTTTAAATAAACTCAATTATAAAACTGTGATGCACACAGTTTCCCGCTGTTTTATTTTTTTAAATCATACAAAATACTGGCTGGAAAAGCTATTTTTCTTTTTTAAATCAACGCGTTACATACTGGCTGGAAAAATTGAAATTTGATAAAACAAAATAAGTAAAAATTTATGAAAATAGAATTATATTTTATTTGAGTTTATAAAGGACGAGTGTTTTATTAGTTGCTTTATATATTTTAAACCCGGTGAAATTAGATCCACTCTACGCTATTTAGTATTTAGATTTATTTTAAGCAAATGTGTTGAAAGTACAATAATATAAATATGTGCAAACATAATTCATGATATTGAATTACAAATAAAATACAAAATACAGCTAGCGTGTAACTTGTATCATAACACATTAATCCCATACACACTCTATACAAAGGATCTCTATACAACAAAATGAACAATTATATTAAACTAGCCAGAAGCGTAGCGTGCCTTGACGTGCCGTATAAAAAATGTTTAACCCTTATGAAGGGTAAAGATTTCGTCGCACCCGTTGCGAGGTCCCCCGCAGGTCTTTCCGAGGCCATTTGTCCTTTGTGAAAGTGTGGTGCGAACGACGTTTTTTTCGCCACTGCATCATAATTATCTGTCACTTTTCCCATTTTTTTTTTATTTATTAAATCATTCATAGCTGATCCGGGAAAGTAAATGTTATTTTGGTTTTTGGCATTTGTGAAATAAAAATAATTGGGAAGTTAATTTTTGCTTACGGACGTTGGGGGCCCTGTTCCCCCGGGTGGGGGGATACGGTGGTAGTTACGCCCCTGAAACTAGCTGACCCTTACAACTTCGTTTGCGGCACATTCTCCCCGTCATAGCTACTGTTTTCGAACTATTCTAATGCTGTTAGCTTTTACAGCTTCACCAGACGATAGGGGGCGAGTGCAGATGGCACTACAAACCACAGGAAGGACTTAGGAGCGGCTAAATGCCACCTGACGTATAGGACTTTGTTCTGAGGGCTGGGCTATAGGTTCGAATCTCGCAGGATGAACATCACCCAATAAGGGCGTCGGGCTTCATCCACAGCGATATGAGGAGGAGGGGCGTATGGGCGCCTCAGATCGCCGCAAGGTTCTGAGGTGTGACTGCGTGGGCGGTGCATCTCCAAGAAAAGCCCGAGAAGGTGGCGCGCGTTTACCCGCGTTCTCGAGCGGGGAGGGGGGAGGGGGTGGACTCCCCAAACAAAAGCGAAGGGGCCCGCGAAAAGCGGGTCGACGCCGTCGGAGTTGCGGTGGACTAACATTGCGATCCCGCGACTCTCCATGAGGGATTTTCTTATTGTACAAGAAAGGGGTTCGAATCTCGGCTCCGATCGTCTTAATTTTGATCCCCGGCGGGGGATCGATAGTAGGGCGACCGTTACATGTCAGTTACAGCAAAATAACGTCTTCAGCCGCCGTGACTCTTTAGTATAAAACAAAGTCCCTTCCACTGTTGTTCTCTTAGATCATTTCAACTACGCGACGATTTTAATAGTATTCAGAAATACATAGTAAATTAAGAGCAGGGTTTATATGTAAATATAATACACGTACACCCCCATGCGAAGCCGGGGCGGCTAGCTAGTTACATAATAAAAATATTTAATACTATCTAATTCAGTTTAACTACAGCATTTGTAGCGAACTTACAATGAAATAACTACAGGACTAGTCGTAAGATTATATCAGAGTGACCGCTAATGATCTATATACAGGATGTCCCAGAAGTCGACGTGAAGCCGAAACCGGATTATAGGGTATGTCTTAATAGTTATACAATAACAAAATTGTGTTATGTATATAGACAAATAAATAAAATTGAATGTCTGTTTGTGGCTTCAAATAACCATTGTTTGGTTTAGTTCCCGGCCCGGATAGCGTGGGATGGATTTCCATTAAATATTAAATTTATGTAAGTTACATTATTTCATCACTACATAGTATAAAACAAAGTCGCTGTCGCTGTCTGTCCGCCCTATGTATGCTTAAATCTATAAAACTACGCAACGGATTTTGAAACAGTGTTTTTAATAGATAGAGTGATTCAGGAGGAAGGTTTATATATGTAATACATATACACCCGTGCGAAGCCGGGGTGAGTAGCTAGTTTTTATAAAGTAATACATTTCTTAAGAGAGAGGAATGGACAGAACAGGTGCAGATCGACTATCGGCATTTAAAATTATTACAAAAAATGAAAATGAAAAATATGTTTCGATTGTTTCACAAAGAACGGCTAGTGCAACCTAGTCGAAACTTCGAGAGAGGTAAATACCTTTATTTGCCATAAAAATATTCGTGTTAAAACCCGTTTAATACGTCTAAATTAAAATATACGTGTTTTAATGAAATCACGTTACATGCAGCAAAATCTATATCGCAGTGGAATAACAAAAGACATCAATATAATGTATTCTAGCGCGTACTACTGCGTGCACAATTGATACGTAATTACTACATGATGATTACAGATATAGAGAGTGCATGCGTGGTAAATGTGACGAGTGTGACGAGTGTGACGAGCGTGGCGGGCGTGGTGGGAGCGGGAGGACCTGGTGGTGTGTCCGGAGGCCGGCGGCAGCAGCGCCGCGTCCGACATGGACAGCGACGAGCACGACGTCTCCGTGGAGCGGCTGTGCTGCAGCGAGTACTTGCTGTAGCTGCGCGCACCACACACCACATAACGTATACGTATCCATATGCATTTTTTATTTGTTTTACGGCTCTGGATGCATATCCTTTTGAGCCGTATCAATATTAACGCACACTTCATTAATTTGACGGTCCTGGTGGGGTAGCGGTAAAGACGTAGCGCTAGTGTTGCCAACTTAATTAATTTGACATTTTATGATATCGCGGTAAAACACTTTGCTATGGTTGCGGGTTCGATCCCCGCATATATACAAACATTTATATTCATAATTGACTGTTTTTATTAGTATAATTGTTTCATAAGCATGTAATAAGTGTGTATACAACCAAATATTTCAAATGTTAATATATTATATTCAAAGAGCTATAGTGTATTCAAAGAGCACCTGGTTCAAAGCCAGTGATTAATAATAATGATCCTGAATAATTCGCGTAGCGCCATCTAGTCACAAATTAAGCACAGTTCGTGTTATGGGTACTATTTACATTTTTTGTAAATACATCCATAATCTATATAGAAAACATCCAGACAAACAATCATACTCATGAATACAAATGAATCCGATTATATTTTTTATATAATAGGAATTTCTTTCGCCTTTGTATAGTCATCACTTATTTTTTTAACTACTTTTTTTATCTACTGCTCATTCGGAAAGCTGTCTCATCACAAGAAGAACGAGCAAGAAACTTGTGTGTTGCTCTTTTAAATTATTTCGTTGTAACTTTACATTTTTAAGTTGAAATGTAAATATCTTTATTTATACGGGTCTATTGCAGTCCCTTATTTATGTCAAATCGGAATTATTTCGAGATGAGAAGAACTGACAAGAAACTCAGCTCTTAAATAGCAGTTCAGTAAATAAATACAGATTCATTTTTAAATTTATATTCGGGAGATTAGAAGGACCAATAGCGTATGTTATTGCAATTTGTTAAAAGGAAACAGTCTAATCATTGTTCGTAACCCGAACGTACGAACGAACGAACGTAGTATGACCTGCCACCATTGCACTCAACCATATTAGAAGGAATAGAATAAGAATAGAATAGAAAATCATTTATTCAAATAAACTTACATTGAAGCACTTTTGAATAGTCATTACATTTTTTTTAATCTACCGCTCGTTCGGAAAGCTGTCTCATCACAAGAAGAACGAGCAAGAAACTTGCGTGTTGCTCTTTTAAATAATTTTATTATTACTTTACATTTTTAAGTTTAAGTGTGTGAATACAAACCACCAATTAGCACTAATTCAATTAAATACTCAAAAAGAAAAAATATTGAATACATAACCAACTGGTTAAACAATTAATAAGAGGAAATCAGTCATAGTGATTAGAGCAGACCAGTCCCTACAAGCAGCACCCGTTCACGAGTATGACGGATGAGCCAGCCATCACTGCGCTCGACCATATTTTAGGGAGCCCAATGACCCGGCCCACCACGACGCCACAAGTCTGGACATTTTAGTGAGCATGAAGGAGCTCATTGACCTGCAATCACGCTGTTACAAGTTTAACTTTATAGCGAGCGTGAGTATTTCAAGTTACTCTATTTACTAACTTGGAAGCTTAGAGTAGATAAATACCGATAAAAGATTTTACTTGTGTTAACTATTGTGTGAAACATCATTAATTAAAAATAGTAAAGTCAATAATCATAATTCTTTATCTAAGGCATTCAGAGTAACCTGAAACGAAATGGCAGAGCCCAGAGCCTAAGTAATCTTTTTGACATTGACAACTTGATTGATGAATGTACGTCAGTTACGTAGCGAAATTTGGAGCGAAAAAGTTTTTTTTTAATTTCGAACTACTCTAATGTTGTTGGCCGCAGCTGGCCGTTACAGCTTCACCGGAAGATAGGGGGCGAGTGCAGATGGCACTCCAAACCAAAGTAAGGACTTATGGAGCGGCTGAAGGCCAACTCCCGCCTGACGGATACGACTTTAGTCTGAGAGCACCGCTAGGGGTTCGAACCTCGGCTTAGATCGTCGTAATATCGATCCCCGTTTGAATTGGACTTGTCGAATCAGCTAGTAATATATAATAATTAAAAAAAATACGAGCTGAGTTTCTTGTCAGTTCTTCTCATCTCGAAATCATTCTGAACTGACGGTAGATTTGACATATCATATACCTACATGAATAAAGATGTTTTGAATTTGAATTTGAATTTATATTATGCTAGTGAAATTGCATATGTACATTTAAACTTCAATCTACGCGATCAACTCAGTCTGTGTGTTGAAAGTACGAAGTAGAAGCAGTATAATGGCTAAATAAATTTGCGTACATAAGCGGCAGTCGCTTCTAGGCGCGATAGATTAATGAATCGAGAAGAAAACACGTTTCTACCGTATAAGTGTAATCATAAGAATGCTGCATAATTCTGGACCTTATATAGTAGGAAATAAGGAACAGTATACGATCTACTCGATCGTTCTGAATTACGATCTGCGACAGTCTAAATGAGATGTGTCGTCAAGCGAGTAATTTAGAAGTTTTTGTCAGTACGAAGCAAAATGGCGACCGGCCTGTTATATACACTACAAATATAACTAAACTATGATTTATATATCTAATAATATATGCCCTATCTATACATATAAATAAAATTGGGAGTGTCTGTTTGTAATATTGAAATAACCGTTTTTTACTACATGCATATGAATATAAATACGGTATGTACACCAAAATAACAATTTTTGTCTGTCTGTCTGTTTGTTCAGGCTAATATTTGAAATGGCTGGACCGATTTTGACGGGATTTTTTTTGGCAGGTAGCTGATGTAATAGGGAGTAACTTAGGCTACTTTTAGTTTAGAAAAATAAAGTTAAATTCCACGCGGACGAAGTCGTGGGAACAGTTAGTAGCTACAATAAATCAAAAGATCAGCTGTAAGTCAGTTTAAACATTGCATTAAACCAGTGGTTCCCAAATAGTTTTTGCTGCGTACCACTTCAAAAAAGACCTCAAACCTTGCCTACCCTATATTGTAGCAATCACACTAATATTATATTATAAATGTGAAAGTTTGTGTGTGTATGTATGTTTGTTTTACTGATAGCCGCACGTACCCCTTGATGCAACTTCACGTACCCCAGGGGGTACGTACCACTACTTGGGAAACACCTTATTAAACGAAGGGGGATCGGGGCAAACCAACCAGCCAGCTTTAGACTATCAAGGCTAAAGGTGGCAAAAGGGCCCCGAGTCCCCAAACTTGCACATTCTTCCCATGGTCGTGGGTTCCATTCCTCGCACGGTACAAACATTTCTATTCATGAGTATGATTCTTTATATCGATCTCTGTATTTTCTGTTTGTTTATAAAAATAAATAAAAAAATATGAAGTATTTATAAGCAGAGCTTCTGTTATGAGACAAGCTCTGCTTAGCTTGGGACTAGATGCCGATGTGGAATATCCAGGGATTATCTATGGTTACAGATCATAAATGGCCATGTTGTAATTTACAATTGCAAATATTAAATTATTTGTAAACGTAAAACAGTTATATTTGAATGTTAGTCTTATATCTTTTTGATGTGTAATACCAAACAACACTTAATGAGAGAGGGAGAGAGGAGAGAGAGAGAGAGAGAGAGAGAGAGAGAGAGAGGGAGAGAGAGAGAGAGAAAGAGAGAGGGGAGAGGGAGAGAGAGAGAGAGAGAGAGAGAGAGAGAAGGGAGATAGAGAGAGAGAGAGAGAATGCAGTGATAGCCTTACCGTTTAACTTCTGGAGGGTTGCTCTGTGACTGCACTTGTAACTTGTCGCTTGAGTTCGCCGTACACTCGCCAGACCCGTCGTTTACTTGTACCTAATATAAGAATATAACACTAATATAATATAAGAATATTTGTTTTAGATACCTTATATTAATAAGGTTAAAACGGGTAATAATATAAATATTTTTATGGTAAGGAGAGAGACGTACGTACGGACGTAAATAATATGCAAAGTAAATACATATTGGACAGTTAACAATATACAATAAAGGTACAAAAAACGTGAGAATTTTACTGACTCAGTCACGCGTATAAAGATAAAAAATAATATAATAGAAATAAAAATAAAAATAATCTTTATTCAAATAAACTTAATGCAAGCACTTTTATACAATAGTCATATTTTTTATTCTATCACTCAATCGGAACGCAGATTCATGACAAGATGAATGAACAAGAAACTTGTGTGTTGCTCTTTAGAATAGATTTTTTTAATATAAATAATTACACAATAACAAGTAAGAGGCATGCGATGATATAAGAATTAGTAATGTATTGTTTGTTTTCCGAAATATCGACTCATACACCACTGTCCTTAGTCGCCATACAAAGATGTACGCCGCACATGACGCCAGCAGTGTGCGCTAGAGACGTCATAATGCTTCCTTCTCTTTCACACATATAATGTAACAAATGCGTCCGTGTTTGCTAAGTTAGCGTAAAGTTGTGGGAGTATCGTTTCCAAGTAGCTATTACCTGTACCGCGGCGTTACTGGCGAGGTTGTCGTGGGCGTCGGGAGTGGCTTGCGTGGCGGATGTGGCGAGCGTGGCAGATGTGGCGAGTGTGGCAGCTGTGGCGAGCGTGGCGGCGGCGGCGGGCAGCGGCGTCAGTGGCGGCAGCGGGCTCGCCAAGCTCTCTGAGTGTTGCCGGTACAGCGTCACGCATCTGTGCAGTTTTTTTTTAATACATTACATAGCATTTCATATGCGCAACGTACGCAGTTTTTAGTAGTCAAGCATATATTGCGTACAGTTGAATTTACAAGCAAGCTGTGGATTATGCACGCTCGTTATCATTTTTATATATCGTTAGCAAAACAACGTTTGCCGGGACAATTTTTATATGTTTGGTAGTTGTTCGGGTTGTACCGAAACTATAAAGATTCTGATAGGTAGACCTGATAAATGATACTGATAGAAACTTGATTAAAACTGTATATTGAAACTTAAAATATAACTGATTAATGAATGTAATGAGTACGCGCGTCGTCCTTGATGACCGAATGCGAACTGATTTTAATGAAATGTGAAATGTAAAATAAAATGTTAATGTTGCGAAATAATGTACGATGCTAGCTCGTACATATTCCCGGGCGCGAAAGAAGATGTGAATGGGGATGCTGTGGTTGTGACCTTATGGTAGGTAACTGACATATACAAATTTTAAATAAGTATCTTTTATTAATATTATAAAAAAAAACAGCATTTGTAAATACTGACTTATTCAGTCGGTTCTTACTTACTCGGTCAGTTGTCTGTCTGTATCTACAGAAATTTTAAATTTGGATCGGTAAATACAAAGATATGTCTGTAATATAATGCAACACTCATATAAGAGTACACATTTCTTCAAAGTAGAGTGTGTGGCGCACCTGTCACAGGGTCCCTGCTTGGCGGCGTTCTGGTGGCAGCCGGCGGTGGTGATGGTGACCAGCTTGTGCCCCACCAGCCACGTGGCGGACTGTCCGCCCGTGAACAGGAAGTCAGCGATGTCGGAGCGCTGCGGCTTGACGCTGCAGGGCGAGGAGGTGTACCGCGCCAGCAGGTCCACGCACGCCTCCGTCAGCTCCACGTGGAACGCGGCCGACGGCGAGCCGGCCGCGCCCGCCCCCGCGCCCCCCGCCGCCGCACCCCCGCCGCCCCCCACGCCCCCCGCGCCGCCCGCCGCCCGCCCGCCCCGCGACACGCGCGACCCCTGACACAACGCAAACAATATGTTCATTAATAATGTCTCCCGCAAACAGATTCTTACAATAAATCTGCTAAGGGTTTTGATGAGCCGATCGCAAAGAAAAAATATAATTAATTTAATTAAAAATTAATCGACTATTAAATTGTCTTTAAAAATATGCTTAAAAACACTTGGCTTGTATTAGTACAAAGTAAAGTAATCCTGACTTAGCACTATAAAACAGGCAAAAATGTGTAAAATGAGTGGTGAATCAAAAGATTCTATTTAAATATAGTAAGATGTACAATTAACACATACGAGACTAGAACTCCGCTGCCTATTGGAGGAGTCCTCGTTGGCGGTGGGCGGCTGGAAGTTGGCTCTGCTGTACTGCAGCTGCTCCTCGAACGGCATTATTATGTAGTTGTGAAGACCCTGTACATTCAGGTGCAAATCCTATTTAATTTCTGAACAGGAAAATTTTGAAGTTACATTAAAGGTTATAAAAAATGGAAGCCAAAAATGAAAGTTCTTAAGCCGATAACAATAAAAAGAAACTAACAAAAAAGGTACTATACAGTGTAATTGCGTAAGATTATACTGACGTGTATGATGAATCGCACGAAGTTCCTCCGGTATGAGAGGCGGCATTTGAGGAACCAGGCGGCGATGACGTGGTGCGCGAGCGAGACCACGTAGTGGTTGTACCGTGAAGGGTTCGTGTAAGGCAGCAGTATCGCGAACACTGACATGTACTGGTCTTCTACAAACGACGCGAACACCATCGGCAGCCGTGTCAGCGCTGCACATAAAACCAACCAATTACGATTTGTACCGTTGAAGTTAGGAAGTGAAATTAATGGTAGTCATGGTATAAAATCAGTGCAAGTCTGTAGAGTCGCAGTGAATTATGTCAAGGATCCGTCGTCGTGTATATTCCTCAAAGTCTTATGAATATGTTTCTAGAGATTATATCATAAAAAAATATAATTCGATGTAGGTGTATATCAGTTAATGTTTCAAAGGCTGGCTACGTATAATTTCATTAAAACTGTACACTAACTTGACAGGAACTCCAGCATTGGACTAGCGATGGCTTTGGTGTCTGATATCTTGGATAGGTCGAGCAGCACCTCGGGCAGCATCTTGACCATCGTCTCGCGCATCTCGAGCGTGAAGATCGTCAGCGCATTGATATAGGGTTGCGGCGTTCGGAGAACTAATAGACAGATATCGAATATCAGTTTATATTTAGGAATAAATGTGATATATAGAAAGTAAGTAGGCAAGTAAAGATACTGACCCATGCCGTACTTGAGCAGGCAGCGCACGATGCGCTGCTGGGTGTGCGGCTCCAGGAACGCGTGGTACGGAGCTAGCGCGGCCAGCGCCGGCAGCACAGCGCCGTGCAGCTCCGTCAGCGGCGGACGCCGCGCTTCCGTAAAGTGCAGGTTGCGGTCTGTTACCTGCGCAAGGGTTAGTACGGAACGTGAGTACGGAAGTACGGGAGTAGAGGGGCAAGTTCACGGGAGGGGGGCATGTACCGTGGAGTAGTGTGGAGGCGAGTCCACTTCTTGCGCGTGACGAGGTCGGCGGACGAGGTCGTCCAGAGCGCGGTGCCTCTGCGCCAGCAGCGGAGGGGGCGGGTCGGGGGCGGGGCGCACGTACCATGGAGCAGAGCGTGGAGGCGAGCAGGTCGACGTCCTGCGCGCGGCGGCCCAGCGCCAGCGGCGGAGGGGGCGGGTCGGGGGCGGGGCGCACGTACCATGGAGCAGAGCGTGGAGGCGAGCAGGTCGACGTCCTGCGCGCGGCGGCCCAGCGCCAGCGGCGGAGGGGGCGGGTCGGGGGCGGGGCGCACGTACCATGGAGCAGAGCGTGGAGGCGAGCAGGTCGACGTCCTGCGCGCGGCGGCCCAGCGCCAGCGGCGGAGGGGGCGGGTCGGGGGCGGGGCGCACGTACCATGGAGCAGAGCGTGGAGGCGAGCAGGTCGACGTCCTGCGCGCGGCGGCCCAGCGCCAGCGGCGGAGGGGGCGGGTCGGGGGCGGGGCGCACGTACCATGGAGCAGAGCGTGGAGGCGAGCAGGTCGACGTCCTGCGCGCGGCGGCCCAGCGCCAGCGGCGGAGGGGGCGGGTCGGGGGCGGGGCGCACGTACCATGGAGCAGAGCGTGGAGGCGAGCAGGTCGACGTCCTGCGCGCGGCGGCCCAGCGCCAGCGGCGGAGGGGGCGGGTCGGGGGCGGGGCGCACGTACCATGGAGCAGAGCGTGGAGGCGAGCAGGTCGACGTCCTGCGCGCGGCGGCCCAGCGCCAGCGGCGGAGGGGGCGGGTCGGGGGCGGGGCGCACGTACCATGGAGCAGAGCGTGGAGGCGAGCAGGTCGACGTCCTGCGCGCGGCGGCCCAGCGCCAGGCCGCGCGCGGCCAGCAGCGGCGGCAGCGCGCGCAGCACGGCGGACAGCACGTGCCAGTCGTGCTCGCGGGTGAGCGCGGCGGACAGCGCGCGCGCGGCGCGGCCGGCGGGCAGCAGCGCGGGGGCGGGCGCGGGGGCGGCGGGGGCGGCGGCGGGGGCGGCGGGGGCGTCCCGCGCGCGGCCCGCGGGCTCGGCCACGGCCAGGTGCGGCGAGCAGCGGGGCCGCAGCCGCAGCGCCGCCGCGCCGTACACGGGGGCTCCGCTCGCGTCGTAGCAGAACCCCACGCAGTTGGACGCGTTCGCGCGCAGACCGAACACCATGTCGAAGATCTGCATTACGATGCGGTGGAATTCGTTAAAGTTATCGCTGAAAATTTGATGAATCTTGTTCGTTGACGGTCAGGTCTGATAACTTTTCTTAAAAGTTAGAACGTATGAAATATAAACACTGAGATTACACGAAGACTTTGACGATGAAAATAAATATTATATCACATTTCACGTAATCATTAAAATTACATTTCGTATAACATTCATCATACAATCGTCTTGTTAAGTTTCAAGTATCGGTGCGTACCTTGAGCCGTATGTCGGGGTGGTGCATGAAGACGGCGGGGCGGCGGTAGTGGTGGTCGAGGTGGTCCAGCAGCACGAGGCAGCAGCGCGCCGCCAGCGCGCCCGGCGCGGCCAGCAGCTTGTCGTGCAGCAGCTCCAGCAGCCCGGCCGCCGCCAGCCGCAGGTCGCTCACGTCCGCCTCCGCCGGCAGCGGCACGTCCGCCACGAACATCTCGAACGGACGGTTCAGGATCTGAGGGCGCAAACGACATATTACGGTAAAAGGATATCGCAACCTATGAGATACCGGGGGTTTGAGGCCAGACAAAAAACTAGCGACCCATTTACATAATCCCTCTGGTATTTCTTACGGGGGCAAATTCCATAGAAGACCTTGATGCCAAACACGAACAAATGTTTTCGGTTTGGAGGTTTGAGGCGGGGCGGGGCGGGAGGTACCTTCTCGAGCAGGTCCACCACGTCGGTGCAGGGGTTGGGCGCCAGCGAGCGCGCGAGGGCGGGCAGCGCGCGGGCGGCGGCGGCGCGCAGGGCGGGGCGGGGCGGGGCGGGGCGGGGCGGGGCGGGGCGGGAGGTACCTTCTCGAGCAGGTCCACCACGCGGTGCAGGGGTCGGGCGCCAGCGAGCGCGCGAGGGCGGGCAGCGCGCGGGCGGCGGCGGCGCGCAGGGCGGGGCGGCGGCGCGCAGGGCGGGGCGGGGCGGGGCGGGGCGGGGCGGGGCGGGAGGTACCTTCTCGAGCAGGTCCACCACGTCGGTGCAGGGGTCGGGCGCCAGCGAGCGCGCGAGGGCGGGCAGCGCGCGGGCGGCGGCGGCGCGCAGGGCGGGGCGGGGCGGGGCGGGGCGGGGCGGGAGGTACCTTCTCGAGCAGGTCCACCACGTCGGTGCAGGGGTCGGGCGCCAGCGAGCGCGCGAGGGCGGGCAGCGCGCGGGCGGCGGCGGCGCGCAGGGCGGGGCGGGGCGGGGCGGGGCGGGGCGGGGCGGGAGGTACCTTCTCGAGCAGGTCCACCACGTCGGTGCAGGGGTCGGGCGCCAGCGAGCGCGCGAGGGCGGGCAGCGCGCGGGCGGCGGCGGCGCGCAGGGCGGGGCGGGGCGGGGCGGGGCGGGGCGGGAGGTACCTTCTCGAGCAGGTCCACCACGTCGGTGCAGGGGTCGGGCGCCAGCGAGCGCGCGAGGGCGGGCAGCGCGCGGGCGGCGGCGGCGCGCAGGGCGGGGCGGGGCGGGGCGGGGCGGGGCGGGAGGTACCTTCTCGAGCAGGTCCACCACGTCGGTGCAGGGGTCGGGCGCCAGCGAGCGCGCGAGGGCGGGCAGCGCGCGGGCGGCGGCGGCGCGCAGGGCGGGGCGGGGCGGGGCGGGGCGGGGCGGGAGGTACCTTCTCGAGCAGGTCCACCACGTCGGTGCAGGGGTCGGGCGCCAGCGAGCGCGCGAGGGCGGGCAGCGCGCGGGCGGCGGCGGCGCGCAGGGCGGGGCGGGGCGGGGCGGGGCGGGGCGGGAGGTACCTTCTCGAGCAGGTCCACCACGTCGGTGCAGGGGTCGGGCGCCAGCGAGCGCGCGAGGGCGGGCAGCGCGCGGGCGGCGGCGGCGCGCAGGGCGGGGCGGGGCGGGGCGGGGCGGGGCGGGGCGGGAGGTACTTCTCGAGCGGTCCACCACGTCGGTGCAGGGGTAATCGCCAGCGAGCGCGCGATTTCGGGCAGCGCGCGGGCGGCGGCGGCGCGCAAATTCGGGGCGGGGCGGGGCGGGGCGGGAGACCTTCTCGAGCAGGTCCACCACGTCGGTGCATCGCCAAACAGCGCGCGACAAATGCGCGCGGGCGGCGGCGGCGCGCAGGGCGGGGCGGGGCGGGGCGGGGCGGGGCGGGAGGTACCTTCTCGAGCAGGTCCACCACGTCGGTGCAGGGGTCGGGCGCCAGCGAGCGCGCGAGGGCGGGCAGCGCGCGGGCGGCGGCGGCGCGCAGGGCGGGGCGGGGCGGGGCGGGGCGGGGCGGGAGGTACCTTCTCGAGCAGGTCCACCACGTCGGTGCAGGGGTCGGGCGCCAGCGAGCGCGCGAGGGCGGGCAGCGCGCGGGCGGCGGCGGCGCGCAGGGCGGGGCGCGCCGGGGCGGCGCGGGCAGGTCCACCACGTCGGTGCAGGGGTCGGGCGCCAGCGAGCGCGCGAGGGCGGGCAGCGCGCGGGCGGCGGCGGCGCGCAGGGCGGGGAGCGCGTCGAGGGCGCAGGCGGCGAGCGCGGCGGGGGCGGGCTCGTCGGGGGGCCGGGCCCGCAGGAGGGCGGCGAGCGCGTGGAGGCGCACGGCCGCGCGCTGGTCGCGCCGCACGTACCGCTCGGCGCGCGCGCGGCCCCCCGCGGAGATCACGCGCATCACGGACGCCTCCTGCGTGCGCACCGATCCAAATTATTGAAACCGTAGGTTTACATTCTTGAAGTGAAATTTCGATAATAGATCTCGTATATAATACGTCCCGTATTATGATGATCACGAAGGAGCGTTACGGTGACGTCGTAGACGATATTGCGTCGAGACAGAAGCGATCCGTCAAAGCTTCGGTTTCGCTCCCGGCGCCGAATCCGAAACGGTCCATCTGCCTATCTTAGATCGTCGTCTCTTTTAAGACACGGTCCTCGCACCTCCGCAGAACATGCTCATACCGAGTCAATATGTCACTACGCGATTTATCTATAACTGATGCAATTTTCAAACTTCCTCCTATATCCCAATTATTCTGTCATTCCTGTTTACCCCAAACATACATATCAACATTCGCATTTCTACCATATGCACACGTCTTTCATCCATTCCCTAAACTTGTACGGAGACACTATGTATTTGATATTGTACCGGCCGCTCGAGTCCGCAGTAGTCGACGAGGTCGAGGAGCGCGTCCGGGTCCCCGTGGTACTGGCCGGCGTCCTGCAGCTGCTCCAGCGACGTGATCAGCTCGTGCAGCCGCGTGTGGATCAGCTCGTTTGGCGGGTCGAACGCTCCTGTGTACACACCATATATCATTAGTTTGAGTAAAAAAACGTATTAAATATTCACATATATAGACGACATATCGAAAGAAGTCTTGCCCTTTGGACAAAATTGGACTATACTTTACAAAGTAAACACAATACGTAAACAAAGCAGAGCAATAATGAATTAAAAATAACAGTTTGGACTATCTCTGAATAGAGTCTAAGAAATTCAACGCGTCCGTACGCAAATACGAAATCACGGAACGACCACTGCGCAAAAAAGCAAGGATAATCCGACGCGAAACCTAAGAATAGACTAAATTAACTTAGTATTTGACCACACCTAAGTATAATTTGTTTTTAGACTAGACTAGACGAAGAAGGAAAAATGTTGGGACAATTGATACGGCACGATGATTTCATGGAAATTATTAATGAGGGAAAAATAGAAGTAAAGAGCGGGAGGGGAAGACCAAGGCACAGCTACATCAAACAAATTAAGGAGAAGATGGGAGTCGTGTCATATCAGGAATTAAAGAGCATGATGGAAGATCGCGGAAAGTGGCAAGAGCTCCACCGACAAGAGCGTAGCTCTTAAATTATGAATGAATGAGACGAAGAAAATGGATTCTTAAACCAGATTCCTCGATTCCTTGTCATCATTGATAATTGGGATCTCTAAAATATGGTCGAGTGCAGTGATGGCTGGCTCATCCGTCATACTCGTGAACGAGTGCTGCTTGTAGGGACTGGTCTGCTCTTATCACTGACTGATTTAGTCCTATTGTGTTTTTATATTTGAGCCTAAATAATAAATTAGTGCTGGTTGGTAGTTTGTATTCACACGTTTCGACTTGTAAAATGTGAACTTACAAGGATTGTTTAAAAGAGCAACACACAAGTTTCTTGATTATTCTTCTTGTGAGGAGACAGCTTTCCGAATGAGCGGTAGATTTAAGAGAAATATTTGACTATTCAAAAGTGTCTAAATTAAGTTTATTTGAATAAATGATTTTCTATTCTATTCATCATATACTGGTCCAGGATTATTATAGGACATATTATCATTTCTCTAATATATGTTTTAGTTGACGTTATACTTACGGTCCTGGTCTATGATGGTGCGTATGATCTTCAGTATAACATCCCAGGCCGGTTCCGATAGGTCTGTCGGCATCCTCGTGACCAGACTTTGGAGTCCCACCACCACCTCGTATGTAACTACCTGGTGATTACTGCTCAATGCCTATAACAGTTTATATATTTTATTTACTTATTAAAGGAAAATCAATACTTAATAAAATCAACATAAACGTCACACTAAGCCACTGACAGGCTTTCACAAATAACAACAGACTAATTCTAAAAAATTTACATCCTTACATATAAATGCAACAACACATTATAAAGTTAACAGAGAATATGAAATTAATTAACAAGAGTACAGTAACAAGTAGTGAATTTACACAAATATATACATATATATGATCTTCAATAATAATTAATTGTTATTTAAAGAAGGGCTCACTTAGTTGGTGTCTCGCTGACTTAATATTATTAGAAAATAGATCTGTATTAACTTTTAGATATTTTATATATCAATATTTTTATTTCGTTCATTTTAATGTGAAAAAATCGTATTATTGTTAGTTCCTATAATTCACGATACGATTCCTTTACGAACTGATCTGATCTTCATGACATCCACTTGTGCCCCGCCAGCGTAAACCGTCAGCGAGGGCGGGAGCAACACTTTGTTATCATCAATGGAATAAATGTGGGTGAGTGTTTGCAGACCTTGAGGAAGGCGGGCAGCACGGCGAGGCAGAAGTCTTGGAGCGCGTGGACGCGGCTGGCGCCCCACAGCGCCGTGTTGATGTAGAACACCGCGCCCTGCAGCAGGCCAGCCTCCCGCGACGCGCCCAGCAGCGCCGCCAGCCGCGCCAGCGCCGCCGCGCCGATGTCCGCGCCCAGCACGATGCGCATCAGCTGCACACACACACACACACACACACACACACATCAACACACGCCCCGCCGCGCCGATGTCCGCGCCCAGCACGATGCGCATCAGCTGCACACACACACACACACACACACATCAACACACGCCCCGCCGCGCCGATGTCCGCGCCCAGCACGATGCGCATCAGCTGCACACACACACACACACACACAACACACGCCCCGCCGCGCCGATGTCCGCGCCCAGCACGATGCGCATCAGCTGCACACACACACACACACACACACACATCAACACACGCCCCGCCGCGCCGATGTCCGCGCCCAGCACGATGCGCATCAGCTGCACACACACACACACACACACACACACATCAACACACGCCCCGCCGCGCCGATGTCCGCGCCCAGCACGATGCGCATCAGCTGCACACACACACACACACACATCAACACACGCCCCGCCGCGCCGATGTCCGCGCCCAGCACGATGCGCATCAGCTGCACACACACACACACACACATCAACACACGCCCCGCCGCGCCGATGTCCGCGCCCAGCTCGATGCGCATCAGCTGCACACACACACACACACACACATCAACACACGCCCCGCCGCGCCGATGTCCGCGCCCAGCACGATGCGCATCAGCTGCACACACACACACACACACACATCAACACACGCCCCGCCGCGCCGATGTCCGCGCCCAGCACGATGCGCATCAGCTGCACACACACACACACACACACACAACACACGCCCCGCCGCGCCGATGTCCGCGCCCAGCACGATGCGCATCAGCTGCACACACACACACACACACACATCAACACACGCCCCGCCGCGCCGATGTCCGCGCCCAGCACGATGCGCATCAGCTGCACACACACACACACACACACATCAACACACGCCCCGCCGCGCCGATGTCCGCGCCCAGCACGATGCGCATCAGCTGCACACACACACACACACACACACACACATCAACACACGCCCCGCCGCGCCGATGTCCGCGCCCAGCACGATGCGCATCAGCTGCACACACACACACACACACACACATCAACACACGCCCCGCCGCGCCGATGTCCGCGCCCAGCACGATGCGCATCAGCTGCACACACACACACATCAACACACGCAAATCTCCTTGGGTAACTCTTTCTGTACTAGCTACTCGCCCCGGCTTCACACGTGCATTATATATATAAACCTTCCTATTGAATCATTCTATTCGTTTTATGGAAATTGCACACAACAAATTCCCAGAGTCTGTACTCAATTTGCCAGAAAAAAAAAATCAAATGTATTATAAAATATTTTCTTTGTAAAAAAGCTTATTATAAAATTGAAGAATTTATAAATGATAATAATGTTTTTTGTAGGAAATATCTAACTTAAAATTCATAGCGCTGACAATGTTATCTGATTGAACAGAGATTAAGTGCGTAGCGGCTTCTATGTTGATTGTCGCATGCCTAATCCTTGTTGTTAATTAAATATAAGTATCTTGCTCATTCTTCTTGTGATAAGTCTGCATTCCGAATGAGTGGTAGAATAAAAAAACTTGACTAGTCAAAAGTGCATATATTAAGTTTATTTGAATAAAGATTATTTCTATTTCTATCTATAAAAAAAACCCGCTTCAAAATCGGTCGGACGTACTTTTTTTGGCATGTAGCTAATATAATAAGGAGTATCTTAGGCTACTTTTATTTTAGAAAAATAAAGTTATATTTTCCACCCGTCGAAGTCGTGTGTACAGAAAAAAAACAGCTAGTTTGCCATAAAATTATTCGTGTTAAGACCCGGTTAATAATTTAAATAATGTATATTAAACACGACAGCTTAAAAGTAATCGTCATCATGTATGCAGTGTAGAGAGAGGTAAAGTTACCTTCCAGCTGTGCTGGCTGTGGTGCTCGAGGATGACGGTGCGGCAGAGCGCCGCCACGAAGGTCGGCAGCGCGTCCCTCGGCAGCAGCGAGTAGCACACCACCGCCTCCAGCAGCGACAGCGCGCTCTGCACTGAGGCCGCCTCCGCGCTGAACGAGCACGCATGGCACGCCTGGCTGCGGCCACAACACGCACTCACACACACACACGCAACGCTAGGGACACTCTACTACTCTTCTACGGTACGTACATACTAATCAGGGGCGTAGCGGCCGTCGTATCTGCCGTATCAATTATACGGGGCCCCCGGGCCCCGACGTAAGCAAAAATATACTTCCCAATTTATTTTTTATTTCACTATTTTTTTTTTCCGCATCAGTTATAAATGATGTAATAAATCGGTTTGCGGAAAAATGTGCAAGGAGAGTGTATACTTAATTTCGATTGTTTGTAAAATTTTGGAAAAAGTGACAAATAGATATTTATGATGAATAAATATTTATTTTAATTTTATACAATTCTTTTTTCTTTTGTGAGAAATCATTAACACAAACAAATTTTTATATAGGGGCCAAGGCACGCTACGCTTTGATACTAATATGCCGAGAGAGTTTCGCTCTGAACATTTTCACGATCACTAAGAGTTACTTTATAATAACCTGCCAGAATCTGTTCTAAATCTGACGGAGAGGCGAATCAAATCTTATTTATAGATGACAACAATATCTAGTAAAAAAAATAGGTTTGTTTGTGGACAATATTTTCCTTTTCTTATGGCTTCCCTGATTTATATAATTCAGAAATATGAAACTAGTTGATTTCTGTAGAACCACCGTGCACCTAATCGCTCCCCCGTCCCGTATCCGTCAAGTTAAGCGGAAGTTGGCCTTCAGCCGCTCCATAAGTCCTTCTACGGGTCTGAATCTATACTGGTATATAGATTCAAAACGTTTTGCCATATATGTAGATTTGAGTACTAATTGCTTATTTTTTAATAGCGATATTAGTACTCAAATCTATATGGCAAAACATTTGCTGGGACAGCTAGCAATATATGTGTTTACTTGACAATCCCGTGTACGATGTCCTCATCGAGGTATGCCGCGTTGAACTTGACGACGTTGATGACCAGCTGCAGGAACTCCACCAGGAGAGGAGAGGTCTGCAACTGCGGCAGCCACTCCAGCAGAAACGATCCAATCTGCATCATTAAATAGTTGATGTATGACTATGTGACCCACACAATCTGGATGCTATCTGTTTACGCCAGAAATATTCTATTAGCAACAATATGCAATATGTATAATTATTGCTAAGAAGATATTTTAGGCGCTTCGCAATTTATAATATATGTCAATATTATTTTAGATTCTTCATCAAATACACTACATATTATAAACAAAGTCGCTGTCGCTATCTGTCCGTGCCTATGTATGCTTAAATCTTTAAAACTACGCAACGGATTTTGATGCGGTTTTTTTATATAGATAGAGTGACTCTAGAAGTTTATATATACAATACATGTACACCCATGCGGCTGACAGCTGAGGCGAGTAGCTAGTTTACAATAAATCTTATTACAATATTTATTAAAAAAAAAACTTAAATTTAAACACTTTTGAGTAGCGAATTTCTACAATTTTTGAAACTTCATTTTGAAAACTAACTCATCACAAGACGACAGATTTTGAAGCGGTTTTTTAAATAGATAGAGTGATTCAAGAGGAAGGTTTATATGTATAATACATGTACACCCGTGCGATGCCGGGGTGGGTGTGATAAATGATAAATGATAAATGATAAATGATAATGTGAGTGATGTATAAATGATAAGTCCTGATTGCTTTCTAACTATTGGGTACACGATGTTTGAGGGTGGACTGAATATCGGTATAATATGTATATGTATGTTTTTTTTTATTATAATGGAACGGTGGACCTGCCTGCGCTAACGGTTTATGCTGGCGGGGACCAGTGGAGGATGATAAGATGAGCATGAGGTGAGGTCAGTAAGCCCATCGTGACAAATTCACCAAGAATTTATCACGATGGTTTCCAGGGGAAATCGCGTGGAGGTCAACCTGACATGGTACATTGCTAGCAATGAGATCATCAGTCCACATTACTAACAATCCCCTTTTCCTTTAACGAAAAAATATATAACTATGTATTATTATAGTTGTGTAGTATGCATAACACAAGCTTTAGCTAGCTTAACTTGGGTCTAGATGGCGCTGTGTGGATTGTCCTAAGATTATTATTATTATATTTACTAAAAGACAAACAATTACCTGTTCTTCAAAACACGTAATATTCTTTCCCGTATTGGTTAAAGCATGGAGCAGTCTAAATCGGAGTTGGGAGTCCTCTGGCGGGTGGTTGGCGTGTGACTTTTGAAGGTAGGTGAAGAAGATGGTCCGCATGATGGTGAGCTCGTCTGCGGGCCCGTCCGCCTGCCCTTCCACCAGGATGCGGAGGAATGTGAGCTCCGCATGGCGCGCCTCCGTGTTTGTGTCGTCCAACAGATCTCTTGTGCATATCCATAATTTCCTTACTGCGCCCTGAGGAAGTCGGAATGCATTGATTTAAATCTTTAGAAATAAAGCTCTATAATTGAAGTTCTCTACTTGACTGTATTTTTTAATATATAACACATAACTCTATTACTAGTATTCACTACATAGTATAAAACAAAATCACTGTCGCTATCTGTCCCTACGTATATACATATGCTTAAATCTTTAAACGCAATGGATTTTGAAGAGGTTTTTTTTTAATATATAGAGTGATTCAAGAGATCCACTTCAAAATCCGTTGCATAGTTTTAAAGATATAAGTATACATAGGGACGGACAGACAGGGACAGCTACTATGTTTTATAATATATAATGATTACAAAATGCTTATTGAGTTCAACATAAATCTGATCAAAATATTAGTTGTGACATTCCTATTATTGCATATAATCATGTTTTTTTATGCATGTGTCATTTAATAAATATAAATATAATAGAATTACCCTTAAATAAATTCAAAACATCTGTTAAATCATATTTTAATAATATATTTATTTATTAATATCAGTACAATTCACTATGTGTTATATGTATGTACCAAAACAAAAATCATATACTTGTATCAGTTATCTAGTACCCATAACACAAGCTTTAGCTAGCTTAACTTGGGTCTAGCTGCACTGTGTGAATTGTCCTGAGAAAAAATTACAAATTTCCATAGAAAAACATTCTTTTGTTCCATATTACACTAGTAAATAAAAAAACATATTGTTACTTAAAGAAACAGAATACAACAATGCCAACCTGCTCACATTTTTATTTCTATTTTTTAATAATTGTATATATTGTTTCCTTCACGGTTATAAAACAATTGTTATCATAAACAATAGAAACAATGTAATATAAAAGTTGGAATAGCATTTTGTACATTTCTTTACATTCTAATAAATAAATAACAAAGCATTCTTATATTCATCTGTTTTGTTATAATTTGGAGTTATATGTAAGATCTACTGGTAGTCTATACATATAAATAAAATTGGAGTGTCTGTTAGTAATATTGAAATAACTGTTTTTTACTGTATGCATATGAATATAAATAGGGTATAACACCAAAATAACATTTTTTACAATTTTTGTATGTCTGTCTGTTTGTTCCGGCTAATCTCTGAATGATTGACTTTGAAGGGACTTTTTTGGCAGGTTGTCTGATGTAATAAGGAGTAACTTAGGTTACTTTTATTTTAGAAAAATGAAGTTAAATTACAGACGGACAAAGTCGTGGGAACAGCTAGTTTTAAATATGGGAAAACATAGCAATACAATAAATAGCCCTACCATAATATAAATTTAAATATGATTGTATACTACACACATTACAATGACATCTTGCTACTATAGATGTATAACATTTTATAATGTAGTAAAGTTTTAAAAAAGTCTTTTTGTTGTAGTATTAATTAGTGATTAAATTGATAATAAATCATATTCTTCAAGCTAAATCAGTAATAGCATGAAATATAAATTCAAATTGTCCACAAAGTTCTTAGATATATATATATTTATATGCCAATAAAAATGCAATTAGATAAAAAGAGATAAAACTGATGGAGGCCTTTGATAAGTCACAACAACAAAGCGTCGAAATTTTCATTATTTCTCATACATTTATTGCTACCACAACAAAAAAATCTCAAAGTGGGTAAGGCATTCAGAACTATTTATAAACAGGAAGAGATCATAATAGCTGTTAGAAATTGTGGATGTTACATCAGAAATACTATTGAGGGTATGGCAATAATTAGTGGTTAGATATATTTATGTCTTACTTCTTGTATTCTGATGTTGTGTACTTTGTCGCCGAGATCCTTGAGGGCACGTAACCGTCGGTGTGGTGGCGATTCGGCGCTCAGTTCTCGCTCCAACTCCGGCGACACTATCAACTCGTTCCGCGCCGGTAGTGCAGCTGCATATAGTAAAAACCACCACATAAACCTCACGTTACACTTAAGAAGCTCCATTCTCCACGGCAGTAAACTGTACTACCTGTATCAGCCCAGAAAACGTACCTGATGCGCCCTTTTTGAAGAATACTTTTAACTTGTCTTGGAGCGATTTTGTGTCCTTGTCTCTAGATCCCATTTTACCGTTTTATTGATGATGAATGCCGATTATGAATGCGCTAAGGGTTATTACTAGGTATGGTGATTACCTATGGTTGAGAAATGGCAAGTAAAAAGACATATTTGTTAAAAAATATACTCAATACCGCTCCTGCTATACTATTCACCATTTGACAATTGTCTTTTACAGCTGACAGATCGGTCGGCACATAACGGTACGTTCGGAAATGAAAACAAAGGGAACAGTTCAGTATTCGAGTATAGTGTTTTGATTTGTAAATAGTCCGGTTTTCACTGCGACTGCAATGCAATTTATTCGAGTTATAAATTAATCAATTTTACGTTTTCAATATGAATCTCTTCCTTCTGTTTAAATTGTGTCTATTCCTTTTTTGAGCTATATACCGATTTCATATCTCGTGACATAACACGTCGTGTTGTGTAAGAATACTTTAAAATTTTCTTCTTTTTAATCTGTAACAAAATTGTATAGTGTTAGTTCTTTATTAAAATAACAAATAATAATCATAGGTAATTTACATTTCATTCAATAAAATAAATTTTACTTCATATTTATAAAATTAATTTTAATTTGTATTTACAATGGCAGATTATTAACTACTTGAATAATTATATGATTGATCATTATATTTTCTTATGATAAAATAAATTATTTGAATTTTAAAATAAATTAATTGAGAATTATCATAAAAAACTTATTTACTTATTAATAGTAATTATTTGAGAGCTAAAATAAGATTTTTATTTAGAAATGATGTTAAATATATCCATAGATATGTTTATTATGTTATTTTTATATACATATACGTAGATAATATAGGTAAATATAACTTATTGCTATCTGCAGGTATATGTAAATTATATCTTATATACGAAAACCTATCTTGGGAGGCTTGAAAAACATTGTATCGAGGTTCTTACATAAAATAATTCTATCAATGAATCATAGATGGCGTTAGTAGTATATAAAAATTTGTGACAATTTCGTATTTCGGACAGTATGGTAGACAGTCTTTTAGCAAATATTTACAATTCTATGATTGACCTATTACAAATAATTTTTATTATATTATTACATGAATGTCGAAAAAAATAGGTAAACATAATTTTTGCCAGACACTAAACAAACAGTTAATGCATATTGGATTGGTCTTACACATGAGCGTAAGACAATAGGTACACCGTAGTAAGCAAGCGCCGCAGTCGCACGATATAATCGAATTATACAAATTAAATCAACAAAGGCTTATTTAAGTTTATGTTCATTTATTGGTCTAGATTTTATGTGTATGACAAAGCGCGGGATATGTGAGGGGGTGAGTTTCATGAATAGACCTGTCCATTCTGTGGGTAAGTTAGGGTTGCCAACTTTTTTTGACAAAAAACATATAAACTCCAAACCGGGTAGAAAAAATAAAGTATTAGATTTTTTTTTAAATGTTATGTTTTTATTGCTTGTTTTACAATTAATATTTAAATTTAATAAAATAAACAATTCGTTTTTAATCTTCAATTATAAACAAAACCAGCGGATCATTTTTGTACAATTTCGTCGTTAGTGAGTGATATCTGTGAGCTGTGACAAATGTCACAACTCACAATTGACATCTAACATTTCGTTCAGTAATTATAAATAGTACCCATAATGAGTATTTTGTTTTACGCATCACAGTGAAGGTTGAAAATAAAGTATTTTTGTATACTTTATTTGTATGTAAAAGTATAATTACTAAAATATGGTTGGCAACCCGAGGGTGGGCCTACCTGCGTCTTATAGGTTCATATTTTTTATAGGTGTATCTATTACCGGAGAATTCATATTCAAATATTCATTCTTGTAATTAGCAGTTTAAAGGCACTTTTATAAGTCAATATAAAATACAAATAAGGTACACGATTCTTATAAAGTAAATTCTTTCTTACATAATAAGTGACGTATAAAAATAAATTACATATTTAGGATTTTTAAAAAGAAAACTATCACCATAAGCGGTGTATATGTACACATTATCATAATTAATAAATTAATAATAATAATAATCTCAGGAAAATTCACACAGTGCCATCTAGTCCCAAGGTAAGCTCGCTAAAGCTTGTGTTACGGGTACTAGATAACTGATACAAGTACATAGATTTTTTTTTCATAAATACATACATATTATACATAGAAAACACCCAGACCGATACAAACAATCATACTCATGAATACAAATGTTTGTGCCGTGCGAGGAATCGAACCTGCGACCATCGGACGTAAAGCGGTGTGGTAGACCGCTAGACCACCGAGGTCGTCAAATGCTTAAATCTTTAAAACTACGTGACGGGTTTTGAAAAGGTCTTTTTAATAGATAGAGTGATTCAAGAGGAAGGTTTATATGTATAATACATGTACATCCGTGTGAAGCCGGGGCGAGTCGCTAGTATTTTATAGAAAGAGATAATTATTCTCATGTACATTCATTAATCCATATTCTACTGTACTTAAATGTCTATGTAAACACAACGGAACGGTACGGAACACCACAAGTGCTTATAGTCCACGTGACTGATTGCAATATAATAAATAGGAAAAACATATGTTGTCTCACCAACTCACCTGTTTTTTTCGGTCGTCAAATATCGTCAGTGCTATGGATTTTAAGTTTTTCTATAAAAATATTATTGTCGTTAACGAATTCTTCAATTTTATAGTAAGTTTTTATTGCAAAGTTGAAGGACGAGATCTCTTTTAGAGATAATTCCTCGTTTCCAAACAAAATGTGTAACAGATATTCAAAACTTGTATTTAAAAGTGCAACAAAGTATATAATTTCGTTGTGCAAACACATTGATGTGCAATTCCATAGGCTCTTATATGTTCTTAAAACATCATATTTTAGACATTTGTAATTATACAACACGTTATGCAAAGACCCTTCCGATCGATCCCCCGTCCATCCCAAACGGGGATCGAAATTACGACGGCCTGAGCCGAGGTTCGAACCCCTATCGGTGCCCGCAGACTAAAGTCGTATCCGTCAGGCGGGAGTTGGCCTTCAGCCTAAGTCCTTCCTTTGGTTTGGAGTGCCATCTGCACTCGCCCCCTACCGCTCGGTGAAGCTGTAAAGGCCAGCTGCGGCCAACAGCATTTTTTTTTACACAGGGGACAAACGAGATTACGTCTATAGTAGCAAGATGTCATTGAAATGTGTGTAGTGTGTTGTCCACAAAGCTCTTAGATATACATATATTTATATGCCAATAAAAATGCAATTAGATAAAAAGAGATAAATCTGATGGAAGCCTTTGATAAGTCACAACAACAAAGCGTCGAAATTTTCATTATTTCTCATACATTTATTGCTACCACAACAACAAAATCTCAAAGTGGGTAAGGCATTCAGAACTATTTATAGACAGGAAGAGATCATAATAGCTGTTAGAAATTGTGGATGTTACGTCATCGTTTGTTCCCGCTAATCTTTGAAATGGCTGGACCGATTTTGACGGGATGTAATAAGGAGTAACTTAGGCTACTTTTATCTTAGAAAAATAAAGTAATGTTGCAAAATTCCACGCGGACGTCGTCGCGGGTATACATACAGGTAGTGGTATAATAAATCATGGTAGAGTGATCGCACACGTTTGACGTTGCGGTGACAATAACTACAAGGCCTGCTATAAATCCATGTCAAACAGGTATTTAGGGCGAAGGTTGATTGTGAGCTGTAAACCGTCTGTCGTGTCACGCAGGTGAGGGCAAATTGTCGACCCTCGTCACCGAGGCTAGATTAAATGCCCGTATATTACCTGCGGGGGGACATGAACCCGCAGCCGACGGCCGACCGCCGGGCACGGCGACGTGTCACGATCTCTCAAACATCTGTTCGTATTTCACACTTGAAAAACTTAGCATGAATTTTATCGGACTACTCTAATGCTTTATACCAGCTGCTGAGTTTCACCACCGTACCACCCGCCAGAAACTGAAATACCATCCTGATCATCTGGATGAATGGCGGTCTTCCACAGTACGGTTTTCTAGAAACTTTTTGCCTCGCACAACCACATTGTGGAATCACCTTCCAGCAATGGAATACCATTGCTGGAAGGTGATTTCCGAACCGATACGATATTGAAACCTTCAACATTCAACTCCTTCAACTTCACCATCTGGTGAGCCGCATGCTCGTTTGTCCCCTGTGTTATATAAAAAAAAAGCTTTTGCCCGCGGCTTCGCTCGCTTTGATTGACAAAGTTTCATACAAACTTTTATCCCCTTAGGGGTAGAATTAATCAAAATCCTTTCTTAGAGGATACCTAAGTCATAACATCTACCTACATGCCAAATTTCAGCCCGATCCGTCCAGTGGTTTGGGCTGTGCGTTGATAGATCACTATGTCAGTCACCTTTGAGTTATATATATTTAGATTCTCACAAAAACACGTTGCGCTTATAGTCAACAAAATATTTGCTACGAAATTTATTTCTCACATCGCCGTGAATACGGACTTTCGTACACATTCACACACAACGCCGTCACAAACTAATTCAATCAGCTGATTATCCAAGATGGCCGATAAATATTAAACAGACATTAAGTTCGTTTCGTTTCATGCAAAAATACTAAATTTATTAATTCGTAACAATTTTTGTTAATCCCGAAAATCCCGGGATTTGTTACAGAAAATCCCGAGATTTTCGGGATCGAAATTTCGACCGGGATCCTGGGCTCCCGGGATCAAATCCTCTAGTTACATTGTCAAGAAATGAAGATCATTTAGGTCTGGATTATGTATCGCAGTAGCAATTTCACAAGAGCATCCCCCCGCGTACACTTAGATTGTGGAATGAATTACCTGCCGAGATTTTTTTTACAGCTAATGGGGTACGGAGTTTTTTCAAGACGATATATAGATAAAACTTTTATTGCGTTAAAGGCACACACACAAGGTACAGTAATATAAAGAAACCCTTCTTTCAAATTAACGTTTCTTAAAGAGTCTTAAACGTGTCTTTTTTATACATGCAATACTATAGAAGAGATGCATCACATATTAATGGAATGACGAGCAAAAAGTAAAACGGCACCGATGTAGTTGAAGTATATTTTTGTATATAATTGACTTATGTCATATAGAAACAATATAATATTTATAAAAATATAGACACTAAAAAAGGTATATAA